AGAAAAGATCACTGGATTTTTTCATCATTTGTGCATATTAGAAAACATTTAGATTCTAATCATACAACGGTATTTGCCTGGGAGCATTGCTAACCCAAGGTTGGAAGTCAAATTGGTATGAGTGTTAAGCTTTGGTTGGGTTTCAATCTCTGGATAAAAAAAATGAATTATTCCTAAATTAAATTTATTTTCAATATCTAACAAGTATGCTGTAGTTTACAATTCTGAATTTTAATATCAATGCCAAATTATGATCATTTGAATGCGATAAATCTACTAAAATAGCACTGATCAGTAAGAGCCCTGTCTTGAAACAGAAATCAAAGTTACAAATGTAATATTTAAGTGTATTCTGTTCTTAACACTGCAAATATTTACACGATTTTGAAATAATGTATGAAAATAGATGGAAAAATGAAAGAGACAGAGAAACAATAGTATAGAGTACAATAATGTATTTATATTATTAGCCACATACAAGACCAACATTATATATGAGAACATGGAATGACGGATGAACACAATACAAAATGCTGTGTATGTTAAGTTGTTAAATATTGCTCTCTGTCCATCTGTAGTACAGAATACTAATTATAATGCTTATCTAAGAACAAATATGTATGTATCTATAAGATCCTTAATCAAAATAAACTGCAAACAAGGTCAAAAAAATAACTAATATTAAATCCAAATCCTTTACGAATGTCTATTTCTCATTACCTGTTGTCACTGGTCCAGTCAAGTTCTATTTTGTCCTACTAACATTTTAAGGTATATTTGTATATTTAATTGACTTCAAGTTTGTTAATAATATTCATAATTCTGCTTACTTGTGTCATTATTTCTAATATACCATTTCTCCTGCATATTCACTTGGCAGAGCGAACCCCTTTTATTAGTGAAGACCTCAGAAGTTAGGAGACGGTGGTAAATAGTAAAATTAACCTATGTAAATGAGCATATTAGGTTACATAAGAGGAATATCAGTTTGGTAAAGTATTAAAAAATTAAAAGTGTCAATATGACAGTGGCATATCAAAGTGCTTTAATACTGTTCTTAAATCATCAGCTGCAATGAAAACTGGAGATTTTGTCGGTATGTTAGTTCTTCCCAGATCGTTCCCACTATTTAATGCCCCAATTTTACTGCTAGAGGGATTTTGTTCTTGCAGTTGAGCAATTGGTATTGGGCATTTTGGCCTGAGAGTTCTAAATTTCTTTCCCTCCTTGAGCAGAATCAATGGAACACAATATACTAGCCAGGAATATCTGGTATTGTGTGCTTGCTGTACAGTATAATAAGAACAGTGTGTAGCCACACTAGCTTAAAGTGAATAAAGATGTGAATAATAAGTGATCTCTACTGAAGACCTTATGAGATATAAACCCAATTCAGATGAAATGTCTTATGGAATGAAAGAAGAGGTGGATGTTGAAACATTGTTTGGTGCAGAAGATACTGATATAAGCCTAAAACAGAATTGAAATGGCTGTAATTAATAAAACTTTCCTATTGGGCTCAGGGAGCAGCCAATCATCTAAACCACAATTCAATTCAATTGAATTTAATATGAAACTAATACACACAATGTACATACAGTATTTAGAAGACATGGACACTTTATTATATGTACTAACGAGTGACACATCCTGTATTGTCAATCTCTTGATTTAAATTGTGAGAAGCAATTGATCAGAAGTCAGAGTGCTACTGAAGTACAGTTGCACCAGGATAGTACAGGCAAAGTCTTTGCTGGTGCACTACAGTTCTTTGCTGATAAATTCGAATGCTATGAATAGCCAAACTGAATAGCCGTGCATTACAAAGAAGTAGACTGTGATGGAAAACGTTTTTCGAGTTCAACTACAACAGATTTTAAACCATTTTGCTTATTCACATTTGGCTCAGGTAATGTTTCAGTCCTTTGCATTTGTGGCTGGGTTGTGGATTTTGGCTGACTGATCTGTTTATACACTGCATTGTTCTTGTCTATTTGATTATGCATGTTGGCAACAGATTTTTCAATCTCTGCGAGGTTCTGGATGTGTTTCAGAATTCCTTTCAATTCTCTCTGTGGGGCCTGAGTTTGAGGGGTAAGATCAGGGGGAGGAGCAGGTGAAGGAGCATGGCGCAAAGATGGCTTTAAAGGAAGAGAAAAAGTAATAGGGGGAGGCGGAGGAGGCGGAGCTGGAGGAAGGGGGGGTGGTGAAGGAGGTTGAAGGCAAAGGGAAGGAGGTGGAGAAGTAGGCAAACCTGAAGGGAGTAGAGGAGGAGGTGGAGTGAGGGGCGGGAGTGGGGGAGGAGGGGGCGGTGGGGGAGGAACATTTGGAGGGTCTGGAATATCATTAAGTAGATCCTTGCTCGATTCCATTGAGATGCGTACATGAGGAATGAAACTGCATTCGCTTTGCTTCCTTATGGAAGGAGGTGTCGGCATTCGGGTCGGAGGAGGAGAAACATCCCCAGAAAAGTCAGAAAAGTCTGAATGAGTAATGATAATGGAGGGTGCCTCATGCAATTCAGAGACAGAAACCTGAAAATTGGATGGCACAAAAGACAAAGATTGATGATACGATGGAGGTGAAATGGAGGACTCTGGAGGTAGCTCAACCAAACTGTTGCTTAGGGAATGATTTCTGGTCATCGGTGAATTTGTTCCTTTTAAGTCACGATTTTTGACTTGCTTCGTTTCTTGCAAGGCTTGCTGTTCAAACTGTCTCGCTTGTTCTTTAACAGTTAATTTAATCGTGGCATCTTTAAAAGTCGAATTAATTTGGCTCAATTGATTTTCGGTTCCACCCCCTTCATCTTTAATCATTTCTATCTGACACTGCACGGGATCCATAATCAATGGTCTATTCAGAGCATCATACATTTGCTGCCTGTGATCACGAGAGGGCAAAGTGCCTGCATCACATTCACTCTCAGGTGACAGCTTCAAAAATGAATCTTTTGAACCTATTCTTCTTGGTGAAGGCCTGGCTAAAAATGCTCCCTTTTTCTTATGAGATAAGCCACCGGTATCAGGAGACTTAAATATACCATCATTATATATAGGGTTCCGTGTAGTTAATGGATTCTCATCTGACAGATATGTGACATTACTTTCAGATTTGGGGAGATTTTTTTTCAATGTTCCATTGATAGTAGATTGTTTATGAGCCTCAATAGCACGTGAAGCAAATGTGCTTAAAAGTCTCTGACGATCTCCTTCTTCTAAAACAGACTTTTTTCCCCTGCTTTGTTGAAAATGGTAGAGAAGAAAAAGACTTGAAAGAAAAGAAGATAATCAGGTGTAAGGAAATATGCAAGGACATCAATATCTACAAATCTAGTCTAAAGCTGCTTGTTCAAGGCAACCTCATTATTACAAAAATAGCTGTTACAAACCTCTTGAAGCAAACATTTTCCCTGATACAGGTAGAAGCTTCATTAGAGTAAGGCAGGAGGTCAAATGTCTAAGAACAACTTTGCTGATGCCCTAAGTTTGTAATAATGAGGTTAGGTTGTCAACACATATGGTTGCAGTGCTAAGAAATACTATCTATTAGCTGTTTCAAACAGCTCTACATCATTCACCATAAATATAACTACACATACAATGACTAAAGTTATCACGTAGCTGGTTGGATACTACACTTGTTTCACTAGCTATCAAATGCAGATTTTGCTTTAGTACTCTCACACCAGAAATTGGGGCTACTTACTGATACCTAGAATGTTGAGTCCAGAGTGGAAGATTAATGGAAGTGGTGTACAACAAACAGGTAAGAAATAAACATTATTATGAAAGTGAGTTAAGCAAGACCAGAAGTCAAGTTCAAAATGAGAAATGTAGAAGATACAACAATCATTGCTGAGTAAATCCTTCTCAGAAACCTATCTAAATATCAAATGTTAAGAGGCAGACAAGCGTTTGATAAGATATGTTAATAGGAAAAATATACATTTGATTCTGAACTCTATTCTGCCACTTCTTTTACTTTCAAATCTCAGCTAATCCTACTGAACAGTATTCATTATTGTGAGGGGAAAGAGATGGGATTTATTGTTACATCCAATTAGTTTTAGCATTGGCCATGTGATAAATAAAATTCAAGGTTTTTTGAAATCAGAATAGTGTAATCTGGAGGATTCTTTAAAGTAATTTTTCACTAATACTCTGAAGACCAAAAATATTTCTCACAGTTTCATCTCATCAAAGTTTTAGATCAAATCTTCAATTAATTCAGCTTCTGACCGGGTGCAAGAGTTTGTAATATCAAATATTCCAAATAAACATCAGATACGGCATAATTAGCATGGTGTCCATTTGGACTATTGGATTAGACATTAAGGTCCTACATCAGACATGAAAGACCTCTGGAGGTACATATTAAATGTACAAGTTATGTGAGCGGGGAAAAAACAATCAGCTTCTTCAGTGTACACTCCAGGGTTAAAACAGGGCTTTATGGGAAATTCCCATTTCTACAGGAGCAGCAGTAATGGAGTCTATTAAATTCTGCAGACTCGAGAATCATTTTTCAGCAGGTGAATAGCTGAACGTTCAAACGCATTTAGAACTCAATTTTCAGCAGCTGCAAAAGCTTTTCCTCACATTATCTTCCACAATAGATCTTACAAGATCAATTCCCATGATTTATACTGCATACCAAGAGGTGTAAACCATCTGCTCGGTGAAATATATAGTGAGCAGTAGCACCCTAAAACATCTTGAATTTTCTAGTTCTGGAGATGATACTGGTTTAAATATTGATATTAAATATTGCTCTGACTGTTTCTTACTTCTTAAAATCAATCTTTACAAAACGATAAATATTCAAATCTATGTTGTTAAGTTGAAAATTGAACAGTGAAAAACTGAAAGTCGAAAATTAAGTTGAAAACCCAACTCTAAAGATGAATAAAGATGATAGTTAATAAATGCACCAAATTAGAATAGACAGTCAGTTCACTTACTGGTCTGTTAAAAAAAATTCCTATGGTAAAAACTTACATAGTGCTGTCACCCAACTCTTCATATAGGTTATTTGCCGGGCCACCAGTTGATTTGCCTGCCGGCAAAGCCATCTGGATCCTTGCAGTCTTTGCACACTCTGCCTGGCGCCTTTGCAAACACAGAATAGATAATCAGAACTATTTCATTAGCAAATTCATGTCTCATTCTATTTCAGTAACTCATTTATTTGGGCTATTTAAAAAAATACATCTGTTGCTCAGCCTTTGCAAACAACTGAGCTCTTTGCATTTTAATGATTTTCCAATGTAATCCCTCCTTGTGGCCTTATAAAGATTGCCCTCCATAATCTACAGAAGTGGGTAACTCCACAGAAAACATAATTAACAAACTCTGCCACAATAAGAGGATGATTTCACATTTACCTTTTACTAAGCTGCATTTTAATGTATATTTTGTATAATATGATCAACATACGTTCTCCATTCACATTTTGTAAAAGAGTTTTGGATAAATAAGCAATTTACTTTTTACAACGCTACAAAATATGTTTTAATACTTAAAATGTTGATCTACTTTCTGAAAAATGATCTAATATGCTCACCGGCTATGCAATCACACAACAATTTCATCACTGGTTGGAAGGTACTGATTATGATTTTTAAGATACAATGCAAAGCTGAAAAAATGGGAACATCAAGATTTCTCAAAAGAAAAGTCACAATGTATACTTATTCTTGCTGTTACTAACTTGAGCCATAAGCTATAACCATCAATGAGTGGATAAACATTTCTGCAAATTATACAAATGTTAAATCCAATTTGCATCATCAATTCAATATGTGTGTTGTATGATCTCACAATTCATCAAATATCTCTGTCGCACATATAGTGTTTACACATAATATTTACACTCCTTTTAAGAGTGACATATCTCGAACTGGTAACTGCTGCCCTGCAAAGTATTAGTCTGGGTTTCCAGTTTCAATCCCATTTAGTATTCTCCAGAAGATCCTCTCTGAGACATCTCTATTCAAGGCTGAAGAGGTCTAGCTTATGCAGTCATTATTGCCTTTGATTTTAAGAATTATAATGGTTGAACTACATTGAAACTGACATGGTACAGAGAATGTAATCCTTAGGAGATCAGAGATTTCATGACAACATTTGTTATTGCTATGTTTGCAGTATGAGAACTTTAATCACTGTGATCAAATAAGTACCGTATTGCATTCTACAATATGAACATGACACTAGCCTTGAATCATAATAGTTTTATCTGTAAGAGATCAAGCATGTTGTATAGTGCCTAGGTTGGAAGATAAAGCTGTTAGATCAGAAAACATAGAATATTTAGCTTTGTGTTTGATTGCCTTCATTCTTCAAATCAAGTTATGTTTCACATAAGGTCAGCAGAACAATTGGGAAACCACTAAAGTCACGTTTCCCTTTAAAATTATCCGCCTCACCAACACTCCTGTATTGATTTTCAGGACTGATTTTCCATTTAAAATGTCCTCCATTTGGCCCTGCCGAAGCGCTATGATCCTGGTGTGATATGGACTTCTTATTTATGGCTCTTGGCTGCAATCCATTTTTTTTACTTATTTGTTGAATATTGACATGAGTGATGATAATGGTTCTAGATTCAGGCATTTGTCATGGTGATTTACTAATTTTATTTTGACTTGACATTGAGTAATTCAGTCTGTTGGTTGGCAATGGGAACAGAATCTAATTCAATAGGAGCTTACACACAAGTTGCCAACTATGTTGGCATTGAGGAAACCTTGGTAGGCTTCCCAACAAATTTATCAAGCTTATCCCAAAGTTACATTGGGAACAGTGTAAATCCTTACCATAGTGATATTTGCAACCAGTAATTTCTCTAAAGGAATACTCAGGAACTGTGACTCTGGCGTTAAACTCATTAAATGAAGTTGGGTCTCAGATTGGGGTTAGCCAACACTGCTTCATTGCCTAATATACTAGTGCTTCATCCTTTTCTGATTCTGACAAATAGTTTAATTTCCTCCATTTCAAATTTGATAATGTGAATTCTAAAGTAGCTTTGGGGATATTACTAAAAGGGAAAGATAGCCTATTGTTTGATAATAATAATAATCCTTGCATTTGATATAACGTTTTTTACGTCTTCTCGACATCTCAAAGCGCTTCACAGAATAGACTGGAAAGCGATTTGACTGTATATTTGTGGGCGAAATTGATGTCTCATGGAGAGGTCCTGTGTAAACACTTGAATGAAATAGCTTCAGTAAAATTAGCATAGAATTACATGTATCAGCGTGAAATTATGGACTAGAGCACAAGTGCAATTGTGGGGAACGGTATTGAAATAATGTTACAGGTTGTGGCCTCAAAACATCCCTTTTCTTTTGTTGATTTTCCCCCTTTCTTGGTGGAGAAATGCAAAGCTGAGGTCTGACACAACATCTGAGATGAGCTTGGTTGATTTTAGCTTTTTTTTATATTTGTTGGGCATTGAGCTGGCAGAAAACCAATGCATTGGTTAGAGGGGAAATGGGAGAAATATGGAGCAGAGTAAACATGAAGAACACCTCAACCAGCAGAAATCAACTCTAATACTACCATGCCTCCACCATTCCCAGGAGTCAACAAACTACATAACTAAAAGTACTTTAGAATAAACTCAAAGTTCACTTTGTCATTGTAGTTGGACTTTTGCTTAAACGCTTAACCTGATGAAAATATTAATTTTAATTAACTGATGAACCAAACTTAAAAGATTCACTGAAATTAGAGATACTCCATCTGCAGGATCAAAGTCGACCCAGAACACGCTTAAAAAATGATTCTCTTACTTGATGCAGAAAAGGAGATGTTATGGTGATTTGTTTTAATAAAGGTCTGGGTATCCTGAAGGTTTACACCCTGTTTGCTGGATATGTGGATAATAACAGAGAATCTCTCTGATGTAGTGATCTACTAATTTTACAGAAGATTGACTGCGGGAAATGACGGTTCATGAAAAATATTCAGTTGATCCATACCTTCCAACATTCTGCTTTACAGTGAAGCATAAATGATGCATAATAAGGCACTTTATGAGTACATAATAAGGCACCTAAATATGTGCTCATTGGTTGTGTAGCTACATCATAGAATAGCTAAATTGCTAATTAGCATTATCAATGGTAATATGCAATTAAGGATAATATATAATTAGCAGAACATGCAGTAAAAACAACAAAGGAAAATATGAAATAAAAAATTATACTTACTCCTTAAATCTGATTTAATGCAGGAAAAAAAGGAAGAACATATTATTATCATTTTTTTACTGCTTCGCTTCTTGAGCTTAAAGTTCTTCTTGCTGGGTATATATTTTGAACACAAACTGCTAAGTGCATCCTTTACGCATTATAATGAAGATCACATTGTCATTTAGTTTCATGCTACAACATCATATCTGGATGTCTGAATAAATTATTCTTCAACTCTGATCTATACATCTTTAAATAGCAGAGAAAACAAAGCATGATCAAAACATGTAAATGCCAGTTGTCAGATATAACAATGCCTGTCGCACAGCACTGTACCAACAATTGCTGAAGATGAGGAATGAAAGAAACAATTTAGATGCTGCTCTTGACCACAAATCAAAGGATCATGAGTTCAATTCACAGTGCACCTGCCATTCCATCACCATCTCATACCTAGTGGGTTCTGTCAGCTCCTCAGGGTAATCTGAGGCCTGCACTGGTCGCTGAATAACTTACACATCTTTCTGAATTGTGCCTCTGCTGACTGATCACAGATGAGAGGAGTGAAGGTGAAAGCATTTAGCTCATTTGTTTTTGCTGGAGCTTCTTTGTGTGGTTTGACAGGGATATTGTTTGGGAGAACAGCAGAAAATAGTGGTGGTGGGGAGGTGATATTTTAGAAAAATATTAAGATTATAAATCAACACAAGGTGCAAGACTGATGCATTGCACTGGAACATGAATATAGAACATTCAAAACTTGTTTGAGTAGTGGAAGATACAACATAAAGGCTCGAGTGCATTTTTACTTCAGTTCTGTACTCACTGTCTGTAGGTGACCATGACAATCAGAATAGCAGGTAAGCAGCAGAGGATGATAATAATAGCGAGTGCAAGCAGAGCTCCTTCTGTGTAACCCACTGCTTGCGCCTGTTTCTTCACATTTGACACCACATCTGGAGTTCGGATTTCCAAAATACGCCCTCCTTGTCCCAAGTATGACTGAAATTCTTTGTTAATATCAAGAAGTTTGCCATCCAAAAATCTTAAACATAATCATAAACACACAACATTAAAAAAACAATTTTAAAGGGACTGAAAACCTCATTTGCGTTGTTGCTATTCATGTATTATTTGCCTACAAAAATACACAGACTACATTTCATAGGAAATCCTGTGGCTTTGAGGTGTCTTGGCCATGTGATATGTGCAATGTCAAATCAAGGATTATTATATTATTGATGGAATAATACAAGTTATGTAAACTTTAGCAGTGAAGCTAAAACATAATTTAGAACTGTGCCAGGACATAACAACTAGCTAACTACATCAAGAGTCTTTATATTTCTGTGTGTTAGCTTTTTCCAAAATTGTGGCAACAGCTGGATGATCGTGAAAAAATGTTTGCTTCCCAAAATTATTATTTCATGGTGACAAGAATGCTTGTTGCAAAATTCCTTTTATTTTTGCTGATGTAGTACTGTCTTATTCATTACCAGATTTTATTATGGACATTACCTGCCTGGAGGACATCAAATCCTGGATGTGGGAAATTTCCTACAGTTGAATGTGAACAAGACTAAGACCCCCTTGATTGGCTCGCGCCAGTGCCTTTGCACTTCAGGCTCTGGCAGCATCAACCTCCATGGTTGCACACTTCAACTCACCAAGCCAGTCAGGAACCTAGGTGTTTTGTTTGACCCTCAACTGTCTTTTTTCCCCCACATTCAAGCCATGACCTGCTCTGCCTTCCCTCACCTCCATAACATCGCCCACCTCCTCCACTACCTCACCCCTCAGGCCGCTGAAACTCTTGTTCATGCCTCATTACCTCCAGGCTTGACTATGCAAACGCCCTGCTTGTCGGCCTTCCCAACTCCTCCCTCCACAGGCTGCAGATAATCCAGAACTCTGCAGCCCGTGTCCTCTCCCGCAACAAACTCCGTGACCCCATCTCCCCCACTCTTGCCTGACTCCATTGGCTCCCTATCATTCAGAGGATCCAGTTCAAGATTCTGATCCTCACACACAGAGCCCTCCATGACCTCGCCCCATCCTATCTCTGCGACTTCCTAACCCCCTACCAACCCGCCCGCTCCCTCCGCTCAGCCGGCTCTGGCCTGGTCTAAGTCCCCAGACCGACCGCCCCACCATTGGAGGGAGAGCCTTCAGCCACTCCGCCCCCAACTTCTGGAATTCTATCCCCCAGTCACTCCGCCTCGCCCCCTCCTTAAAGTCCCACCTCAAGACCCTCCTCTTCTACCATGCCATCAGCCACCCCCCTTCCCTTCCCCTCCCTTCCCCCCGACCCCAGCTCAGGTCTGAAATGCTGTACTCTGTCCAGCACCTTGGGACGTCCTCCTGACATGAAAGGCGCTATATAAATGTAATCTTGTTGTTGTTTCCTAAAAGTTGTTTTCAGTGAACATTTTCCTTGTTTTCTTCACTTGAGGTACCCAGGATCAGCATCATCCTTTTCCAAGTCAGGTTATAGCCACCCACTCGAGGACACAAGATCCCTCCAACATTTTACTGTCCAAACAGCAATAATATTGCACCAGAAATTTCAACTTTCCACATCAGCCAACCTTATTTTGAGTAGGATTAACAGTTTAATGAAAATAGGAGTCAGTTATTGCTCTAAATCTATGGTTACAATGAACTGGGATGAAAATGCCCAAACTCATGTCACACAGGAACCAAACCCGACTGACAGAGGAGGTTTACATCTCATCAGTCTTTGTTGGATTCAAGGCTCAATTCCCAGGGTGGAAAGGATATTGTGCTCATCCCTCCATCACTCAATTCTTGAGAGAAATTACTTTTATGACAGCATTAAGCAGTGTTTTGCCGAAAACAAAAATTATGCTTTCACACAAATACTAAAATCCAATTTCATAGTATCAACTCTCCAAAATAAATGTAAAATGATTTATATCTAGTGATTAATAAAAAAAGATAGAAAATTAGATTCAGACTTGGATTAAAAAAGAGCCCAGTTCACCAAAGTATGCATTTTCCCCCATCAAATGCACATAAAAACATTTGGCACTTCACATTGTTTGCATAATTGGACAATTTATAATCTACTCTTTCTTAGGAACTGAATCAATCTCAAATCAATCTGAACTAATATTAAAATAACATTGTTTCTTGACAACCGTATGTCTGCACAATATGTGATTTCTTTCAGTTATATTTTAACAATATTGAAATCGTGCTGTGCATTTATTTGCAACAACCTGTGACACTAAACAATGTAACACATGGCATTTGTAAGCCTGCATACAATTGCTGAGACATTTGGGGGACTTTTAAATCGAGAGGAAAATCTAATTTGCTTTATGCAGAAATGGACCGCATTTTGCATTTATTATTATTTAAAAATATTAATATCCCTGACAAATATACATGAAATATTAACTAAATTCTCCAAATTTGTTAATCACCGACAGAAAGACTTAATAACATGACTGTCATGTCCACGATGAAAGTCTACTTGTGATTTGTGTAAAACCTTTTAATGGAAGGAATTACAGAAGGAAGTTTCCATAACTGAGGTAACATTGCCCTTTACATTTAAAGGCCCTTGTGATAACAATGCAGCAATAAATAATCATCTAAAGAACATGCTGATCCTGAACAAAGTGCAGAAAATATTCACTACCAAAGTGTGTTTATTGGGTTTATTTGGACCTCTTGAAAATTGTACTTACTTGAAAAGTTCATTCCGTGATATGGCTCGATTTGTCAAAGGGTCAATGGCATAAACCATCAGGTCCGACTTAGAGTAGTCCTCTTCCTGAAAGCCATCTCCATGCTTACGGGGTCCTATGGATTCCACTACCACTGTTGCACCTGGAATCTGATCTTGTACATAACGTTCCAAAATTCTATGGAATTTAACAAAATACATTGAGTTGCTTGATCCAACAACAATAGTTTACATTGATATATAGTCGTGCCTTTCACTTTGAGAGGACGTCTCAAAACTGACTTGAGAGCGCAAGCTGGGATTGTTGGAGCTGAGAAGAGTGGGGCAAGGGGTAAAGGTGACCCAAATGCATGATTGAAAAGAAGGTCTAATTCTTTACATGCAAGTCTAACATAATATTTCACTTAAGAATTGAATTTTTAAGTAATATTCATTCACCTGTCTTAGTAAATTGAGACTCAAAGTTATATTGTCAAATGTGCACTAAACACTTCTTTACATACATACAAGCTCTTGTATTGCACTAATAATACTGCTGTGTTCTGCTTATCAGTTGTTCTTTCTCAGAATGCTTTTAATGCCAAATAAGACATAATTTACTGCATAATTTAGGTGCATTTTGGTTGATGTATTACACCAGTTGAAATGTACTTAAAATGTTGCAAAGGTTTAATTTATGATCAATCGTAGGCATTCGTGAAAAATGACCTCTTTTATTGGTTAAAAGGATGTGGTCTTGACTATTTGGAAGTGATTTCACATCAATTCAACCATTCCACGAGATTGCACACAAAGCACCTATGCCATTATCAAAGGTAACATTTATAAATTGGTTTAAAATGATTGTTAAAATGATTGCAATAATTGACCTTTGCGTTACTAAACGCCATGAATTTATCTGTGACATCTTTCAAAGGAAACAATTAACAGCACTTCACTCCTACTAAAGGAAAAATACTGCAGATGCTGGAAATCATCAGAACTGGCAGTGACGAAATGTCATTGACCTGAAACATTGGCTGACTTTCCTCTCTCCATAGATGCTGCCTTACTTGCTGAATGTTCCCAGCAACTTCTGTTTTTATTTCACTCCTACTAATCTGGTTTCAAGCATGTGGTTTCAATTAATTTGTAAATCCAGGCACTTGAAAACCGAATGAGATGGAACATGCCATTTTGATGGAATGGCTTTGGCTTCAAAGCTGATTACTTTTCCCCTCCTTTCCCCAAAACAGCATATTTTCATTGCACACTCACTGTAAAGTAACCTATCCAATCAATGACTGCCACATCCAGCACAATGCAGATGCTAGTTTAGCATGAGATTCAAATGTAGGGTCCCAGTTAAAGCAGGGCAAAACCTTGGGCAAGTTTCCTTACTCCACACGCCTAATAATAATCCCTCCAAAAACAAAACAATAATAAATTGGTCATTTTCAATCTACGACTGTTTGTGGGACACTGCTGTGCGCAATTGGCTGCCGCGTTCGCCCACAAATATACAGTCAATTCACTTTACAGTGTGTTCTGTGAAGCGCTTTGGGACGTCCTCCCGACGTGAAAAGCGCTATATCAAATGCAAGGATGATTATTATTATAAGTTAACCAATTGTCATTCAAGATTTAAAATTCTAACCTAACTAAATAAAATGACCCTTTCTTAAACAGTTCAAACAATTTTTGAAAAGTCAAATCAATCATTAGAATGTTTTTATATAAAAAGGAGTTATTTCATTTGTGATGTAAGCAAAAATTTATTTTGACCACAGTAATTCATCACTTCTAGTAAATAACACGTGACTATCTCCGTATTTTATTAAGTGATGATATTCTTTAAAATTATCCATGTCATTCAAGAAGAGGTATGAACAAAGCAAAGTCAGTACATTTTGTGTTTTTACACACTGCCTTAATCTACACTTTGCAGATTTTAAAAAAACAATGAATGTGTCGGAGAGAATTCAAAAGGGAGATCATATTTCTATTAAAACACTGTGCCTTAAGGTGTGAATATTCATGCATGCATTACCTGATAAGCTGATCTTTGTTCTGTTCCACCAGAGTAGGGGGAACATTTGAAACAACCACTTGCATATCCAGCTCATTGACCACAGACACCTAGAGGAAAGATAAGTACATTTGTTTTATTATGACATCCTCATATTGCAGACAACCTGGTCACTGGTATTCCATTACCGGTAATGATAATTATTTTAACATTGATGTTGAAATATACTAAACTTGGAAATCCTATGAAACATACCAGCTTGATTAGATTTGAACTAAACACCATTTGAAGCAAGGCTCGGTGTTCTCCTGCTGATCAGTTAATTCATCACTGGGATAGAATATAAAAGTGAGGTGGTGATGTTGAATTTATACAAAATCTTGTTTTGGAGTATTGTGTCCAATTCTAGTCTCTACAATATAAGAAAAATATAGTAGCGATGGAATGAGTACAGCGTAGGTTTACAAGGATGATACCAGGGCTTGCAGGTTACTGTTACCAGAATAGGCTGGATAGGTTAGCCCTGTTTTGCTTAAATAAACATTTAAGGGGCGACCTAATAGAAGTGTTTAAAATTATAAAATGGTTGATTTGGTTAACATAAATAGGCTGTTTCAACTGGTTGGGAAGTCCATAACCAGGGGACACAAATATAAAATAGCGATTAGAGTATCTAAAAGAGAATTTAGGAGGAACTGCTTCATGCAGATTGAGATTGTGGAACTCTCTACCTGAAGTGATGGTTGAATCCGATAGTGTAGATGTATTCAAGGGGAAGATAGACTTTTGCATGAGTGTGGGGGGAATAGAAGAGTAATAGAGTGAATAAGGAATGGGTGAAGACTCATGTAGTGTATAAACACAGGCACAGATTGGTTGGCTTGGCAGAGTGGCCTGATTCCGTGTTTTATATTCTTTGTAAATCTTCTTTGTAAAGACCAGGTTCAGGGACTCTGATCTGTGTTGTGTCCACAATCATTAAACACAAACAGAAGAATACAAAACATGACCTGAATTGGTAATGAAGAACAGGATATTAAATGATTATAACAGTTGCAATCAAATTATTAGAAGCAAGGCTAAATTTAATTTTAATGAACTGGATAAATAAATCATCATCCAGGACGAGGGGAATCTCAAACACTTGAATCCCTTAAATGTGGGAGTAGTTTTTATTATATTCTAAGACCATTAATAAACATTATCAAATCAGGAAGAACAGTTAATTGCTGGAGCACAGATGATGGGTGTCTAATTCTGAAACTGAAATGTTACATTTAAAAGTGAAACTAAGATCCAAGTATTGCATTTTTGTTTGTTACATTTTGAATTGATGCATTTGCTATTGGTTGGCAGGACATTTCTTTACAAGATTTGATAATGCATTTTGTGCCTATAAAGAGGATGCTCTTTGACAAGCACCTGCTTTTCATCTGAACCGGGAAAAAAAGTGTTGAGAAGAAAAATAACACGCTATAGCTGTTCCAAGATTCACATTATAATACAAGAAGGCATGAAAGCATGAAATAAGAAAAGGCCATTTTGGGCCATCATGCACGTTTCCTTCTAGTTTCTGCATCAAAACATTGCTAAAAGTGCAGAATAAATAGAGTTATGGTGACTTCAATTCAATTTTGAAACTCACTCCTAAAGCCACTTCTTGAGGCAGTTCAGGACAAATTATCTGACATCAATAGTTGCGGTATAAATCTTGTTTTACTGCAATTGATTCTAAATTAATTTCTAAACTTAAAGAAGTTCCAAAGTTCCTGGGTGGTTTGCAGAATTTACCGTTATGAGCCAGTCAAAGTACTCTGTTCAGCTGTAGGCAAAGGGCATAGAGCGCTGTATAAATCAAGTTTCTCTCTCCAAAATCATTCGACTGGACATGTAGTATTGCATGAAGTTCCATTACAAGAAATACCCTCCTTCATGTCATTTGCGAACAGTGTTAACAGCAGAGAACCAATAATAAATCCATGGGAAACTCTACTAATCATTGCCTGCAGCCAGCTTTTTCCATTTATCATCAACTTCTACTTTCTATTGATAAAACGATTTTTCAATCCAATTATCTAACTTGCCATTAATTCTAAAAACCTTCATCTTCTTTATGAATCTTAATTGTGGAATTTTATCAAATGTCTTTTAAAAATGCAAGTAGATTACATCTACTAGATAGCTCTTGTCAATACATTTACTTAAAAAATTCTAATATTTTTTATGAAACACAATCCATTACTTCTAAAACCACACCAACTTCTAATTACAGTTTCTCCACTTTTTAGATGAACATTATTGTTAAGACGTAAAATGCATGTTACCCATGGATGATTTTAGTCTTATATGGCTGGACCCAGCATTTTATCTTTTGCTCTCATAAAACATGGACTGCAAAGTGGAAGACAGGAAGCAACTTCATTGGTGCGAGTGCATCTGAATCAGAAGATTGAATTAGTGGATGGATCATTGCTCATTGTTACCACAAGGGCTGGAACCACACCACAATGATTCTGCACATCATTTAATACATCAGACAAAACAGATCATCCTTCTTTTTGTAATATCATTCAGCTTGTTAAGTTAATATTGATAGGTTGCACGCTTTAATGTGGTACCAATTTGACTACAGAGAATTGATTTCTGTTCTGTTGTGCTTATACTGGTTACATTGGTAATCTGGTCTATAACTGTACTGCTGTAATACTACACCGTAATTTCAAATAAATTAGCTTTGTTTTATTTATGCGCAATGTGTCACAAGGATGTCAAGGTTGTGACATCCCCCCTGTTTTTGGGTAGAGGTTACTCAAGGCCAAACTAATAATTATTTCACAAATTAATTGCCTCTTGACAGAAACTTAAATCAATTTTCCCTGCATGTGAATTGCTGGTATCAGTAAACGCAGGATTTGAAAAGAAACTGTGAACTGGGTGTAAGAAAATGCAGTACATTTATGTTCATAAACCTTTTACTTCAGCAATCTATTTAATAGGTGCCTCATTCTTTTCTTATGTAATAATGAACTGCACCATTACTGTAGGATGATGTGTGCCTTCTAATTTTGATATTCGCATGCCAAAATACCAGGAGTTTAAGAAGTAAATACATATAATATTCTACCACAGAATTTAAATCTTTCTGGAAAAGTGTTACTGTTGATCTACTTAAAATGACAGCAGAATATTGACTCTCCTCCACCATCCCTTTACCTGGGGGACAATTCTGCATATAATCGTTTTAACCTCACATCAACGATCGGTAAAACGCCCGGCATCATTTTACAGGACTGTATCGGTGTTTATCTAATGAATACAGAGACATAAGGAGTTGCTATGGGTTGTAAGTGATTATTTTGGAAGGTGAAAATAGATTAGCTCAGCCATTACATTGACCCCAAAAATATATGCATTAATTACGAGATGATCTTGGTTCAGAGCTGAGTTCTTGCAAGTCGTGAGCTAGAGTGACACAAATGGGATTGCTTGCAAGAGAAGTCCCCAGGTGTATTTTCCAATGTAACATGCCATTTTGGCTGCAGTTTTCCTGATGAGCAGTTTTTTTCACCTCCAATGTGACATCTTTATTTCCATTGCTCAGCAAAGTAACAGGAAATTAAACAATTATTCTCATTATCTCTTATTTACAGATAACAGAAAGAAAACTTCATTTTGACAGTTCAGGCTAAATTCTAGATATAATATCTTGAGCACAAAGGAAAAAGGAAGACTTAGTTGCTTGATAAAGAAAGATTGATGAGGTTCGGCTAGGTTTGCCTCTCAGGAAGTACTAGCCACGTGTGAATTAATTGAGTCTTTCTGTTGAGATAAGCATGTGATTTCGGATTGGTGCACAAATGGCTATTTATGTGCAATTCTCGTCTCCTTTCACCTGTGGAAAGTTCGCTGTTTGGAAGAATCTTTATCAACATACAATTTGCTGCTGAATGTTGTGCTGCTCTGTTATAATGTATTTCTTTACAGCTTAAATTTGGTTATAACACGGTTGCACTGACCATTCACTGCGTATTTGCACAGCCTGCCCTATCGCTTCCCACATGCTGGTCAACTGTTGCTCAAAATGACCAATTTCCAGGTAATAACTTTACAACCAATGTCACTGCCTGATTTACATGTACGTGTGGGAACTGGCTGGTTGCACACATGCACAATCAAACTGGTATCGCACCTCGCTGTAAACGGGGGCTGGGATTTTATAGATCTCAAACATGATGATGTTATAACGAGACAGCTCTGCTGTACATCTGGATTCTTAATATAATGAGAATAGGTTATCTGGCAAATGAAAATGCACATAATAAATTGACTCATCCTCCATGTTACCAGTTGGTTCCTGGAAAGTTGCTGAGGTATAAAAGATAACTGTTACAGTGGCCCTCACCTGCACAGGCAGGCCATAATAGTTAGAAATGTACAAAACGTAACCATACATAAAAAACAACCAGGAATTCTGTGAAGCCAAGGACTCAATTTATAAAGGAATGTTCCTCTAAAGCATCCGTTTTCAAACTTTTTCAAGCTGCCCATGCCCCCCCACCCAACCCTTCAGACGTCAATGTTCCACGCACACCACCATCCTTCTAAATTCCAGTATAAAACCTGCTCTAAATTATGTGATTGAAAGAAATGCCCCCCAAATTAAAATGTTAAGAAATGTCAAAACAAACATTTTGTGAATGATTTCCTAAGCAACATACTGTAGTTGACAAATGCAATAGAAACAATCATCAGTTAACATGCAAACTTGATTTCCAAACAGTTACTCTGCAACAAAACCTGTGTTTTTTCTTTTCTTCCCTGTGTATCTGGAGCCTCCAAATGGCATTCTGTATTAAATGAAAAGCTTGAACATGAGTGTAGTTAAATGGGTTCAGGCAGGCCATTTATAGCTAGAAGCAAAAGAATTAGGGTTACAAAATAAAGTACTTACAACAACTTGTGCACTGCTGCTCAGTCCCGTCCCATAGTTGTCTGTTGCAATAACTTCAAATTTAAAGTAGGATCGTCTCATGTTTCTGAATGTAATTGCTGACTTGATGAGGCCAGTGTACGCCTCTATCACAAAACCATCCTTACCATCCTTCGAGGGTGGTATGATTAGTCGGTACTGAACAGCACTATAGTTTCCAGTGTCCTGATCTTCGATCTGACAATATAAAAAAAAAATTCCTTAGGCTAGTCTCATACAATATTCATAAAACACTACACACCTACCAAAAAGGTCATTTGGTTTAATTACTTTGTTTTGTTTTGACAGTGAAGACAGTTACAATAACAAAATTAGGACAACATTTTCTATTGGCCGTAACCAGAGATCATGTACAGCAGTAATGGTAAATAGCAATACCGTAATCCATCGTATTTTTTTCTTCTGAAGGCACTGATTGTGGGTGGGTTTGGTTCCATGCATATTGGGATCACACTGTGCCACATTCAAATGCAAGGATCAGTATAATTGTTCCTGTGAGTGGCAGTACACAGCCAATCCCTGGAACGTTAATACTGATCCTTGCACTAGATATATAATACCTGTAATACTGAAAAGTTTCAAAGTACTGCACGTGTGATTGCTGTTGAATGGAAGAAAACATGCCAGCCATTTTGCACACGGCAAAGTCCCACAAACAGTTATTAAGTAAATAATGAAGTGATTTGTGCAGAGGACATTGGGGAAACTCATTTCGAAAAGTGTCACAGAATCCTTAACATCCACCTAATCTGAAGGACAGCATTGTAAAATGCAATACATCCCCAATACTGCACTGAAGTGTCAGTTTGGACTAGAAACTCAAATCCAAATGACAGACTTCAATCCATAACCTTCTGACACAGATGTGAGAGTGCTGAGCTAGAAGTCAACATCTGGAAACTTCAAAGCTTCAAAGAACTGCTCAAAATCAGAAAGATACTGAACTACATTGACATTGGGAATTAATATCCATGTCATCATGACTTCAAACTCCCAGCAGTAGAATGATAATGTGGAGCTGGAAGCCTAATTTAATTCCTTCTGCTTGTTGCAATGGCCAGAGGCTGTAAAATAACTAAATCCTGATGTACCAGTTCTGCGGTTGCGTAACTAAATGCATGCCTTCCACCAAAACAGTCCCTTGAAAGTTATTGGGTGCACATCAAAGTGTTCCTAGAACCACCTCTTCAGGGCAGTCTCAAAAAAAGATCTCTTTGCATTTCACTCCCCAATGACACTATTCAGCCCAGATTGATACTGCATTTTTCACAAGTGAATACTGCAGTACAAAAACAGCTTAGGGCATCACTAAATTAGTGGTTTTAGAAGCTGAAACAATCCTGTTAAACTATGCTCCAGCTTCTATTTATTCAAAGAAAGCAAAATTAATGTTCTGTTCATCAGTGTTTGTAATCGCTCCTTGAAATTTGAGAAATTGCTTCCTTTAGTCCATACATAGCCTTTATTTTCTCTCGCTTGAAAAACAAATTAGGGGGCAATCACAAAAATCCATGTTTAATGAGTTTCCAGAGTGAAAATGGTGCAGTGAAAATTTCAATATTATTGCTACAAACCATAAGGCAACAAAAATAGCAAATGCGATGCTGCATTATCTGTTGTTAAACAACTTAATTTAGAAGAAATTGCTTCAATGGTGTAAATGGTGTTGTTTCACTCTCTCAATAACAACTGCATTTAAGAAGTTACCTTTTTTTTTGAGTGCAGAAATATAGGTTCCGGCTAAATTCAGCCAGAAGAGGGAGGCTCTGTACCACAGTCTGATCTGTGCAAATGTTGCTGCCAGTTTTTGCTACCGATTATATCTATATTCGAAAGAAGTGTATGTGTTGGTTATCTTGCTACTTGTCTGTAATGACCATTCACCTTCATGGAAACGAGAACTAAAGTGGTGCCATTGCCAACAGCAGTTTAAAAAAAAATCTTACTTTGTAATCAAAGATTTAATTTCAAAATAAATTTTTAATTATTAGGTTAAGTCTACATGGTCAAGATAAATTTAAGACATTCAATTGTGAAGAAAGAATAAATGAACTAATTTTCCTTAATGGATTTGCTAAACTGATATTTGTTCTTAATCGGTTCTTAAGTAAAAAATAATTTTATAAATTAAGGGCACATATTTGTACTTTGGACTTTTAATTAGGCAAAAGCATGGTTCAGCTTCTTTATACGGGTGTGTTTCAGTAATTTTACATTTGATTACTTTTGCTGCAATTGGTATTTATTGCTTGCTCAATACTCCTATTGTTCCGATCATAATTTCCAATTATTTATGCATCTAACAATAATAATCCTTGCATTTGATATAACACCTTTTATGTCGGGAGGACATCTCAAAGCACTTCATGGGAATTACTGAAAGTGTAATAATGGTAAATGGTGTATTTGTAGGCATCTCCTGTAATAGATAATAACAGTAGATGCATCTAATGTAAGTAATCAAATCCCATCATTGAGATATCATTATTGCACAATTATTTTACAAGGTTCGATCCCCAAAAAGGCAAATATAACTATTTTGTGCATTCAAATATTTTAAAGCATGTTGATGTCCTAATGGCTATGTGTGATAAAACCAATTGCAGTATTTTTATTAGTTAATAACTTACTTCTCTTTAAGGTAAGCTACATTCAATTTTCAAAAAGCCTAGTTTTTTATAAGAATGTATCAAACATAATGCAGCCATAATTCATCATTTGATCTAAAAGGATTATCAGTACATAATAGTACATACATAGTTCTCAAAATCTTTTCAAAGTGCTGTTGCACAGTTAGCGTTGCAGAAGGTTGAAACTGAACTGATATTGCAACAACAATTTTACATTTATGTAGTGTCTTTCATGTTGGGAAGATGTCTCGAAGCACTTCACAGAATTGCCTTGAAGCTCAAGCTGGGGTATTGAGTGTTTGCATGTGTTTGTTGAAAAGGCCACGTTAATATATCAGAAAAAACAACTGATAGCCTTAAATTTCTTCACAGCTACTACATTCATATACAAAATTCCTTTGAACTCCTTTGAAAGGGAAGACGATAATTGCTGTTTATTTTCCCCCACAATCCTGTAAAAAGTGGGAGGCGAACATAATTTAGAGAAACAGCCTGAGATGTAATAAACTCAGTTCATGCTTCTGAACAATTTACCTATAATTTTATTGTTTCTGAATGAATTTCAATCAACTCTCTTATTTGATTAGTGTTTGAAGCTTGCAGCCAAATCAACATCCTCCTCTGAGAACCAAGTATTTTTCTGATCCTTTCACTCAGAAAAGAAAACATAACCAGGTCAAGAGGATCAAATAGGCCCAGGGAAAAGCTGACAAATGACAATCAGCTCCTAGTTTATCTGCAGCAATATAAGAATTGTATTCATATGCTAAAAAAGGTTGGATAGATATTACTGTATAGGAGATGGCCATTTGACCATAGGTGGGTTCCAAAATGTGATATTCGCAAACTAGATTCAAGTCATTAATTGCTAACTAGACTTTCTGGGAAGGGATAGGAGGGAATGGAACATGCATCAAATCAATTGTGAAATGCTGTTTTAATGCATCACATTGTCTTGCATTAATCTTTGGTCACAGATGGATCTTTGTGCCTGAATATCAATCCGCTATGAATCATCCAAATACAAGGTCTCATGTTCCTTCACTTTGATGAAATACAAGTCAAAGTATAATTTTTGAGAAATAAACAATTTGACCATATCATGTGTTACTGAACTTAAATGAGCCCTAACCATATAAGTGTAATTTGCCTTTTTACAGCCAATTTACTGGCACTAAAAAGCCAGCATAAATTCAGGCAATGAGGGTCCATATTGTGAAAGTTCATTGTGTGCTGCAACATCCTGCAGTCTGATCACGCTGAACAAAGACAGAAGCTAAGGTAGGAAATCATCCTGTGTGGACCACCTAGTAACATTTCCTGCAATAGGAAATAATAATTGGTGCCCTGCAGCAAACAAAAAAAGGCAGAAGCAATGAATCACAATATTATATTTAAAAACGTTTTCCTTGAAGAATTTATTAAGAGGTTTATTAAGATAAACACATTATTGGGAAAAAGTTTCACATGGGTCTAATTTTATTTGATTCAGGTACCATTCCAGAACATCCAGAATTTGGCAAATTGTTGAATTCAGCTTTAACTTAAAAGAACTGACAGAAAACCAACTTCACAATTGAGGCTTTATTAGAGTAAATTTGGACCCAGGTGAAATTTCAACCATTTATACATTTTTATAAAGTGAAAAAATAACTAAAGCAGGTCCTGGCAATACTATTGTGCATATCCAAAAACAAAGTAAAACTTGAAAAAGAACTAATGCAGTCAAAACCTTAATGGGAATGTACTGAAAGTCAATCACAGAGTGAAGCTGCACATCAGACCAAATGGAATAGTAAGTTATCTTCTCAACTTCAGATTCCTGAGGTACATCAGTCAAGGATGATGATATCAAGTGTTCAATAATAGATATATTGATGACTCAAACAGTCTGATTGCAATACTTTCAGTCCCCAGATCACTCATTGTCCTGCTGCCTTTTGAGTCATGAGGTGGATGAATTGAAGGCTGTACACCTGAGTAGCATCAATGATATGGACCTTTTTTGCTGCTTGCTTTCTGGTTACCCTTCTGAGTGGTACACTTGTGGAGAATCCTGTGCTGGATGTGTTATTCTCTGTATTTGGTTTGGTCCCTGCTCTACTCCTCAGCTCTTGGCTTGTCAGGACTTTGACACCTCTCACCCAGAATTATCTGAGCTAATTTCCTCCTGCGTACAACCTGAACAGTTCTTCATCTAAATCTCTCGGGTTTGTTTTCGTGAGCTTGGCTCCATCCTTAGCTGATTTCCTCGTATCTTTTGCAAGCCTTGTTCAGTCATATCACATATTTAAGGCCATTAAAATTCTCTATCACATTCCAATTTTCAAAAGGGTAGTTTATTTTATATTTCAGCAAAGACATCACAGCTTCCAGATGATTTGGGAAATTCTATTTCTTCTCTTCTGATATGTGAAATCTCTCCTCAAAAATTGCAATTTTTGATGATTTTGGTTCGCACATAATTTTGGATGATTTATTGTCGGTTGAATGACGTCACTGATGCATTTCTTGTTATTAACTTAAAAAATATACAGAGTTTGCATCAAATTTGCTGCTGGATAACTTATCAAATTGCATCAAATTTGCTGCTGAAATAACTTAATTTATGATCTGCAGTAAACTACCACACGGAAAGGCAAAAAACAACAATAAAAATAAAAGCAGTTTAGTATACATGGGATAATTTCCTCACATTATTAGAAATTATAGCGCTTCAATTTATTTCAATGTTAAGGGCAGAAGAGTTTTTTTTAGAAAAGCAGCAAGTAGTGACATGTAAGAGATGGATCATGATTTACACTGGCCAGAATTAATTAAGCCACCTTATCTCACAGAGCCAAACAACCTTCCTCTGATTTTATTGTACACAAAGTGACCTAATCTAGTTTATGAAAAGACAGATGCTTGACAAATACTAGTTAAATTAAGTGGGTTAAAATCATATTACTTTTGTTTGACAACAAAAATAGACCTGCTTAAAAATGTTTGCATTCACCACAATGTATATCAATGCTGGATAATGGAAGACATTTCCACTTTTGACACCTATGTTAATAACAAAATTTAGTCTTGGATTTTCTTGCATCAACATGCTTTTATTCTGTACTTTGATCAACAGGTACATTGTCCAGAAAATTATTTAATCCAAATATATATTAAATGATTGCACATATATACAAAGACAAACACATCAGCACTCTGACTCACTATTAAATTATTTTCCTACAAAATATACACACACTACAAAGCGCTTTGAAACATTCTCCCAATGTGAAATGTGCTTTATCAGTGGCAAGAATTCGTATTATTATGTATTACATAGCAGCTTACTAGAATACACTTATAATTAGAATTCTGTTGAGGGACACGGACTACGTGCGTGGTGCAAGTGTTAAACTGTATCTCTCTGTTTAGTTATAATATCTGAAAATAATTTGGTATAAATTCCAGAAGGTAATTATTTATTTGGTTGATGTAGCCACTGAAGCAATGTATCGAGCTGGAGATTCACATCAAATCAGTCAGGATTCGAAGTTTTCAATTGCTCAGCACAAATATTTAGACAGTATTTTCCATTTAAATAATGAAATCTAAAGGTAATTCATCATTCCCACTCACCTCAACCTGCAGCACAGAGGTGAATGTCTTGGCATCTTCAGCCACTCCACCCAGGTATAGAGGTCTGGTGAAAACAGGGGCATGGTCATTTTCATCTTGTACCTCAATGAAAACCTTTGCAGTGTTTGCTGGAACAAAAATAGCAGGATTACTAATGGATAGGTGATACTTACTCACAGTAATGCTCTGAGTTATAGTTTAAGGAGATTGCTTGGACTTCCTATCAACTTGCAGGAACTACATTCTGGAAGCAGATTCCAACGTCTTGGTCTAATTCCATTTCCACGATTTAAATTGCTTATTAAGGAATTTCATTGAGAAATACTGAAAAATAAATCCTACTAGTTGGAAAAGCCAAGTATTAAAATTATATTTTAAAAAATTCCTGCCAGTGATAGGGTTCCCATAGATTTGTTATGTTGAAATTTAACTTTTCATTTTGTGAGAATATTTGATTTCTTCAATCTTGCCTTAATTGTATAAATGTAAAACCATTTTAGCAAACATATTATGCACAGTTACACTGGGAATACGTTTGCTTCAACACTGTGTTCTGTGGTATCTATATTATACGTATGTATCTCAGCATGACAGTTCATATATATTTCAGTATGATTGAAAATACAATCCTATTTGAAAGCAGGCTCGCACATGATGTGGTATGGAGCCCTACCTAACAGGAATGTTCCAGTCTCAATACTGCTTGCGACAAATTGGCTTGCCTCTGTGAAGAAGTCAGTGGGACGCTACAATTTATTTCTGGGTGAGCATTCTGGGCGAGGAAGGGAAAAATAAGCTAAGGCTTTCATTGCTGATTGTTACCAGTGATTTCTGCTGCAAAATTTCCGTGTGAATACCAAATAAACATTGGGCTCAGTTGTGGCATCTTCACAGTTGAACAGCTAACTGACATTCCATGATAAAGGCTTGGCTACTTGTGTGAGGAGCTGGATGGATGCCAGCCAGCAACTGTGTAACCATACTAAAGCATGAGTCACCAACATGGAGAAGAAAATTGGAAAGAAAAAGATTACCACTAAACTCAAGGCAACATCCATCATCAATAGCAGATGAGAACATTTTATTTTCAATATAAGTCTATTTTACCACTAGAAGTACAAAAGGAAAACATGGTAAAATCAATTTAAAATCTTATCAATCAGTCAATCAGGGTGGCCTTTGTTTGGTTACCAGTTTTGGTGCTTTAAAGAGTGTGCTATAATGCTAAATGGTCTTCCAGAAATCGATATTTGCTGAAAGAGATTAACGCAAATTGATCACAAATGTGCAATGTGAGAGAAAATGTCCCCCTACCCCAATCAGTAAGGATCTAGGAATACTGAGATTCATATATCCATCAGCTCTATTGATTTTACCCCTTCTGTGCCTGACACACGCATTTGAAACACTTTAAATCATCACAGAATGCTCTTCATGCATAAGATACAATTTACCCAAGGAGCAAAATAATGTGGAAACAAGGAGACGATGCTAATAACAGCTCAATATCAACATTTCCGCAGTATATAAATATCCTAACATTTGTGACCACCTGGTGTGACTGACAGGACTAATAACTGAAAATTTGCCCAATTCTAAACACGATTACATCACAAGAGTAGCCTAACAGGTTAGTTACTCATCATGAATTAGAACTTCATTTGTCGTTGTACTTGTGTCTCCTAGACACTGCATTAGATTTCACAGGCAGTTAATTAAGTAGACATTGTACCTTAGGGCAATGTTTATAGTCTGAACCAACTCATGCCACGGACAAAAAGATAACCTTGGCTTTGATTGCACTTGAAAATTAAAGGTGAGGCAATATTTTATTTCTCTATAAGTCCGGTACAAATCATATGCTACTTGTGTTGTATGTGAAAATGGAACAGTACTGCTACATTTAGGAGTTTCTATGTTTTATGATTTGTTACCTATTCATTTAGAAATTGCAGAGCTATGTATAAAACTTAAATTTCAAGTGCTCATTAAATCATGTTTCCTAGATTTTGTGGCCTATTTTATGCATTCATTTTTTAAATATTCATGAATGTTTGATTCTGTATTAATCAGACTAATTTCTAAATGGCAACCCTTTCAAATGTTGGTACTTATATTCTGTAAGGGATACATCACATGCACTAATTTGCATCCACAATGCTAGTATTCACAATGGGATGATTCACTAGAAAATAATTTAACCCTGTCTTCAAGTCACTTTAAATTGTCAATCATATTTAAATTACACCTTACACAGTATGAGTTGGTAAGAATATATGTTCCAAATTATCATCATGGGACAACCAGCAATCAGAAAATATCCTGATCATAGAAACAAAGAAAATGTTTTGTTTTGAGGTATCTTCAGCCTTTAATGAGGTTGGCTATTTGCTTTGCTCAGCGTTGTCATCAAAAACTTTAAAACAACAACCAAAGGATGATTTTCTTCATGTAAGTACTTTATTGATGACATGTTCTGACTGAAAGACTTAGGCATTCAACTTTATTTTCTTTATAGGCTGCAGCTGGAGTTTAGAGGCTAAAATATGAATGTGACTTGTTCTCAACAATCCAATTCTTTCTAGATTAGTTCAACCAAGAGACCAATAATTTCACTCATCCTTGAAGTATTACTGAAGGCAAAGCTCTTTACAGACAATTCACTCTAGGAATATGTTCCTGCATTTGAAAGAAGTAAACTTACAAGTTTTTTTTGTGACTAAATAAATTAATTAAAAAAAGATAAAAAATCTATTGTGTTTTTTGAATTCTGGAATCTACAAAATTAACCGAAAGAGCTCCCAATTATGTAATCTCAGGAGTCAATCATACTCACCCCGTAAAGGCAAAATTGCATGAAAAGAAGCACCCTGCTGTGGTAACAATAGTGTTGACAACAGAAGCATACGTTATACAAGGAGTTAATTGAGGCTATGAACGTTTAACAAATTTATAATTTGCTAATGTGTTAAAACTAATATTATGGGTCTTCACATCCAGGTCTGTTATCGAGGCATAGGTTTCCAATGTTACATATGCATTGTTTTCTGCCTTAACTTCCAATACTCCAACTTAGTAATGGCCAATGACAGCTCATGTTTGACAGCAGATAGTTTTCATATTGATTAAACAGCAATATTATGGATAAAAGCTTCCTCCCCCCACCCCCAATGCCTAAAGATTTGATTCATACTTTTGTTATTTATAAGATCACAAAAACACAAGATTAGTTCGGATGAAGAAGGCCCTTCAGCACATCTGAGCTCATTATTCATGAATTATTAATTGTTTTTAAAGTCAATGGCTGTCTTTCTTCTAAGACCTTCTAAGCGGAGCACAGCAAACAGTCCAGATTGATACATTTGGCACAATGTAAGGTTACTTTTTCCAGTATTAACTGTTCTCCTTTCATTCCCACAGGAACATAATTTTGCCTTTTGAAGTGTGGGAGAACTGTGCCATGTTATGAAATTTCAGAAACCCAAAGGGTTATCACTGTACAGCCGAGACAAATAAAAGGAGTATAAAAAGTATAGATTTAACTGTGACAGAAAGCCAGTAACACAAATGTGGGCTGCAGTGTAATTGTTTTACTCTCACCGTTGGCAAGCTGTACATTAAATCGTATTTCTCTCAGTTCTCTTACAAAACCATATTTAGAAAACCTACCGACAGCTAGATGACCAATATTAAATCTAGTCAACTGAACCTATAAATTACATTCAACTAGAAACTGGTGAAACCCAGATAGTATCCCTTTGGTCCATCAAGATCAAATATTAAAGAATTATGATTCACGTTACCTTTCAATAAAATGCCTGAGTTTCTTGATAGATAATATTTATTGGTGCATGTAGCATCGCTTTTACAAATATAATATCTTTCAAAGCTCCTGAACAAATTTAGAGCTGGATTGATTTTTAAAATTGAGAAAGTCTACTCTGTGGACTAAGTCATATTGTACAATTTGAAGTTATAAGATTACATTTAATTTTCAAGGCATGATTTAAATGTGTCCTTAGGGGTTCAGCTGTATCTACAACAAAATATTTTTTAATTTACATTAAATATTTACACATGAATTGTTATTGCTTAAAACACTAATCTTATCAGTGAAATTCCTTACTGCAAGAATAACCTCAATCTGTAATGTGGAGACAAATGATGTATCTGTTGAGAAAACTTAAAATGCAGCTTTAACATGGATTTTTTACATTAATGTTAATATAAAACCACATAAATCTTCCCTTAATAGCTCTTCCCACTAAAGGTAAGTCAGATATCCCTCCCAATGATTTTGTGGATAAATGTATGGCAACATGGATGTATGCACAAGGCATACAAATGAGGAAGAATCCCAGTTCACCTCTATTACTGAGTGATCTGATCACAGCTGGTGGCAGTAGAGTTGTTTTGATATCACTTGGCCAAATCAGAAAAACATTGTCCAAAGTACCGGCCGCCTCCATTAACAGTGTTCACTGCTAGAAATGCATGTGTGTGATCAACAGGTGATAACAAAGATGGGCTCAGGTGTGCTGACTTTCATGGTTGAATAGCCCCGGTAAGCAGTGTCCAGCTGACTGATGAAGAAATGACAGCAGTATTTGAGTGAGGGCTCAGAAGATCATTGCCACACATGGAGTTGAATGTCAGCCTAAGTTACCACATTGACAAGAGGACTAGAAACACAGCAACTTGGAGCAGATCTAAGCAGGTAAATATAAATGAGATGCCATATAGTTGTAAGTTTGAACATGTGGAGTACTGTAGCTCAGTGGTTAGAGCACTTGCCCTGCAAGCGAGAGACCTGGGATCTATTCCTAGCAGGACGAAATGTTGGGCAAGTTTCCTTACTCCACACTCCTCTGTTTACCTAGCAAAATGTAGGAACCCGGTTGTTAGTCGATTGGCAGATCACTTTTCCGGGAATAATAATCCCTCAAAAAACCCCAATAATAATTTGGTCAGTAAATCCATGACTGTTTGTGGGACACTGCTGTGCGTAATTGGCTGCCGGTTTTGCCCACAAATATACAGTCAATTCACTTTACAGTATTTCCTGTGAAGCGCTTTGAGATGTCTGGAAGACGTGATAAGGCGCTATATCAAATGCAAGGATTATTATTACTATTGTGTGGATTTCAGTAACACAAAAAGTGGAACGTTCTACTCCACATGTAGCTCCTCTATATATTATCCTCACTGAATTAACGCGGAAACCCAGGAAAGCACGACACTATTGATATCCATCTGGCCTGTCCCAATGTAAATATTAATAATCTAGCACTCTATGCCCTCTCAATCATTTTATTTGCCAAATGGTTAGCTAATTCTCTTTGAATTAGTTGTTTATTCTGAGCTGGAATCTGTATCCTCTTTTCTGGATTATTTGACTATGTTGAACATAAAGGGATCAAATTTGTAAGATTTGTCTAAGGAGTGGAAAACGTCATTGCATATTCCTTTTAATTGCTATTCGCAATTTCCAAAAGACAGCAAAGTGCCAAAAAGAAGGCTAGCGTCCAAAATGCTGTCAACCACCTCTTTTGCAAATACTGCAAATTAATTTGGCCTCAATTACTAGGATTCAGTCTATCTCTCTCCTTTAAGGTCCTGAATATTTTAATAAGGTCTCCGTATAGCCTTTTTTCTTCAATAGGAACACTCTCAATCTCCTTAGCGTAACCATAGTCCTGGAAAGTAAATAATTCTAAAGGTGCAAACTCAATTTATGCCATCCTGCTCAGGAGACTGTAGTATCTACACTTACGGTATATATTACTTTCCAGCTGCACTTGGATGGCAAATTATTATTTTCGTTATTCTCTGAAAAATTGAAATCGCAATAATTTTAAACAGCATGTTCATTTTCTTCCTGTTTCTTTGCAAATATGTAAAACCTGAGAATTTTTCCCCCGTCAGACAGATGTCTGCCACATGCGGAAACCATTGCCGTCTTTAAGATTATCCAAACCAGACAGAGGTCCACATATGTATGCCACCTACTTATGAAAATGTTCAGGTCTAGAATGGAATGCATACTCTCGCTCCCAGAGGAACGCATGCTGCTTACCTAATTACTGAAAATTCAGCGCAGGTTGACTTAAGTGTGAGGATCCCAGATTGTGCATTTGGGGTACTGCTGGAGTTTAACCAGCTAAAACCACACAATGTGCCATTAAGAGCACAATCTGGCTAGCTTCCCCCTGTGTGTCCAGCTCGGACCACTCTGCCTGTTACGGTTTAGGTTTGCAAGGTTAACAGGAGCAACAATCGCTGCTCCCAGTCACCAGTCTTCCCCTCTGCTCTGAATGTTCTGTAAAGCCTGCAAAAATTGCTGGATATAAAAAATTAAAATAGAATTTAAACAGATTTTTAAATCCAATAATGTTACATACACATTTATGAATGAAAGAGAATTTTAAGTTATACAGTGATAGAAATGACTAAAATAGAAAATTGATATCTTATATAAATTTCATAACGAATTTTTAAAAAATATATTGCTTTTTAAATCAGGTTTCAACTGCAGAACATCACGCTGAAAAGAATGAAGTATGAGATCAATCTGAAAATTCTGCAGTAGAAAAATATCCCCTTTGCTCTAGCTTGCTGGTCGATAGCAAACCACAAATGACCCTTTTCCTTCAATTTATACCATAACTTTTCATCCAACACTGACATAACTACAGTAACCTCCCAGGAATCACCAACCAGTCACCCACGTCACCATTACCGTCACTCCTCTCTCATGTACATTCATTCTCCTTTGACTCCAGGTTTAGCTTAATTTCTATGATTCCTACAACACTGCAATTAGCAATTGCTGCCAATTCCAACATTTTATTTTGAAAGTTTCCGTCAGTTATAGGTAAACTGAAATCAGAAGGTAGCATTCTGTAATGTTATTAAAAGTTCTATTGTTTAATAACATTAAAAATGAAAGGATTATTATTTTTACAAAATTGAGTGATTGAATGTTTTTTCTGGCAGTTTAATGGTCTGCCTGAGAATTCTCAGCAAACCACAACACCAAACGTAAGTTGATTCAAACCCCCACTTTTAAATTGCTGTCGAATGAATCAAACTGCTTGTGGAATCACCATCTCCAAGTGGCATCAGGTTCAAGGCTTCAATGCAATTTGCAATGACTTTATTTGATTTACTTTGTAGATTTGGCATTGCATTCATTAAAGAGAATATACATGCAGCACCAGATTACTGACCATTACATATCCCTACACAGATAATTGCCTCAGGCAGATTGTCTATCAATCTTCTCAAAAGTAAAAATAATATATGCTACATCGTTTCATGGACCAGAACTGCAAGGGTCGGAATGACAAATTCAAACTTTTGTGAGGTTTCAGTCTTAGCTGTTCTGAACTTGTATTTTTAATAAGCTCCAAATCTGACCATTGATAACTTTGATAGTTTGAATTCCATGTAGGTCTTGAGGTAGGACACTTTGAATCCCATTCAATAAGAGCTGAAAGATTTTACCAACACTAGAGAGTTGGACATTAATATTTAACTACTTGTTAAGATGAAATGACTTCCATGACAGTATTTAGCCTTCAGCAACATCCAAAATCAAATATATAACATTTCACAGTGACTCTCATACAGAAGCTTTGGGATGTTTGCTGTTCCACTGACTTTAACTTCTCAAATACAAGTGCACAACTGAATACACGTTGGACAACAGGACAATGCCGATCTGAGCTGCTGATATCTATTTCATGTTAACAATTTCAGATGTCTGCATACAGACTCTCACGTATCTTTCCACAGCCTTAACACAAGCACTGCTGGGATATCTGAAGTGCAGAATAAATGAAAGATTTGCACAAGACTGCCCTCAAAATTAGAGCAGTAAGCAGGGGATTTTATGAAAAAGTTTTGGACCAAACTCTATTAACACAGGGAGTTCCAGGAATATAGTAAAATATCATATGTAAATCTCTGCGTTATAAAAAGGAGAATGTTGGATTAAGAAATAGAAAACTTGACCAAACATATGAACGAGTATTAATTTTTTTGCTAAAAATTATTTTACATAGTAATGTATTTACTAAATACATTAGTATTTACAGGCATAAAATGATGTGATGTAAAAGTGGAGACTTACTTCTTGATGGAACTCTGAGATTTGATCGCACCAGCTGCAATGGATCTGCCTGGATTCTAATTTCAAAGCTTTTTGTTGTCTCATAGTCCAGTGTGTTATTTGTAGTGATGACTCCTGTGCGTTCGTCAATCTTAAATTTTCCTGATTATTCACACAAAGAGCACAATAACAGCTCACACAAATGAATATTTATGGTCACAAAGTAATAACATCAGGCAGGAGCAGACCATTGGTCCATTAAGTCTACCTTCCCTAAAGATTCTTTTCACATGTCTATCTCATCACCCAATAACCTCAAACCTTTTAACTTCTAGGAATTTACCTGCTTCCTTTCAGATTTCCTTTTGAATTCTGCCACCTGTGCTTGTAGTCTGTTCCATATGCCTTTCTATTTACTGCACTACTTAGTTGCATTTTTAACCCGTCGACGCATTCTCTACTGCGTACACACTTACCGGCTGCAATGAAGCACACATGCGCACTGTAGATTATTGGTTAAATCAGATTTTATATGACTTATACAGTTTGTCTGCAACTCGAACTTTGCTAAGTCATTCTAAATGTTATGGTCCCGAATTATACGACTTATTTTTAAGCTATGACCTCCTTGTGGTTGAAATCTTTTGAAATATTACAGATAAAAATACCTGCAGAAATTGTCTGCAAAAAGTTCCAGCCTTCCTTAGTAAAGTGACCTTCCCTTCCTTCACTTTATAAATATATATTTTACTCCAAGACTGTCGGAGCATCACAATTGCCTTATGATTGTAAATTGAGGTAAAAACATGTTAATTAACTTGTTCAGGTCAATTTTTGTACTATATGTAAATTCTCAAACAGCAATTAAATATTCTTTGGTCAAATTTGAGCAGGTGGGAATATTGGCCAAGTAACCATTAGAAGCTCATGCTATTCTTTTAAATAGTCCCAATGGATCTTTAGCATCCACTTGAACGGCAAAAAGATGGGACCTGTATTTATTAACAACACCAGTAAGGTCAAACTCTCTCAGTACTGCAACTGGAATATCAACAAAGTCACATTTTGAGCTCACGTCCTACATGCTCTGACTCAGAGTAGAGACTGCTATAAACTGAGTCAAAATGACATTGAGTAATGCACAAATAGAATGAATAATATCTTACTCCTGTCAGTCAAAAAGGATACAACTCAGGAAGCCATTCTCCTCCATCCAATTTTCTTTTTTCTTTTTAAAAAGTGATTGAAATGATTGCATATTCGTGTACCCAGAGTGACCTTTCAGGAATAAGCTGACATGCCATGTCCGACTGATTCTCGAAAATGCATCAGTTGAAAACTAATCGCTAGAAGGTGAAAAATATTGGAGTCTGTGCAACCTTGAGGCTTGGACCACTAGTCAAATGAATTCTACTCTTCAAGGTATTTTTTCTTAGGTGGCACCTCACAGAGAGCAAAGGGACAACATGAATAACAACGGAAAGATTTTTATTTTACACAAAGTGATAGAAACAGCGAGAAAATGACCCCGTATTGTGCCTTGTGGGAAGACAATGCTGACATCCCAGCTAGAAAAAAAAGGGTGGCTAAATTTTTGCCACAGAAGGGAAAATAAACAGCAGGAATGCACTGCATGAAATACAGAAACAAACTAAAAACACTTTAAAATCAGTAAACATCAATTCAAGGAATTGGAATATTCCAGAAAAACTGGATAAAATATTCAAAACCGAATACGTTCTTGCCAAGAGGAGCAGAGGGAAATAGAACTAGCAGAAGAAAAGGCAATCCAATAAAGTAGTCAAAAGTCACCTAACTTCTAAAAGGAGAAACTTCTTAAAGAAAATTAATCTCCCCTAGTGGATAGTGGCCAATATTCTACTAATGTGAGTCTGAATACATGAAAAAGAATTAGATGTTTGAAAATAATTACAGAAAATCTAAAATTCAAATTATTTTGAACCACAACTCTTTTAAACTTAAGATAATTATTTATTCAAAAATATGAATTTTCATTTCTATGCATTCCCTTGGAAAAAAACATTTTTACATTGCAGTCAGAAATTATGTACATGTTAATTTCAATTAAAAAGTTTCCATGAAATTATTTTAGGACATGACCCTTGAAACCACTTCCCTCTCAAAATAAATTCAAGATTTTTTTGGAATTCACTTACTGAATGCAACATTAGCAAAATAAATTATTTTATTTTACTATATGAGAACATCCAATTTATTCTAAGGCTGCTATTGATATCTGGCAGAAACATATATCATCAAGTGGCAGCAAAGATACCGAAAGTGCATTGGATACTTTATCAGCACTGACAGATATATTATTGCTTTGGTACAAAAGAACATGGAAAAGTGTTGGGCCAAATTTCATAGAGTCGTGAAGATCTGGGGTTAACATTTCCTCGTTCTGCCTCAAAATTAAACAACCATCACAGCAATTTATATATGTTATTTAACCACAGAAAGATATTTTATCCATAGTCACAAGAGCATTAAAGTGTGGAATACCTGATATGAAACAGGTTTGATACCAGAAAGAAGCAAGCATAATTTGGTCGTCTAAAGATCAAGTGAGTTATGGGCCTGCCAGAAGTGATGATTTAGTCTCAAAATCACTGTTCCTGAGTCTTGTGTGCTACTTACTCAACACATGTATTCTTAAAGTTGTTTCATTTTTTATAAAGTCTCTTGTTGTTTCTAAAAGCATGGCACAACGCCAATACACAATGGATTAAGCATTATTATATAAATTAGAACTAAACTTTCTTTCGAACAGCGGCACCAGCCCCTTTCAATTTAATACAAATTAAGTTTCTTCTCTAAATGATACTTTCTGAATGGCAATTATAAAGCATCTCCGAGTACATATGTTCAGACGACTATGGGCTTAAAGAAAAACATTTTTATATTGTACTCTGCTTACTCACTCTTAGGCACTATTTGTTGAGTCAGAATTGGTGACTGTGAACCAAATTTGGAACAAGTAAGAGTTGCAGACTTTACTCTGTATACAGTACTGGTATTCCTTACTATCCTCATGTTCTTATTATGGGATGCCCGTGTATGCCCGTGTATATATGTGGAGTCCTGTAGCTCAGTGATTAGAGCACTCGCTTTGCAAGTGAGAGACCTGAGTTCAATTCCAGGCAGGGCGAAATCTTGGGCAAGTTTTCTTACGCCACACGCCTAATAATAATCCCTCCAAAACCAAAAATAAATTGGTCATTTTCAATCTACGACTGTTTGTGGGACATTGCTGTGCGCAATTGGCTGCCACGTTCGCCCACGAATATCCAGTCAATTCACTTTACAGTGTGTTCTGTGAAGCGCTTTGGGATGTCCTCCCAACGTGAAAAGCGCTATATCAAATGCAAGGATTATTATTATTATTATATGTCTGCGGGGGGGAGAGAGAGTTTGGAATGGACCCAGGTCACAATTGTGCTGAAAAAAATAAGTGAGGATGAAAATCCGACAACAGGGAACGCATCACCACAAATCTAGTCACATACATTCTACAATTAATTATGTTGAAAACAATAAATGAAATATTTTTAAAATTGATTTACCAAGTAGCAAGTGATAATGGTTTCTAGCCATGTTGTTCAATTTGTGGTTTGTAAACTTTTGCATAAGATTGAATCATATCATTACTTGGCAAGATTGAAAAATTTAAGATTGCATAATCAATGTGCCCTACCAAATTATTCATCTGAAAAATGTTCTTACCGCCATCATTGCCGGCTATAATTGAATACACTATGGTTTGATTGATAGCAGCTGCAGTTACAGTGACAACTGTGGTTCCTATTCGTGCACCTTCACTTACAGGTGGAGGTCTGAAAGACAAAAAAAATCTAATTCAAATGCTGTAACCAAAACTAATCATTTTCAAAACCAGTCAAGCAAAACAATCATTTTCACCTGAAGCCTGTAACTTTTGTTTGGAACTGTTGTAAATGTTCAGGAACAGATAAACCCTTTCTTTCAGTTTGCTTCTCTCTTAATCCTGATACACAAGTACTGGTTGTCGAAACAGCGCCTAAGACTACCAGTTTATAAATGAACAACAACAAAATTACATGTGTAAAGCACCTTTCACGTCAGGGGGACGTCACACCCAGCGCTTTGGAACTTCCTCCCGATGTGAAAGGCGCTTTACAAATGTAATTTGTTGTTGTTGGTGTTGTTCATCTATAAACCGGTAGTCTTTCATTCCAACTAGGTTTCTAAAGAACTTTAACAAAATTTCACACAAAAAGACTTGTTTCCAAATGATGTTATATATTACTGGGTATCAGGGATTAGCCACAAATGCAGATTTTAATTGGCTGAAGGAAAGGAAGCAGAGAATAGTTATAAGAACTAGATCTTGGATCTCTCCTGTTCATGGTACAGTAAATATCAATGATCTTTATTAACAGACCCAGTGCAAGGTAGTTCAGTTTGTAGATGACAGCATGTTATTATCGTGTTTTGCCACAAAAATATACAGTCAATTCACTTTACAGTGTATTCTGTGAAGCGCTTGGATAAGGTACGATATCAAATGCAAGGATTATTATTATTAGTAGTAGAGACCTGAAATCTCTCATAGTTTTAGGCTTAAATTTTCAGACAGTATAAACCCAGATTTTTGCTAAATTCTAAAATTCATTTTAATTTGGAAGCCAGTTTTCCACACTTTGTAAAGGTGGAGCTAAACAGTTTCCAAATAAATACGGAATTCAAGAATTTTGGAAAAGTCTGCAGGATCTTATACTTTTAAGACCATGAAGAATTTCAAGCCTCAGGGAGCCAGCTAAGAACTCAACATGATAGCTCAACAGGGTATGGATCTTGGCTAAACACTGAGGGAAAAAAAAGTCAATAAGGCTCTGCATGTAGGAAATGTAAACAGAGACTCATGCACTCCATGGATGGGATAGAACTCACCAAGGGAGAAGCTGAAAGAGACCTTGTTGTGGTTAGTTTAGCCCATTGCTGATGTTGATTCATTCAATGCACCAAGTCAGTTTTCATCAATTGATGCCAAACACAGCATTTGCAAAATGCTGACGAGTGGATTAAGGTGTGACCCCTACAGGAAATGTGACCTACCATTCCTCAACAATTATAAATAAACAATAATAATAATAATCCTTGCATTTGATATAGCGCCTTATTACGTCTTTGAGACAACTCAAAGCGCCTCACAGAATATACTGTAAAGTGTAGTGACGATGTGTTTTGTGGGCGAAACACATCCACTATTATAGCTATTGTTGGACAAAGTTTAGAAACAGACTTTTCCAGGATTTGTCCAAGATATTCAACATTCAGATGTTTTTTCCTTTTGCTTATCACTTTCATTACATCTTTCATTTAAATCTATTCTATTGCTAATGCATGGTATTTGTACGAATATCTATGTCAAGATTCTCATTTTGATTATGAACATTTGAAACCATCCGAAGGTTGGAAAGTTAAAACATTAATATTCTCTAATGGGATTTAAGGTTAAGGAACCATGTGAGGTTTGAATTTTCATCCAGTTGTTAACTTTCTCGTGGATTCTATATACCTGCTGAGCCATTCAGGCTAACTATATTGTATGACTTATATGACCCAAAGACTCTCAAAATACAACTATTTGGTTTCCAATTTCTAGAAGTTTCTGGACCAAAGAATGGATAAGGAAATCTGTAGAATACTGTGTAACTGGTTTCCAGATAAATAAATGTGCTCTACATAGGAAACTAGATTTACATGTCATGATATATCAAGGACTTGTGGTAAAAGGTCTGTGGTTACACTTCCAATTAAATATAGAATTAAATATGAAGGAATGGGTCAAATTGCATGTAAGAATATTTAAATATGCAGCGTTCCACCACTCACTTGCACAATTAAGGAAATGCTCTGGATAGTTTTAAGTACTGGAGTGCTGTGATCTACACACCAACTTTGAACTTTTCATTTTCACATGTATAGAACAAGACCAAATGCAAGTATCTACAGATGCACACCACCAACTTTGGCTGCATATCCCATTTGGAAATTTATTTTCAATTTAAATATAAAACATCATACACAGCTGTATTTAACTCAACACATGTGAAGTCAATCTCACATTGAGCCATTGAAAATGCCCCAAAATTGGTGATGACTTTCGACTTGCATTTCCTTAGCTCTGGAGAATGAATTGTAACATGTGCTTTACAGAACAAAACATCTGTGACCTACTGTATGCAAGGTGACATGGTTAACTGAATGCACAATCTTTGGATGTGCTTGAATGAAGCCCATAATGCAGAAACTAATAGCTGCTATGACCTTCACAACTATAGGTAACACAGGGAAAAATCACAGATTGAGAATGTAACTCACTTTGCAATCCTGACATAGTCAATCAGAAGGAATCTGCTCAGCATAAATCTCCCAAGGCACTGTCTTTCAGTAAAAGCCACATAATCAGTTCTTAGTTAATACATTCTGTTGGGAAATATTGTCTCCATCTGAGTTCCTGATGTTCTTCAGAGCTGCCGTATCTAAATAGGATAGATGTTCCCCTAGGACTTTCTTTTCCAAAGTAAAGGCTATGAATCTGAATACTTTAATCGTGCACTGATAGCAATAAACTAAACTTCAACTTATGACTTAAATGTGCGAGTATTTGATACTATTCTGCCCCAAATATGACTTCAATTGGGTCTTAATAATCTTGGTAAAGAGTATCATTATCAGCCATTCGTACCAAATGGATCATTTATATCAACAGTAAATGTAATGAAATCCAATTTATTATACCACTTTCATTTAAATCTATTTGAAAGCTAATACATGGTGTTTGTACAAATATCTATGTCAAGATTATTTTTCCTTCTGTTTTTCTTACAGAAACACAACTGACACATACGCTTTTATTTGCTTTGTTCATTTCTGGTCTGCAAAGTGTCAGGAGACATTTTAGTATTGAAAACTAATCATGAGTCATTTTTATTACCATCAAGGTTTCTACAAAAATCCACTAATCAGACAATTTTAACTGCAGATCACAAAATCATGAGAGGTTTGGAAGAAGGGCCTTCTTCCCATTTGATCTCAGCCTAGAGTACCCACCCTATTGACTTCGCATTACAGCATCAAACTGTTTCTTAAATAAATCCAGTGTCAAGACCTTAAATAACCGTCTAGGTAGCCCGTTCCAGTCATTAATTACTTTCTTTGTAAAAAAAAGAATACTTGCTGGTGTCTGCCCTGAAATAGCCTTTTACAATCCTGAATGTGCACCCTCTTGTTCTGTAGCCATGAAAGTATTGATGTGCTTACTATATATCAGCTTGATGTTCCATAAATATTTATGTTGGCTAGGGTAATTGAAAAAACACAATTGATTTTTTGAATTTTACCAATCAAATAATAAGTAATTCTAAATCAATTAAAGGCTGTACAAGTGACAACATAATTAAATGCTACATTTGTAGATCTTGGGGTTCAATACTAATAAATAACGAGAAGGGGGTTTCTTGTGGTGTCCTGGTCAACAAATAAAATTGGTCACTCACTTCATGTCCACTTGTGGGACATTGCTACCTGCCAATTGACTATCACTATATTTCACAGTAAAATCCTCTGAAGAACTTTAAGATGATGTGATCAGGTATGATATTAAATGCAAGGATTATTATAATGATTTTAGCACATCTCACTAATGGAGAGCTGAATCGCAATATAAACCTAAACGATATAAACTGCAACTGTAGGCAACTATTAATAAATCAGATATCTCAAAAATAACCATCCAAGCAGTTTTGGGGAGTACAGAAAGGCTTCAAGACATTTTCTGGGACACTGAAGAGGCAGGAGATAGCTTAATACATCCTTCACTAACCCTGGTTCAGCAAGTAGCACTGCATTTAAAATTCTGCATAGAAGAAACAGGTGATGATACTGTCTGTCAAAGGATATAACAGACAGGGGAAATAGCTTGTAACACTGCACAGACATAATGGTGTGCCTTAAGCCCTTGTAAATCTTGTGATGCCTGCTCAAGACTTATAGAGGGCTGACAGACATACATTACATTATAAGAAGTCACATATTTTCCAAAGCTGGAAAGGTGGATTATGACAACAAATAGGCTATTCACATTGAATGCACTGACTACACAAGGCAAGGTTGTTTTTTCTTTGTAAATATCCAGGCAGGTGCTACCTATAAATAGGGTTACCATTTTGTCATGAATTAAGTCATTGCAAACATGTCAAAAGTCAGATATATCTTGGTAAAAGTCAGCAAAGTCCTATGCTTGTGGTAACCAAATGACCTTTAATTTGTATATTTTACACATTTTGCACTCATAGAATCATAGAATCGTACAGCACAAAAAGAGGCCATTCGGCCCATCGGGTCTGTGCCGGGTCTTTGAAAAGAGCAATGTAACATCAATCCCACTCCCCAGCCCTTTCCCCATAACCCTGCAGACCCATCCTCCTCAAATACCCATCCACCGCATTTTTAAAAGTTGTTATCGAATCGACCTCCACCACCCCTTCAGGCAATGCGTTCCAGATTTGAACAACTCGCTGCGTGAAAACATTTCTTCTCACCTCCGCTCCCCTTCTGGCACACCCACCAGTGGAAACAGTTTTTCCCTTTCCAACTTATCAAATCCCCTCATGATTTTGAAGACCTCTATTAGGTCTCCTCATAACCTTCTCTGCTCCAATGAGAATAATCCTAGCCTCTCTAGCCTTTCCTCATAATCAAGGTCCCTCATTCCTGGTACCATCCTTGTAAATCCCCTCTGCACCCTTTCTGATGCCTTAACATCCTTCCTACAGTGTGGTGCCCAGAACTATGAGCTGAGTGGGAAGTATTTCCTATGCAAGAATGATTTTTTGCATTTCTTTTACCTCAACACCAGAGTTAGGGATCTGTCTTCCTAAATTAGGGATTAAATAAGAACAAAGTTAGGGATTAAATAAGATCGCTGAGCTAGAGTCAAAACGATCAATAGGTGCTGATTCAATATTGCCCCCTCGAGGGCTGATATCTAATGTCCCCCCTCCCCTCACTCTCTGGGTTCATCTGCAGAATCCACCTCATGTCTGTCTGCAGTGCCTACCCCCTCGCTCCTTTCAGAGCCTACTTGCAGAATCTCCTCCCCTCCTTGAGGATTCCACAACTCAGATTGTCACTGTGTGGTGGAACCTACTGTAGGGAATGCAGAAATATCTGCACACACACAAATGACTTTGGGATTGAAGAGAAAAAAGCAACTGGGATGTATCTGGGGTTTTGATCACTGATGTATGAGAAGTAGCTCAGGCAGTTCAAATGTCTCATTAGAAAGAAAAATGCGGAGTGGGTAGGTACATGATTCAAATGTTTAACAGTATGAAGGTGAGTGGCAAATTATAAATTATTGATGTGGAACCAACAAAGAACTAGTTACTGTTGTTATCACTCCAGGAAACCAAAGTAACGATTCACAGGTAAGATGTGATCTTTCATATTTAAAGATGCAAACAAATAAATATATAAATATTCTATAATCATTGTGCGGTAAAGGGGGGCTGTAACGGGTCATTCAAGAAGTAAAGAAACAAAGCATTGATTAAAGAAGGAGTAAAAGGATATAGATTTGGCACTGTCAGATAAGAAAAAGAACAGTCAACCTGCAACATCGATCTAGGATATAGAGTTTCAATTATAATGAGCTGAAAGGAGTCCCATATCTAATATGTTATGAATTATGAACAGCTATGATGTTAACTACTGCAGACACAGGTTACTTCTAAAATCATTAAAACAGAACCAAAGTAATTCAGATTTTGACAGTTTTGTTGAAACAAGTCACCTTCGTGACCTTTGTATTTTTTTAAACTAAATCTTCCTCTCATAACTCACTGCATTTTATTTTCGTCATTAAATGTTAGACTCTTGGCAGTATCACTTCCAGCTATAAGACTATTCAGAGTGGCAAAGTCTGACTTAAATTTACAGCTTTCTGGGGGCTGAAAAACTGCCAACTAAGCACATGCAGAGATAAGATAACAAATGTTAGTTTTTGTTTAAAAAATGATGCAACACAAAAAAAAACTCTCTAGAGGTACATGGGCTATCCACCGCACTTCACATAGAGATTCACATCAAAGAACAAAGTATAAATTAGAAATATATATATATATATATATAAAACACTTTCAGGCAACAGTGGACCAATGGTCCAGCAAATCCACTATCCATCTTCCCAAAAGGTTACTTTGCCACATTAGATTTAAATCTAGTAACACAGACTTGTTTATATTTCCAGAAAGCTGTTTAGTTCTTTGTGAAACCCTTTTCGCTTTGTGGCTTTTTGTGGATCACTGGTGTGTGCAAACTGGTGCCACGTTCCCTAAAAAACAGATACAGACACTTCACTTTACAGTATATCCTGTGAAGTGCTTTGGGAGGTCCTCTCGAAATGAAAGGTGCTGTAAGGTTACCAAATATAAGGTTTTATTATTTTTCCTTTTCAAAATTAATAAAAGGAGCATTCGAGATTCAAATTCTAATTTTCCCTCATTTTAGTTATGTTCTTTGATCTACTGAATTGTGCTCTAAAAAAGAAAGTTTGCCTAAAGCCTTCACCTTATAAAAAATTGATTTCAAAGATAAATTACTTATAAGTTCTTCATATTTAATGCATGCGGTGAATGTGCATCATTGTGAATGTCATCATTAAAAATACTGTAGTATCGCATGTTTCATACTTTTTGGGTTAGTTAGTAACTTATATATATACCACCGTTGTGTATTTTAATCATATTTAAAAGATGTTCTTTTTTATTATTCGGTCAGGACACTTGTTCTATATAGTCTTAGGAAGACAGATTCATGAACCTTTAATGTCCTTAGAGCATAGATGGACAAAGTTATATTGCTCTGAGTGTAGACCAAGAATCTGTTATGAACCCAATTTAAATTGACACTAGAAGAAGACTTTGCTTGAAAAGGATGAAGTCATTTCACATACATGATATGAATATTTATTCAGTTATCTTGCTGATCTGTTAACCTGTTAATTAGCACTTTTCTGTTTTTTTATATAGAAAGCAGCTAGCATCACACACCAGCCAAAGTGAGATCCAATTTGACCAAACAGTTTCGAAAATTAAATGAGCAACTCAGCAACCTTAGTCCAAGTGAATTATTAATAATGTTAAGTAATTGTGAAGTGTATAATGCAATGAGAATATGCAAATGCTGTAACTCATCTGCAGTATATGAACTGTATAAGATTTGCTTCTACTGTAAAAGGCAAACATGATACTGCTACTTCAGCTGACAACCATGTTCTTTCGTTAGTTTTCATTCAAATTGTGCCTTTTTTTTACTATATTTAACTTTGTGGTACTATATTTCTGGCTGTTCGGATCATGGAGAAACTCAGGAATAGCAGTGGTTGAAATGAGAGGAGGAGAAACTGTTGCTAAGGGTCAGAACGGAAAGTAAGCTTGGCATAGATGTAACAGGAAAAGGTGGTTCCTTACACTGAGGAGAAAGTTGAAGAGTCCAAGGAAACTGAACCCTCTCTACTTCCTCCAGCCATTACCCAAGTTGTCCTGGAAAATATCAAGTGTGTGGACGGATTTTACAATAGGGAATAATCCAAATATTTTGTTAAGAGAATTTTGATCTCTGAACGGGCGTGAATCAGGCATATCCTTCTGCTAGGGATCTGACTCAAACTTGTATTATACAAGATTTATTCTTTCCTGGATCAAACACAAATTGAAAACCCTGCCAATATTGCCGACAGATAATTCAAGTGCAAACCTACTACTAGATCAAGAGGATATTGATCACAGCCCATTGCTAAACTACCAGAAAACATGAATGCAAACCCAACATGAATGCACAAGAGAATACAGACAAAAAGCAACTAATAGGCAGGTAGGAAATACAAATATCGTCAGAGAAAACGCTGTCAGGTTTTGCTTGGTAGCACAATAAACAGGAACAGCAAGAAAATGAACTGGTGCATGACACTATGCATTGCAGCTTTGTAGATATTACTTCAGTTCACTCATGTTGTGGCCAGTTAACTTCAGCACAGCAACACCCTAACCTCAATTAAAATAACAATTAGAAATAACAGAAACAAGAACAAGGAACATCAAAGTTAAAGATAATTATATTAAAAAAAGGCTATGCTTTAACTGAATATACAGTGACTTCTGCAGGATTGAAGGCATTCTTAAAATCAAGTAAATTCATATAAATATTGTGTAATGGGTTTCTACACGGCAATTTAAACACACCCAAAAATGTATTACATTATTTTCACTTTTTGCAAAGTTCTATTGGGAGAAAGATAATCGCCTACTCAGAAATACCAATACAACACATTTAGAAATTAAATTAGAAATTGATGTGTCTTTGACTGACTCAATAATTGTAAAAGCTGTGCCTTTATGCATATTTTGTGTGAAGCATTCAACATCTTACAATAAGGACAGTAAAATATCTGAAAAGACTCCCCAGATTCAAATATTTGGCTGAACTGACATCCTAAACATCTGGCTAATGTATAAAGCACCACAGGCAATAATAGCTAGTTGAATACAGTAGTGTTCTTTGTAGGCCTCATTATTGCTGCCATGTGAGGCACAATCAGCAATGACCTTCCAATCACATTGAGAATGTGGCATAAACGCAAACTGTCCCTTGTGCAACCACATATGTATTACAGCTTATTCAGGAGCACAATAGGCAAGAGAACTCTTGAACATAGCAATAGGAAGTGGAGCAAAAGCGTCACTGGATGTAAAAACAAACTACATCTAAAAATTAACCCTCTAAACTGTAATATAAAATTATACAGTAGTCCATAAATTATACCTTTAAATAGATTTTTAATCTATAATCCTATGGGCATGACTTGCACATCAGTATCAATGATCTTTTACCAGCGAGCTGGTTGGCATTAAAAAATACATATGTAACTATTACACTGGTGTGATCTGAAGAGGAATTCCAGGATGTCACTGAGGTCAGGTAAAACTGAACAGCATTAAAAAAAACATGTGAGGCAGTAAATGTACTCTACATAATACCTGTACTCTTCTTGTGTAAAACGTGGAATTACTGATGGCTGCAGGACAGTGATGACTACTGTGGTAGAATTAAACTTCACAGGTTCTCCATCATCAAATGCAATAACAACTAGCTATATGAAAAAAAATCAAAGAAATAAAATCAGAAACATATTTATTCCATTAAGCTAATATTACTAGAAAAAAATAATAACCCAGTAAAGTTACAAATAAAAATATTAATTTGTTTTAGCTTTTCTTACTTCAAAAATCGAACTAGGTTCTTCATTGAGATTGACCCGGGTCAACACTCGTCCTGTGTCCTCTTCCACATCAAAGATGCTTGCACTGTATTGAGTGTGGGCCATATCAACTTTATACCTGATTCTGCTTGCTGGACCTCCCTGTGTAGAAAATTAATGTAGATAAATGCATCGGGTAAGGTCATCAGCAAAAGGTGGATATAAACATAGAATAATCATATTTCAAAAACATAATGTTATTTTTGTTATTCATGTTTAAAAACCTCTACAGAAAAGCAAATCATTTGATTCAGGCAGTCTCCCGAAGCCATAAAATAATGTTCTATCTTTAGGCACTCCAGAGCCTGCAAGACCCATGCAACTTTTCTTGCTTTCTCTGTCATGTACAAATAGGTCAGAAGCAACATAGGCAATATGCTTCCATGTCTTTGACACCAGCTGCTGGGTTTTGAATGAAGAGGGCCCTTATATTAGATAGTATGCGAAAAAGCCATTTTCTTCAAACCAATTCAAGTAACTGGAAGAAATGAGGAAATAATCCTGAACTATTAAATGCACAGTTTATGAAACATTGCTTGATATAACCTGAAAATGGTAGAAAATAAAGACAAAATGCATGAACGAGATGATTGTCAGAAATTTGAAACTCAGTCACATATGGTCGGTGGCCAGTCAATCAAAAGAATAAACAGATAAATATCACCAATACTGGTGGTTTTCACTCCAGTTTATTGAGCAATCACTGACAGCTAGAAATTTAGTTTGATTACATCGTGTTACAAACATTTAACAGATTACTTTGCAGGTGTCAAAAATACTTCATTTGTTTTTTTAAGAAAATCTATCAATATCTTGCATCAAACCTTTTCATTTCATTCTATAGAAATGCAGAACATTAGATTTGTAATACACATCAAGTTATAGTTCTGAGAAAAGGCTCAATGAAAGTTGATTACTTTTTTTACCCATAATCATTATAAACCTAATTCCTGCCAACAGACCAATCAGACCAACCAACCAAAGATGTACAAGTCATCACAACAGGCTTCCTTCTATGGCTTTGCACCGTGTCAATAAAACAGAAGGTACCTTAGATAACGAAAGAATATTATGTGCATCTCAGAAGATTAAAAAATTGAGATGTACTAGATTACTTTTATTTGAATATAGAATCCCATACAGTTCAGAATTTGTTTAACTGAGAATATCTTCCGTATGACTTTAATCTTTACCGAGGCATAGACGACTTCAGACCTAACTTCCAATGTTTTTAAACATCTCTTTTGGACAAACTTACTACAAAATCTCATTTTGTTGAGAAAAATTTCCCTTGAAGGATCTGGAAGTGAGTGTACAGTTCAAAGCAATGGTGAGGGGCAGGGAGGAGTAAGATGATCATCAGAAGTGACAATTAGAGGAATGGCGACTGAAGTAGCAGACTGACAAGTGAAGTAAGTGACACTGAGGCGGGGTGGAAATAAATGAGGGGTGACAAGTCCTTTGTATTTGTTTGACTTAATTGACTGACAACTTCAGGCAGTTGACACCACTAAATATTGAGAGCAGAAATGAAGCACTGTTAGGTAATCTATAATGCTCAGAAATGCTGAATTTAGACAGATTAATTGTAAATGATTATAGTTTCAAAAAAGAGGGCAAATGGAACTGGTGTAAACGTATAATATCTTTAGAGAGGACCAAGTGTTTGTGAAATAAATGTGTAATAGTGGATTCAGTGGGAAGATGGGTGTAAGCGGAGTCCTTTAGCTCAATGGTTGGAGCACTTGCCTCGCCAGCGAGAGATTTGGTTTGATTTCCGACAGGGTGAAACCTTGGGCAAGTTTCCTTACTCCACACGCCTGATAATAAACCCTCAAGAAAAAAACAACAATAAATTGGCCACTTCAATCCACGACTGCACTTTGGGACGTCCTCCCGACGTGAAAGGTTCTATAACTGTAATTTTATTGTGGGACACTGCTGTGCGCAATTGGCTGCCGCGCTTTGTCCACAAATTTACAGTCAATTCACTTTACAGTATATTCTGTGAAGCGCTTTGAGACGTCAAGAAGATGTGAAAAGCGTTATATCAAACGCAAGGAATATTATTATTATAAAGTGAATTAGGAATGTGCTAGCGATGCATCAACACGATTACATTTGTATAGCGCCTTTCACGTAGGGAGGACATCCGAAGGCGCTGGACAGTGTACAGCATTTCAGACCCGAGCTGGGGTCAGGGGGGAGAAGGGAGGGGAAGGGAAGGGGGGTGACCAGATGAAAAGATATGCCAAAGATCGAGATACAGTGAAAAGCTTTAAGAAAGCTAGGAAATATGGAGGCCACAAAAACAGTTAAAAATAGGTTTCAGCTTTTGGCACAGAGCACTGAGGGAGCTCCTCAGGATAAGGAAGGGGAGGGTCACACCAATTATTTACAGCTGGTAGCAATAAAGGTGACCACAGTGTTCACCTTTCATGCCATAGCATCTTTCCGACTGCGTGTGCAGCAACAGTCAACCCACAATTTTCAAAGCCAACTCTCAAGTCATACTGCTTTCTCAAGAGGTCAGCAACTTATCACCGTGGCAACAGAGAACCAGAGGGGTATTTTTTGTGACCGTTGACCTGCTCAGTGACTGTACTCAAAGGGGAACGCACAATGCATGAGAAACAATGGAGCAACCATCATTTGTGAAAAGTTAGACATTTTTATTGCACGATTAAAATGGTAAAAAAAAAGTAGGGATTTGTAGAAGAAGAAATCCTGTATATGTAATTGTGGTAATAGCAAACCATAGTTACAACTGTCACTTAAAGAATACCTAATGCAAAAGGGAAGGTTAAAACACGATTGCTGAAATTAACCTTTCGCTCCAAGCAATGGATTTCCTCACTGAGCCATACAATCAAAGGAGGAGCATACTAAGATAGGGAACATGATAAAACAAGCATTAATCAAATTAGACCACATATTTTAAATAATAATTAATATGCTGAAAATGAATGCAAAATATTAAATTTAATTCCAAAAGGCATTTCTATCCCAAAGTACTCAGGGGTTGGTAAAGGTAGACAATTCAATTTACAAATACAGTAAAAATGGTTGGAAAAAACATCTGTGCATAAATACAATTAACGGGTTATGTTACAAGGCTATATGCCCTGAGAAACACCTGCAATTTACAAGCAGTGAGGTAATTCACCTGTATTTATAAGACTTTCAGATCAGTTTTGGCAGTTGAATACCATTGACAAAGATGAAAAACAACAACATAAATTACATTTGTATAGCGCCCTTCATATCAAGAGGATGTCTAAAGGCTCTGGGTTTAGGTTTGATTATTGAAAAGTGTTTGGGTTTGATTGTTGACCCATTCACTGAAACATATTCAGTTAATGTGAAGCTATTATCAACCAAGCTTAAAGCAGATATCGAATGTACCATGAGGACATTTCAGCATCAGAGTTGCAATCCTCCATAAATCAAATGTTGCCAATTATCTAAAGGTTCAAAACTGAGATCAGGCATCAATATTGTGAGCTATAGTCATACTCTAGTTCCAGTTAAAATCTAAGGTCTATTGTGCGTTAGCTTGAGCTTGTGAAGCTAACATTATCTTTAATATTATTATTATAATATAATACTTATTACTAAATAATAAGAGCAACATTTACTCATGTGTAGAAAGTGTTTCTGAATATCATGTCTTAAGATATACCCAGGAAAGATATCTGATACAACAGACCCAGCAGTCTGTTAAAAGGCAGCAACATGATTTAAGGATTCATATGTCATCAAATAAATGATTGGCATTAATCTTAAGATACTTATACAGATCATCTGAACCTTTGCATCAAGTTGCTACCTCTGTAATTTATTCAGGGAGGCATCTTATTCAATATGTAGTTGCAGCCTTTTGAGGTGAGTATTTAAAATTCAGATTGAATTTTGTTCCATGGCTATATTGCGGAAAATCAATTTCAGCCCTTCTTTAGTGACTTTAGGATAATTTTAATCAGATTTTTGTACATTCAACATATATAGAAGACAAAATGTAGATGCACTTTTTTTATTGATTTATCATTTGGTGTATCTTTTGGAGGCTGAATCGTGCCTTTAGTGTGAGATTGTTTTTTTGAATAATCAAGTTTCAGTGATTCTGCTTTAATTCTTTAGCCCCTCACATCAATATTCTATTGTGAAATGCATATTAAAAGAGCGTTCTGATTAACCTTCAACACAAGTTCACTCTTTGATAAGACTTTGCATTCAGCATTGCACAATAAAAGAAAACTAAGCTTCTTGACAATACCTAATATTAAAATAATTCCTTAATTATGCATCTTGTAATTAAAAATAGTATTTGAAGCAAAAAAAATAACACCGTACATTAGACGCTTAGAAATTGTTGAATGTTAAGATTGACATCTGGCAAAGTGTATGGCCTCAATATTAATTTTAAACATGTGTAGATAGAGCAATGTAAGAGTTCCTAGAAGCATCACCAGTCAGATCTAGTATACATATCAACTTGAAAATGCTTTCCATGACTGAAACTAGAAAACAAAGCTATCTATTGTAAACTATTTACTAGCAACATAAGCACAACTTACAGGAGGGTCTTTATCCTCAGCCGATACGGTAGCGATAAGGGTACCCTTCAAAGCATCTGGTGCCACCATCCCTTTATAGATAGGTTTGCTAAACTCTGGAGTGTGGTCATTCATATCCTGGAAAAGAGCATGTTAACCTGCATTTTGAATAATTGTTACAATTACAGGAGAGAAAAGAGATTCTTTATATATTTAATACACATCAATAGAATTTAAACATTGCAACAATTCCTCTATTTAGCAAAGCAAAGTTCATCATCGCAATCTGTGAATTGCTAAGTTTTGGATCCAAAGATTTATTTTTGCCAATGACCAGAAATGTTGAATCTGATGACAGGTGAAATTTCTGGCCCAATTGGGAAGCATGAAGTAACAACAATAAAATTTATTGGTGGAGCTAAAAAAAAATGGTACACCTGGATGTATCACCAATTCAATGGCAATCCAAGAGTTATTTTTTAAAAACAAATTCCACAAGAAACCACTTCTCATTAACATAATACACTATTTTATTGTAATGTACTTAACCGGTAAAGATGAACTTGCTTTCCCTCAAAGACCTTAAATTATTAGAACAACCTTATTACAAGACGAAGTAACCGTACAACAAAACTGAACAGTTTAATGGATAGGCTAATAACTATTTAATAAAAAAAACAGTATTGAGGCCTTGACACGTGTTGGTTGAGAATGTATATTGTGATCTCCCTAAAGTAAACTGATCTTTTTGATAGATGTCTGAGTGTTCAAAAGCAAAAATGTGCAAAGTATGCTTTATTAGGAAAAAAGATTTTTAATTGTGTATACAAGGAATGCTTGATGTTTAATATGATCTATAAATCAACATAGGCATGAATTTGTATCAAAACTTTGACTCATCAGATTGTCCGATCCTTTTTCATGGAGTAATTTAGGTAACCACTTTGTTCCTTCAATGATAAATAGTAAGCAAAATCTCTAAGCGGAGAAGACCTTGATACAAGATAAATCTACCTCTGTTGAACATCAGTCAGTCAGCTGGTACTCTGATGGGAGTGTTGTAATTAATTATTAGGAGAAATAGACCAGCATAATTATAAATTAAGGAATAATGTATGTACAAGCATACTGTACAGAGGAACTGAGAACATATTCGGCTAGTGAAGGACAAGACGATCAGATTAAATATTAAAAATAAGCATCCTTTCCAGAATCCCAGAATAATTGCACCAGAAGTGAAATCTTGTCTGATAGGTGACCCTTCTTTCACATCTGGCATCCAAAATGTCTCTCTATTACATCCCTTTGTTGTATTTTGATATTTAATTGATAAGATATGGTATTAGTCCCCTGAATAATCAATCCTTTCTGTTTCTCCAAAAACACTCATTTTCCCCTCCTAGCTTTGAACTCAGGACTCAGTGAAATATCTTCTACACCAATACATTTTTTGTCAGGACTTCAAACGTCCTTTAATCTATCCTTTGTCCTAGAATCTACAGACTTTTAAAGCCAGCACTTGGCATCATTTAACCAATAATTACATTTATCTGCCCTGCACTCAGGATTCCAATGTTCACCTAATTTTCTTGCTAATAAAAAGGATTATTTAGAATACATTAGAATATACAGCACAGAAACAGGCCATTCGGCCCGATTAGTCCATGCCAGTATTTATACTCCACATGAGCCTCTTCCTGCCCTTCCTCAACTAAGCCTTCAACCATAATCTTCTGTTCCTTTCTCCCTCATGTACCTACCTAGCCTTCCCTTGAATACATCTATGCTATTTGCCTCAAATACTCCTTGTGGTAGCATGTTCCACCTTCCCACTACTCTCTGTATGAAATTTCTTCTAACTTCCCTATTTGATCTATTTGTGACTATTTTATATTGATGGTCCCTGGTTTTGGTATCCCCCACAAGTGGAAACATCTTCCCTATGTCTACCCTATCAAAACCTTTCATCATTTTAAAGATCTCCATCAGGTCACCTCTTATCCTCCTCTTTTCAATGTTCAGCCTTTTCTGATAGATAAAACCTCTCAGTTCTGGGATCATCCTTGTGAATCTCCTTTGTACCCTCTCCAATGCCTCAACATCCCTTCTGTAATATGGGGACAAGAACTGCACACAGTATTCTAAGTGTGGTCTAACCAAGGTTCCATAGAAGTTTACCATAACTTCCCAGCTTTTCATTTCTATCCCTCTAGAAATGAACCCCAATGCCTGGTTTGGTTTTTTTTATGGCCCTATTAACCTGTGTTGCTGCTTTAGTGAATTGTGTATGTGTACCCCTAGGTCCCTTTGCTCTCTACCCCATTTAGGTTTTTATTTTTCAGGATGTATGTGATTTCCTTATTCCTTTTACCAAAATGTACCACTTTACACTTTTCTACATTGAAATGCATTTGCCATTTAAATGCCCACTCAGCAAGTTTATTAATGTCTTGCTATAATTTGTTGCAGTCCTTCTCTGTATTAACTACACCCCCCAATTTGGTGTCATCTATAAATTTTGAAATTTGATCTAACATGCAAATGTTATAGATTTATTTTTGTTTTTGAGAACTGTTACAGTGGACACAGTCCAACAGTCCACAGTCCAAGTATGTAAGTACGCAATGTCAAGAGTTTCAGTTCTTTTCAAACAAGAATAAAGTAATGTTCAATCAAGGTACTACTCTGAGGTGTGATCACATTTGTTTTAGAAATGGTTCTTGGTTTTCACCAGAACATTTCTATTACACTTTTACACATACTTCAGGGTACCTTTGAAAGTTCACAGATTAACCAAAATCTACATACAGTATCTGATATTCCAAAGAAGATAGCTGAAAAATCCTACAAAGGCAAACAGTTCCTTTAAATCAGAAGATAAATATTTAGCAAGGATTAAATGAATATGATTGAAATTTGAGAATTAACATCTCCTACCTTTGCCATCAGATTTAATCTTTGACCTTTAATCTAATGCGCTTTAAAATCTTTAGACAAGAAACCCTTTTCAGACAGTCTCCATGGCTTCCAACCAATTGCGTATTCCATCTCATCAGTCGTAATAAAAAAAAACAGACTTTTAATTAAATACCTTAAGATGTCCTCTCTATAGAGAGGTGAGGTCAGGCAGACAATCCTCTGCATGTGATCAGAATTTGTTCCTTTATTTGCAATGTATCTCTCAATTATATATACATTGCAAATTGAGGAGGCCTCCTCAATCTTCACATCAAATGCCAAGTGCGAGGAGGTCATGGAGTTCTTTTCAACTAAAATAAATAATATCCGCCAGGCAGCCTCATCCTCCTGCCTCTTGTCACCCACCATCACCCCCTCTCCGTCCCCCTTACCCTCCCTATCATCAGCTCCTACCACGACCCCCATCCTACATTGTTGTTAATACTTAAGAGAAAAGTGTCCACCTCATGCTGGTTGTACACAATTGCAATTAATTTCTCTTCAGGTTCATGTACATGTTAATTTGAATTGTCACTTTTGCTTGCTGTCCCCTTCTCCCCTTTCCCACCTCCCACACATACACAGGACAATAACACTCATACGATGGCACTCTCTGTTTCATATACTCCTTTGAGAAACAAGCTTTGGTATAAACGTTGGGGGATGCCAAATTTACCCCTATTAACACATCCGACAAGTAGAAAAATACCAGAAACTCACTAAACAAATTCCTCAACTTGACTCGTAAGGCTGGGGAAAATGTCACTGATATTTATAAACCAATTTCCATAAAAATAAACCGTTATTGGAAAGAGCTACTCTAGTTGCTTTCTGATTAGTTGTAAATTAATTGTAGTTAGAATTACAGTGTAAGCCTAATAGACTTATTATCAGATAACTGCCTCACTCACTTGAGATGAACAGCAAACCCCCCACAAATTCGACCGTGCCTTTGGTCTCCCTCCCACCTCTCTGCCTTCCCTCACCCCTACACCACCCCTCCCCCATGCTCAGGCCCCGACACCTGACTGTTCAGCGCTTTGGGACGTCTTCCCAACGTGAAGGTGCTCTAGAAATGTAATTTTGTTGTTGTGTTGCTGTTGTTTGTTGTTGTTGTTAAGTTTAAAACAAATTTAGCAGATTGATCAAGTTATTTAAACTTTCATTTAAATTGAAAAGCTTTGCATCAAGGCTACAGTTACAATTAGGCAAGATGAATTCCAGGATTATTTTTCTGAGAGCATTTTAGTTTGTAACAAAGTGGGTCTTTTTAAAAAGCAAATGCACTTTACCATTGTCATTGTTAACAAAGTTGTAAGATAGACCCAATCTTGTTCTCTTCCTAATCATTAAAGGCCTTCAAATGCAATCAGAGAATGTTCCAGTGTTAACTAGATTTGGAAAGAAACATCGATAAAATGGAAAATGAATGACAGGAAAATTCTATTTGAAAAATTCCAATGAACGATATTTCACTAAACAGAAATATGACTAGAATGAAAACAGTTCAATTGGGAGTCAAATTAATTTGTTCTTGGCACACGGTGCCACAGGAAAGCAAGCAGAGTGCATTTAAAGAATTACTTAAGTTGGTATCAATCTATCTCAATTCAACTATACAACAGGAAAATAACAAAGATAATCATTATGGAATTAACCAGTCATGTGTTATGCAGCTAAGTATAAAGGAAGCTCACTCCTGAAATGTCTCATTACACAGTAATTCTAAATTTGTTCCACCTGAGATAGCTCTAAAACAAAACTCAGATTCTACTCCACTGGCATTTAAAACACAATACATTCTTAATACAATTCAATTCACTCTTTGGTACTATAATTCAACCAGATCATTTGGTCTTTCTACACATTCCATAGGTTTTAAAGATCAATTACATGCAAGTCGGCACTTGATAATGCAAATAGCCTTTTCAATTTGATTGAGATTACTCAATTGTTCAATATAATTGTAATAGAATAAACACACAGCAGAATTACTACTAAATAGTTCTATTTAGAAAAGATGCCTGATTGTTAAAAAAAACTGTCAGAGAAAACAGTCCATTGAGCTGAAGCTGGTTAAAGTATTAACAAAATACTAACAAAATATTATATTAAAGGTATTTTTGTACAAATTATACTTGGTAGGATAGCAGGTGAGAGCAGTCTTTCACACTGGGTCCTGGATTTAAATCTAGTCCAAACTGGTAAAATGAAAATCTCTTCTGTCTATGAAGCTTTTATATGAAATGAATTTCCACAGTTTCAATTTATGTCTAGCAGATATGTTCCCACAGCTCAAACTTCACAGGAATTGATACATATTGCATCTCAGTCAGAGGTAACAGTAGCTGACATGAGTGCAACAGGGGGCATCCTTCTGAAGTTTGAATCAAGACATGGTGCCCTGCAGTTCATCTGCGTCTATTATTGCTGACCCAATGGTGTTTGATGGTGGCAGAAGGGGAAAGCGTGGAGTGAAAAATACACATCACATCATCAGAACGTTGCTGATAAATGATTAGGGCCAGAGCCATTTACGGCAGTCAATGATCTGGCCACCATGGCCATTTCAGCGCCAGTTCATGGAACACTCTACTCCAACCTCTTTTCAACCGTCAGCCAATTCAATTAGAAGCATGTATCATGTTTCTAGCTCCTAATCGCTTTACTGCTGGAAGTGATATTGCTTCAATTCCAGCAATATGAATTGGGCATAAGTCATCACTGGTATTATAGCACTTGTGTATGAATCACCTGACAAACATGAATTTACTGCTCATTTTCTTACTCAGTGCTCCCTCCGTTCACATCCACATTTGTTTCTCATACAAAATAATCTGTATGGTTTATTTAACATTTATGTATTTTAAAGCATAACTGATTCATAAGGATTTGTTTCAAGGTTAAATATTAAAAAGTTAAAGATCTGACAGCAGTCAATAGTGCTGCTATGTATTTACAATCCTGTTCTTCAAAAATAGATCATTCAATTGTGTCACATCCCAGCTTTGTTCCTGAGTTGAAACAAAAACCATGGTAACAATCTTTGATGGATGACTGTTACTGCAAATTCACAATGACCTACGTGTAAACTTTTAATTCTGTCAGCTAATCATGGTGACATTTTGCAAAAATTGTAACCTGCCATAGGTGTGTGACAATCTACTGATCTGCCTCGTTTAGATTCATATTTCGAATCGAATCATCACAAAATAAAACTGTCTGATTTGATCGGTTCAGTGTAAAAGCAAGGCTCCTCACTACCACATTAATCCATTACAGCATTAATACAAGGTGCCATTTCAGTTTGTTTCCACTCAATTAACTTTTATTCCAGTCTTAGATTTGCAAGTCTGCCAGGTTCTAATTTCATAACTGTGAGTCATTCCAATTGTTGCAAATGTACTGCACAACAGGAGTACTGCATTCTTACAGTCCTGCATTTATGTTGCAAAATACCTTCTCAGTAACATGGAGAAACCCTAATGTGAGTTTTCAAAGCCTTATGCTACAATGCTGAGTTTGAAGCCAGGATATTCTGCATACTCAGCAAATGTGTTCAATCGGTTGAGAGTGACATTGCAGATCAAAAAAATTCTAAACTGAACTAAGTCATCAAAGTGATTAAGAAAAACTATTCGCATCAGAATTTTAACTATTCATTTTGAAAAGGATCGATAAGGGGGAGGGTGGGGGGGGTGGGGGGGTGGAACATAGGAGGATTGAACATTGTGGTCACACTGACAGAGGTTATTATACTGTAGTGAACTCTGATCTGAGAATGAAACCAACTAAGAGAGTATACAATACACTTTGCTGAAAACTGTTAAGATAACAAAACAATTCTCAGTATGGCTGAGACTCTTAGGGACCAGCAGAAAACAAAGAGGTATGCAAAAAGTATCTGTAGTTTAATTTTGCTGCTGCATTTTAAGTGTTTTATTGTGTTCTATAATATAACCCAAGTGATTCATAGAGAGTTTGAACATATGTCTTCACAGTAAGCAAGATGATTGGATAGATTACCAAAGCATTTATGTACACATACGCAGTTGTTTAGCTTTTTTTCAACAAATTAAATCACAAAACCACACAATTAAAAAAAATCTGCTATGGGCATAAGACTGAAATGTAAAATAATTATCGATTCCCAAGGTATTGATACTCAAGTTCCTAGAAATCAAAAACCTTTTTAGTGCCTGCAACAATGTGGCCATTTATTCTAACCTCTTGTATTACTTCTGACAAGTTTGAGAAGATCTGAAAAATTGAGCCACAGAAGAGCGTTGGGAGGAAATACCCAGTATTCACCCAGTATGTAAGTATTCACCTTTAGGAAAGAAATTTTATATAAAATTGTAAGCCATTTAGATGTACAACATGATGGAGAAATGCCACTCGTAGTTTTATATTTATGTACTTTCCTAGCATTTCAGAAGCATGTTTATAAATTTAAAGCTGGTTTTCTGAAAGACCTTATAGAAAATAAGGCTTCAAAACTGAGGTTGTATTTAAGAATATGCCAAATTCTGGAAATCTGAAATGCTAAGAAAATCGAGACCCAGACAAAATCTCCGCCACCCCATATGTTAAAAAGGGGGGGGGGTTGTAAGCTATTTGGTTGTTTCTGATCATAAAACTTCCAAATGTCCTCAATGTTGACAACTCAGATCTGTTAATGAACATTTTTACATTCACTGAATTTAAGAGAATGTTACTTTTAGTTTCATTGAATAAATATGTTCAACTGTGACAAGCTCTGAAAATAAAATCATTCACTTTGTGCAGCTGGTAATCACCATCCTCTATGCATGCAGGTCACTGAAGGTCATGTTTTGTCACATGTAAGGATGAAACATGGCTTTCTAAGTAACATGATAAGTCTGCGGTTTGATAAATCCGGATTAATTTAACATTAGATCCGTCAATCAGGAGGCAATGTGACATTGATTGGTGAACACATGGTCACATTTTATAAATGATTTACACTCAATATTACCAGCAATTATATGAATATTACGTAACAAAACTTAAGTCAGAATTATTAAGTTCAAAACTATGCTGAGGCAATTATGTTGGTAAGGTAAATTCAGTTGGCTACAACACAGAAATCAATTACAATAATGCACGCTATCAAAGTTGATAAGTACTGTATATTAAAAAATAGTAATGAGTTTTCTTAAATAAATACTAGGTATGTTTTTTTTCTTGTTGGCAGAAGCCATGTTACTACCAGCAGCTATAATGTAATCTCCCATTTGCCAGAAGACTGCAAATTCACTTCCCACTGTGAGACATCCAATTCTCTGTCATTTCAACTCTAGGGGGAAGGAAATTGAGCCTGGGATTCATCAGAACACAAGGTATTTCGTGTTCAAATTTTATCCTGCGGGTTTTGGCAACTCCAGTTGTGATCAAGTGCAGGTTTTAATGGTTTTGTAAACAAAGTTTTGGAGGTAATACTTTTTAAAATGGTAAGAAATGTAAAAATAATTATTCTTAACCTGAAATGAGGCGTTATATCAGAGAATAAGGTGTCAAATACAGGAAATATATTTTAGACAATGGCGGAGTCGGTGGTGATGGGCAATCTAACACCAAGTTCTCTGTTGGAACTCAAACTGGATTTTTTAACATATATATTCTTCCACAACACACTAAAAAAAACACAGAATGTCTGCTTGATCACACTGCCCACTAAATAGTGTTGGCAGGCTTCAAAAACAACTGCCGCAACATATAAAGTGCCTTTGGTTAGAAGTCATGTTTTTAAATGAGCTTTTTAAAGGCAAGAAGAATAAATTATGCAATTGGACAGTAACAGATTTTTTGCTAACCCACTACCACCCACCAAGGAAAACATTAATGGTCCATATGCTCAAAATTACCTATACATGAAAGATGTTATCATGACTGCTGGGTATCATAAAAACTTAACGACCAATACAAGTGCAAAGATTGCTGCAGAGGTCAATACCTTCAAAAACATATTAAATAACTTATGATTTCTGCAGATACGAGTTAAAAAGTGTTTATTAAGATGCTTGCATTGAAGAAGTAATCCATAGGATACTCCCACAGTTAAGGAAATGATTCAGATCTATAAAAAATAAGCTGTGTTTATCTACAACAACTGTTTTCAAGGAGGAAAAGGTTTGCCATAAACCACTTCAAGATACATTTCCATTATAATGTGCTCAGGCATGGTAAATTCAGATTGATTTATCAAACCCCTGTAAACTGTCTGCTGATACAGGACTTTTCAGCCTATTTACTTCTACAAGCTGCACAGACTTTGATAATTACTTCATCCCCTTTTTTTAAACTGGATGATGCTTTACTTTTATTACCAGTATTTTTTCCACACAACTGATTTTTATTTACATGCAAATTAACAAAATGTCAGCATTGACGTTTAACTTGACATTTTGGATTGCTATGTTTTAATAACAGGAAATAATCCCTTTGCTTTCCCTGCCTTGACTTCCTTCCCATTTGATAGCCCAATATCTCAAATCAAAACTGATTTTTTTTTGGTGTTTCAAAATAGCCAACCTTACAATTCTGTCAGAGCATAAAAGTAGTATCCAAAGTAGAATTTCAATTTATTAGTTTCAAAATTTTGAATTTTGAAATTAACAAGGCAGTAAAATATGAAAACTACTTAGATTCAGGTACTATTAGCTGATAATAAATCTTATTGTAGAAACTTCAAAGAACTGATCTATGACTGAGTTATATGAATGTGTTTGACTTACCTTGATTTGGACAGTCACAGTAGCTAAACCTGGAGGCATACTCCCTCCACTGTCCAGTGCCTCCACTACAAATGTGTAGCTTGCATCTGTAGCAGATAGAGTTTCATAATCCACAGACTGTAAAATTGATAATTCTCCTGTCCAGCGATTTACAGAAAATAGCTCCATGGATTCCTGATTTCTTATACGATACGTCACATTGGAACCAAGATCAACATCTGTTGCCTAAAGCAAAACAAAACTATGAAAATCAGTCAGGTTTATCAGTCAGTACAGCATTCTTATCAACAGAGCCTTTGCAGAAGAAAACTATTCTCATATTGCTTTACATTTCTTTGTGAAAGGCCGTTGTCATATCAGTTGTCAAAATATGTCGCACAATTTAATACTGAAGTACTGGGTACTGAACATTAAGAGAAATGTGCTCCAGAGATCAAAAGGCAAGTGGTTAAACAAATCACCTTGTTATTTTGCTTGTATGTTAACCGGTTAAAGATGTTTTTAAAAGATAGATAGTTTAGGATTGTGGACATATGCCTGCAAGAAACCAATCAAACCCATTGTTCGACCCTCAACTGTCTCTTGTTTCCCACATCCATATGATGACCCGCTCTGCCTTCCCTCACCTCCATAACATCGCCCAACTCCGCCACTACCTCACCCCTCAGACCGCTGAAACTCTTGTTCATGCCTTCATCACCTCCAGGCTCGACTATGCAAACGCCCTGCTTGTCGGCCTTCCCAACTCCTCCCTCCACAGGCTGCAGATAATCCTGAACTCTGCAGCCCGTGTCCTCTCCCGCACCAAACTCTGTGACCCCATTTCCCCCATTCTCGCCCGACTCTATTGGCTCCCTATGCTTCAGAGGATCCAGTTCAAAATCCTGGTCGTCACCTGCAAAGCCCTCAATGGTCTCGCCCCAACCTATCGCTGTGACCTCCTAACCCCCTACCAACCCGCCCGCTCCCTCCGCTCAGCCGGCTCCGGCCTGCTCCATGTGCCCTGACCCACCCGCCCCACCATTGGCGGGAGAGCCTTCAGCCGCTTTGCCCCCAACCTCTGGAACTCCATCCCCCAATCACTCCGCCTCGCCCCCTCCTTAGCCTCCTTCAAGTCCCACCTCAAAACCCTCCTCTTCGACCAGCCATTGGTCACCCCCCTTCCCCTCCCCTCCTTTCTCCCCCCCTGACCCCAGCTCGGGTCTGAAATGCTGTACATTGTACAGCGCCTTGGGACGTCCTCCCGACATGAAAGGCGCTGTACAAATGTAATCTTTTTGTTGCTGTTGTTTGAGACGTCTCAAAGTGCTTCACAGAATATACTGTAAAGTGAATTGACTAGATATTTTGTGGGCGAAAAGCGTCAGCCAATTGAACATAGCAGTATCCCACTAATAGTCATGGATTGAGTGACCAATTTTTTTTAAAAAAAGGGCTTATTACCTCCAGTAAAGCAATCCACCAATGAACTAACACCCAGGATCCTACTTGCTGCTAGGTAAATAGAGGTGTGTGGAGTAAGGAAACTTGCCTAACGTTTTGCCCTGCCTGGAAATCAAATCCAGGACTTCTCGCTTGCGAAGCGAGTGCTCTAACCAATACGCTACAATTAGTTGTAGTGAGATCCAACAAAAGCATCTCATTTTAATAATCCTCAATAGATAACATGATTCAATACTCAGCACGCATGAGTCTGTTCATTTCATTGTTCCATCAGTCACAATCTCATGCTGTAATTGCCCAATAACCACAGAGCAACATTTTTTAATCCCATTGGTTTGAAAGGACAAAAATCAAGACTGTGCTTTAAGTCGAGCTTTTATTAAATGAAATAAATTGTAAATTTGAAAATAACATCTGATCTACTGACAATATTACCCCTAGAGCAAAATGGCATATTTTTATTGCTGTAAAAGTACAGGCAGGTGTAGATTTGCAAGCATTTGCTGTGCCTCTCAATACCTACCCAGTTTTTACAGTAAAATATTTATTTTTTAACAAATCATAAAATGATTCTATCCAAGTGGAAATAATAGAGAATGGAAATGCTGTTAACCCAATCATAATGGGAACCAGTTCACAGCAAAGTAATCCTAAAATGTCAGTTTAAATATGTATTCCACCTCACAATAGTGCTATCAGGGAGGCACTAAACATTGTACTGTTAAAAATTGTTACAATTCCATCTTGCAGTGTCTGGAGCTAAGGGGCTCCTAAATGTGCTTTAATATCAATTTATCCCCATATGTAACACATGGAAGGCAGTATAGAGATGGTAGTATATGTGGTGCATTTTATTCAAACTTTATATTATTTTTATAAATTATTCACGATAATTTTATTTTCACATGGCCAAACAGATTATGCTCTTATGTCAAGTAGAGTAAGAGTCATAACAGCAAACTTATAGTATCTGGCTGTCGACCAGAAGCTGTTATGGAAATTAAGTCACGGCACTATGTCTAAGCTGGAACCCGTCCAGAATGACTCGAATGACTGAAATTTGTCATTCTGAAAGTGCTCCTTCACTTTTCTTGTGAATGTTTTTAAATTTCTATTTTTTCATTTCGTTCACAAGTTAAACTTCTATTGGTTCTTTGCGGTTTTCCAGCCCTACTTGTGGTCAGGCTTCAGCCTGGCTTCGTTAGCAGTACTTTCACCACTGAGTCAGAAAATTGTGGATTTAAGCCCCACATTAGGATTTTGAGTTCATAGCCTAGGTTGACACTCCAACCCAATGCTGGGGTGCGCTACATTGTCAGAATTGCCTTCCTTCTGATGAGACGTCAAATGAAGGTTCAGATGGGTGTTAAAAGACCTCACAACCTTGTTCGCCTATATACAAAAAAATACAATCATTGCACTCGACAGTAAATGTTGTAAAGCTCTTTGGAGAGAGTTTTGACCATGTGATCAAGTCACTATATCAAATGCAAGGTAGGATTATTATTTCCAAGAATGGCTTTCACAATACTCTCTAAATAATCTGCTAGAAGTCAAACATGAAAATACGAAAGAAGTTCATGGACTGTTCCCTACTACCCCAGATAATCCCACATTGAGAGATGAAGAAAAGACATATTTCAGTCTCATTTTTAATTATAACTTCTGAATTTAGTTCTGCAACTTTTCAATTATTAAATCATAACTTTTCATTTACGATTATTAAATGTAGAAAGTTATTAAATATATCAAAAGTATAAAGATTTCTAATTTTGCAATACCTTTCTATCTCTGTGCATTTTTGCCACGATATTAGTGCTTAAAATTCAATATTGCAGAAGGATTAAAGTGGTTATTTGTGATCATCAGATTGTGAGAGTCATAAAACGGTGTGAAGGATTTGGCCTTTTTCTTACCATCCTTTTCTCCCCAAACTTTGCCAACTGAGGATTCATTCACAATTCACTGCTTTGCAAATTGCCAAACAAATCTTGCAATGTGATATAGACAAATCAGAAGGCATAATTAGCAACTCTATCTAGATGGCAAATATTGCATTTTAGGCCCTAATATACCAATTTGGCCAAACATGGTTTGATTATTCTGTTGTACCACTCTGTCTTATGAGATTCTTTGTATACAGGATAGCTTCCACCATTAACTACTCCTTTCACCACTCATGTTTGAGAATCCTGTTGCCACAGGCTTTCCATTCAGACAAACCACTTCTATGACTGGGAAGTTTTAATGAGAGCCAGGGCTGGGATTTCACCTTATGTCCGCTGTATCTGAGATCTACTCACAACTATGATCATCTGTGTGTTTTTAGATGTCCCAGTGACTGAATTATTAATTACTTGCTCAAAGCAGAATCATTCCTAATTAAGAATACTGAAGAATACAAATGCCTGAAGATAAAGATATGGAAATTTGGCCAAATAATGGATGGATACATGAAGCATGAGAATGTAGCCCCTTGTTCAAACTATGTAGTGCAGCTTAATATTAAGCAGAAAGAAAGAGGAAAAGCACAAACCATTGACACCTTAGTCAAAGAGCAAGTGCATCAATGGGTGGTGAAGGAAAGGTGGAAGATCAGATCTTCACAAACAGGAAGTTGAAATACATAATAATAATAATCCTTGCATTTGATACAGCGCTTTTCACGTCGGGAGGTCATCCCAAAGTGCTTCACAGAACACACTGTAAAGTGAATTGACTGTACATTTGTGGGCGAACGCGGCAGCCAATTGCACACATCAATGTCCCACAAACAGTCATAGATTGAAAATGACCAATTTATTATTGTTTTTGGTTTTGGAGGGATTATTATTAGGCGTGTGGAGTAAGGAAACTTGCCCAAGGTTTCGCCCTGCCTGGAATTGAACTCAGGTCTCTCGCTTGCAAAACGAGTGCTCTCACCACTGAGCTACAGGACTCCACAATGATACACTCACATACACAGAAGCAAAATTAAAGTTTTAAAGGAGACTGGCATTCCTGGTCTGAAGAGAGAACAAATGAGACGTGTGGTGCATACATACACACATACCCTTGAATCACAGTTGGATATATTGTATTTTTGTTTTATAGATGCAACAAGACAGAATGAATATACCGTGGCTAGAGCAGGCTAAAGCTTAACCTGAAGGATTAAACTACAGTTATGCAGCAAAAAGAAATACATTTTTAAAGCACTATTTGCAATCACAGGCAAAAATAAGGGCACCTTCAGCTAACTTGAGATAATTTATATCGAGTTTAATGTATGAAAAAATAGAAGGCCAAGAACAGAAGAGAAGAGCAGGTGGTGTTTTAGTGCAAAGAACAAGCCTGTGGACAAGTGAGAGCGAGAGAGATACAATCTAACCTGATGACAGACTCATATGGAGTGCTTGAAGCAATTAAAATAAGAGACATAGAATTGTCCATGAAGAGACTTTATAGAGCAACAAAGATGAGTGCACTGTACAATTTGACTTCAGACATGAGAAAGAAAACCTTCAGATGAGACAAAGAAGACAAACAACTGGAACCTGTGGGATGAAATAAGGTTGTGTGCATACTTTTTAAGATGACATGAGGTTCACACAACAGCAGCAGCAAATATACAGGAGGGCTACTGATCGGGAAGCAATGAGATGATGAAATAATTTGAAATAAGACAAACAATGAGGGGAAGAGTTTAACCAGGTTACGATTGGGGAAATGGAGCAAAATCCCCAAAATTGAATTCCAAACAGATAAGATTATAGCTTTATTGAAGATATAATGTAATAAAATTGCGCGAGACACAATATTTTCCACTAACAGACTTGGGCTGATCTGATTATTGTCAGGGAAACAATAAAGTTCTTTCTAACTAACCAAGCGAGCCTTAATCCTGAACATTATAATAATCTGTGCATTTAATATAGCACTTATAACATCAAATTATATCAAAGTGTTTCACAAGTGCTGTCAGGTGTAGTGACTGTGTAATTGTAAGCGAATGTGGCACACAACAAGGCCCCACAAAGGTTCATGAACTGAATGGCGATATCTGGAAGCTTGTTGACTGGGAGAAACTCTTCTCTTTTCCAATAGGATCTTACACTTCCATCTGAACAGTCACATGGGAAATTAGGATAGTAAATAATAATAATCTTTTAATTTGATATTGTGCCTTATCACGTCTTCGAGATGTTTCAAAGCGCTTCACAGAATATACTGTAAAGTGAATTATCTGTAAATTTTGTAAGATACGATTTCATCCGAATGATAATATCTTTGGCACTGCAGCAGTCAGCCAAAACTACACTGGAGAGCAAGTCTAAACCTTTAGCTTAATTCCCATTGTGGGGCTTGAACCAACAACCTCCTAAACCAGATGCAGGAGTGCTACCATTGAAGCCAAGACTGACACCAACGAAAAACACTTCCCACTGAGCTTTAAACATCAAATTCCCAGAATCAAAAATATAATGTCATACAGATTAGCAGATGGTTAGATGTAAATTACAGAGACAAATATATATATTCCTCAGTTACACTTGGGCCACTCTTGCACATGCAAACCAAAAACCAACAAGGGACCCATATATGCTTGTAATTCATTCCTAACCATCTGTTACTTTGCAGAGCTTCTACAAAATTGTTTTTCTCTCTCCTTTCTTTCATCAAATAAATCTGGCCAATGTTTTGTCAACCAAAGTTAACCACATAGGTAAGGAGATCAGTAATAAAGCAAATGGTCAGGTGACAGCTGAAGATGGAGGAGCAGAATTCTTAGAAATAATCTTCATATGCCATGGCAAGCAGCAAAGTTAAATACTCCATGAGTGAGTTGCAGTGGATAACTTGTAAGCAAGAAAGAATCACTAGAACAAGCAGTAGAACAAGAAGACATAGATTTAGAGTTACAATTTCAGGGCTGATACCAGGAATATTTGCTTTTACCCAGACTGGAAAAAGGATGGTTGAGGCCAAGAAGCTGGATTCATTTAAAAAAAAACAGCTTGATGCTGTGATAGGTGGACATTAGGGGTGGGTATTTTGAAACAATGAGATCAAATGGGCTGAAGGATCTTCTTCATCTAAATATATCACAAGATCACAAGATATCTCATTCAGGCGATTGGATAAAATATTACACCATCAATCCTGGTTAGAAGAATTATTTTTACATGTTATTAGAACATGGAATGCTTTGCCATAAGCACCAATTTAGGTTAATGCATAAAAACTTGAAAAAGGAACAACAAAAAAGTAAGAAAAAGAACAGGAAATTGGGAGTATCAATGCACGGTTTAGCACAAGCATGAACTTCATGGATCAAATAATCTCATTCCTGTGCTGTAATCTCTAAGAGATCAGATCTTCACATAAAACTCACAAAAACCGCAGGTACCAGACAGACAAATAACTAATACAAAGGTGCTTTGTAAAAAAAAAATCCTTTGGAAACTTCCGAACAAAATAAAACACCGGGAAACCTCTGCTGTGAAACAATACACATGCTCTGTTTTGAATGGGTATATGAATTGGCCAAGGTAGAGATATCAACAAATATACAGGAATCCAATCAAATCCTTTTTTGGATGAATCTCAATAAGCTTTCTCTGTTTATAGCAGCAGAAGTATTTAATTAATGTAAATTTGAAAAATGACTGTGAGCAACTGGCAAACTGAGATATAAACTGGGAATTAATTTGGGAGCAGAGAAAAAACTATTTTCTGGCTGTAGGAATATAACCATTATAAGCTAACATAAAACATTAGAAAATGTAGCTTTGGTACAAATGGGGAAAGGCTAATACCCAGTTAAAACAGAGGCATAATTAAAATAAAAATGAATCATTGCAACACAAATTTTAATGTCTACCTTTGGAGATGGCATAATAATAATGAGAAGAATCACTAGAACAAGTAGTAGAACAAGAGGACATAGATTTAAAGTTACAATTTCAGGGCAGATACCAGGAATATTTGTTTTTACCCATACTTGAAAAAGGAAGGTTGAGGCCAAGAAGCTGGATTCATTTAAAAAAAACAGCTTGATGCTGTGATAGGAGCACATTAGGGGTGGGTATTTTGAAACGATGAGATAAAAAAAACTCCTATCACAGCATCAAGCTGCTTTTTTAACAACAGCTTTGATCAGGGTATTGGCCATCAGAAAGGAAACATTTTGCTTTTGAATTTATTGTGGAAAAAGTATTTGAAAAGATGCCATTGCATGGCCTCATTGTAGCATATTTCTTTTCAATAACATGATGAGTCCTGAGTCAAAGAAATTAGAGCATATGAGGGCTAGAGAAACAAACTATTCTTGAGAAAATGTATACTCTGCATCCAGTAGAGAAAGTCCAATTCAGTTTATTCTGTCCCCTTTCATTTACCACATATGCCGGTGCTATAAGCTCGTGTAAACCATGAGATCGATAAATGGACAGAAATAAGCAATGGTGATGGGGTAAAAACACTTGTAGATATTGACAAGCATCAAAAATGCATGCAAACAGCCAACTAATTGAGGTCAACAAACATTTTCTCCGTTTAAACCTTAATTAATTGAATTGCCCACATAATTTAATGAATTGTATAAGTTCAAACAATACTTCAGTAGCTGAAGCACAAAGTCAATATTTTGTTACAAACCAGAGCTGAAACATAAATATGACTGTTTTCTTATCCAATGTCATATTTCCAAATGGCTTTTTATTGACCAAAGGAATTGTCTTGTAGGTACAAAGAGCATATTTAAGTTTAAAAGCTCAACGTAATAAAATGTAATGAATTAATTTGTGATATTAATGAAAATTATTGATCAGGAAAAGCAATTAATGATGCACTGTAGTTGGCAAAAAATAATAAAGGATGAATATAGTACCTGCAATAGAGGGCTCCGGCCTCATCTATGATAATGTACGTTCAAATCTTCAAATTGCATGCCACTTACAGTGAGTTTGCTTTTGTTGTTTATGCAACTGGAAGCGAAGCTTTGAGATGTTTCAATGTCAAAGATACTAAATCGCGTGCAACAAGTTTTCATTATTTTTCAAGTAATTATTAATGGATGCTTTTGGAACCAATGGAAATAAAGACAGTGATTTCCTTAGCACAAAATTTAATGATGCAAATTGCATAGAAAATTAGGTAAACTTTTTGACTCAATTTTATATCTGCTTTAAATTACTATTTTTTCAATCAATAATTAGTATTATGAGTTTTAAAACTTTACAACGCAGGAACATTCACAACTCATAACTTAAGTATATTGATAGTGAACATTGGCCTTATGTGGCTTACCTTTAATTGCAGAATAACAATTCCAGGTGAATTATTTTCTGGCAGAGTAACCGTGTAGCTGGATTGCGAAAATATAGGACTGTTGTCATCAATGTCTAGGACTCTGACTGGTACAGTGAGGGTTGAACGACGAGGGTCCACTGCTCCATCTGAAGCTTCTACAATCAGGTCATATGCATCTTGGGTTTCTCGGTCTAATGGCGTTGTTGTATAAATGCTGCCATTTGATGTTATTCTGAAAATGCCATTATAATTTCCCAAGCTGTAGCGAATTTGTCCATTCATACCAGCATCTGCATCTGCAGCCTTCAAGAAATCACAAGTATTTTAACATGGCATGCAATTTGTACAGCACAATTTCCCTATCCACATAATGTAACACATTCATATTTAAAGCATCATGTTTATCACTGTAAACCTGAGTTCAAGAGGATTTTTTTTGGTACAAATTGAATCCAGACAGTTGCACAAATATAATTGAAATTAAATGCAGAGAGATTCAAAACAAATTAATCACCCTAAGCTTACTTATAATGCAGTCCTGATCTTTTCTCTCAGCTACAACACTTGCATTTCAGAAAGCTATCATCCTTAACATTTATCCAGCAAAGCTGCACTCCTGCAATACTACATCGCAGTGTCACACTAGATTAACAGTTCAAGTGTTGATTTTCAATAACCTCAATATAGTTACCTCTACAGCCCTGCATTTTATTTCAAACATTAAGCTCTGAATTATTTTTTTCCCCCCAATATCACCTGGAGAGGGCTCAAGACAAACTTGATTAACTAATATTAGTAGAGGGTCAACTCTTCCATTTTGGCTCAAGGCCCCGTGGTCCACTAAGTATTCCAAGAGCTTTTTGGTGTTTGTTTGCTAATGGAATCAAATCTTCAATAACAAGTAAAAATGAACACGTGATTTTGGTGTTGGAAATCAAGTGTTCATGTGTTTTTTTTAACAGTCCAGTGCGAGGTGAGGATTTTGTCTTTGATTGGAAGGTAATGCAGAATTGTGGAAAAATTCTTACATTTAGTTTTAATTCAGAAAATGATTCTTGTTGAGAACTGCAGACAACTGTTTTTAAAATTAAGGCTGAAATTTAGATCTTCCACAATTCTAGGTAATCTTACATTTTAAAACAAAATGAGTTGAAAGAATGAGATTGGTGGAATTTTGGGCTCCTACGTTTGGTTTACCTCTTCAAAAGATTTCTCCTGGGAGTCCTGTTGCTTCTCTCCCAGCAATAAAAACACAACATGATGATCAGAGAAGCTACAAGAAGTGATCAATGGAGAAGCAGAAGCAATAATTGTTGCCTCACAAATTTACTGGAATTATTTGAGGCAGGGCAGCAACTAAGATGATGAAACAGATTCAACAAAAGCTGTTCATAAGGTGTCAACGAATTTCTTCAAAATGATGGGATTACTAGCTACTTAGGGACAGTATTTGAGATAATGGAACAAGTGAAAACTGATGTAGGATGCTTCCCTAGGTGGCTCTGGTGTTATGTGAAGGTAGAAAACATGAATGCTGTAAAACAGAACCCCAAAGAAAAGTTTTTCTGGATGGATATGCCATTGCCATTCTTCATTTTGTTTTCTTCTTAAGGATAGAGGCCTATGATTTTGGCATATTTGAAGTGCACATTACGGTTTTGTTAAGGTTACCCAAGGGAGGCAAAGAGAGAGTAATGCTAGCGATTAATCATGGTGATTCAGTCTGAACTGACAGGCACTGATTGTAAAGTGATGTCTGGGTAGACCATGTCATCTATAATTTTCTTAGTCTTTCTGTTCAATTTTCAAGGGAGAAGATAAGGGCTTGAGAACCAACCGCAGCAATATTTCTCCCCTCGTATGTGTTTGTATTTTGGTTACAGTACTTCGTTGCTGTATTAGCTGAATTTGTGCTGCCCTATACTGGAAAATAGCTGTGAGATATCAAAATGTAATGTATTTTGTGCACCTCTAGTATTCTTTATCCCTACTTGGACCAAAGCTGTAAGGCAGCCCTTATTGAATACTTGGCCTCAGATAAAGAGTGTTATTTACCTACCGACCACTTGGAGGAGATGGAAATGTATGGACCTGTGACAGTTTAATAATCCCATGCAGAAACTGAAGTCAAACTGAAAGCATTTTCCAAAGAAATTTTCCAAAGCTATTTTATCTGCTTCTGAACATTAAAATGACTAATACATCTAATTATCTTCTATTATCAAGAAAGATTGGTTATTATCTGATATTTGTAAGTCATTTATGCAGTTCACTTTATGTACTACATAAAAGAATTGGATGTATTTTTTGGAAGAGCTAGCACAAGCATAGGTGGGCTGAGTGGATTTTTCTATGCTGTAAATTCTGATTATAGGTTGATGAATGTTTTGGTGGGAGAGGAAAGAGTTCCATTTCCTCCCCATATGCTTGAATGTCTCAAGCAGGCAATTCTCTGTTTTAGGCATGTTCCTGCAACAATTTTTATCCCAGGGTTTATGTTTTTTATCATCAAAACACAGCGTTGAAGCACTAGAAAATCATTCTGGACCTAAAGAGAAGTTCATCCCTTCACCATCTACTTTGGTGGGCTGGAAATCCGGAATAAAAAGACGCTCATACTCAGAGTGTTATCGTCAACAACCACTGAGGTAGTTTTAACACCATACTTGCCTTGCCTTATATTCAGAGGCTGGACTAAGTTGTATATAATGAGTCTGACATCATTAGTGTCCCAAAGACTGGAACTGCAACCTTCAGAACTCATCTACATGATCAGCAAATTTTTAGGCATAATTTTTACCTTGAGTGAAAACATTAGCTTTCAAGTCAGGAATATGTAAAAACCAGATATGCTGCTTAATGCAGTTCTGCTGTGGGACTTCATTCAGAGAGTTCAGAACCCACAACCTTCTGACTCATAGGTGCGAGTGCTCCCAAATTAAGCCATCCTGAAAATCCTTATTTCCAATGTCATCACCTCATGTTCCCAATTGCTCTGCTCACCATAATTTCTTGGTCTGCTTTGTGCAACAAATCCAGAACTCTGCAGTCTGATCTGTCTCTCTCTCTCAAAGAAACATTGTTATATGCATTACCACTGCCACCCACATCGTTCCAAAATCAATACTTCAGAGGATCAAGTTTAAGATACTTATTCCAATGTCTTTTTTTCACTCAACTTGTTCTCTTGTCCAATCATTGCCCTTGGTCTCAGTTCTGATGAAGGGTCTTGCACAAAATTTTAGTTTAAAATTTTATTCTAAAATGTTCTACTTTCAGACAGAAATTCACCTGCTGTGAATTTTCGGCTTTTGTTTTGATTTCAGATGTGTAGCTTTTTCAAATTTCTTTTCTTTTTTTTTAAAATTCAATCCATCTTAATTCAATTACATGTATTTTTGACTTAGTCTCTTTGTTCTGATATCCAGCTGCTTAGACAATTTTCAGCATTGACCTACGTGCTGTTCATAACGATACAGATTAATCACAAATACAACCCATTTAATCTCTCATTTATTTCTCATCATCCCACTTTTGTTGCCTTTTCATTTTGTGATCCTTTGATTTTTTCAGCCTTGAAGCTACATACACAAAATACAGTCACACCATTTTACAATGGTGATGCGCTTTGAGACATCTTAAAGACATGATAAAGCGCTATATCCAAATGCAAGGATCATGGGAGGGAGGGAGAGGGTATCAGTGGTGTTTAATAAGGAATTTTAAAGTACATCATGGGAACTCCACTCTGACACAATCGTCTTTCAGACTGGAGTTTGCATAAATCAATGTGACTTGGGTGATGAACTTCAGGTTAACCAGAACAAGGCCTTACTTGGATTCCTTGAATGAGACATCATTAAAAAAAATCTTGTTTAGTAAACACCAACTGTATTTATTTTAATAACCTCCAAAGGGTTAAAACGCAGTGGATTCACCAGGATTCAAACTCAGAACCAAGATAAGTGCCCAATCTATGAACAACCCAGAATGTCACCCACTGTACTGTAATATACAGAAGGGAGGAAATAATACCCTGAAGGACAGTTGATGATGAGATTGAAATGGTCAAGAAAATTATTGCTCTGGTCACGGTGAAGAGCAGTGACAGAAGCTTTCGAAGGTTAATGAATTTATCATATTCTGCGCAGCATTTTTTGTAACATGAAAAAACCTCCTTGTAATTCTGGTCACAGAGATAGTTCATGAATATTACTTAACATTCCCAGAGAGAACAGATAAGTAGAAGAACTTATTCATTTTTCTCAAATTGCTTTAATTTGAAATATCATCGTTGTGATATTGTCAGGTATTGGAAATTAAAATGTCGCTTGAAATCATCTTACCCTAACTTGACCAACAAGGGCATTTGCCTCTTCTTCCAGTACAGTAAAGTTCCTGAGGAAGATGGGGTCAAAGATCGGATCATTGTCATTCACATCAGTGACTACTATGTTGACTGTAGCAGTGGACGTCTGAGGAAAGAAAAACATTTAATATTGCTCTCTATTGACCACCCATCTGAAGACATGTAGTGAAAACTATTTACGCACCCTGCAACAATTTAAAAAAGGAAGTAGATTAAGAATTGCTATTAATTCTGAATAAAATATGTATGCATTATTTTCTTACAACCATTATAACAAACCTATTATCAGTATTAAAGTGACGTGCCAAAGCTATTTATAATGTCCCTTTGGAAGCATTCAAACATTTACCAGGATAATCACGGGCAGAGAAATTGTAGATGCAATTAATCAAGATTCCTAATGAATTATGTCAAGGTCAGGTTACTTAGTAGCTACTTGAGATAACATATTAATCATGTTACATTCTATTTGTTATAAATATCTACATATATCATTTTACTACAAATTTGTTAATGGATTTCTTGTACTGGTTTAACAACTATCTAATATGATTCTCAAAGTAGTAATATATTACACATTTGAAAAGCTTATTGTAATATTTACTTAAATAATCAGTCATTTAAAGCATGTGAAAGATTCTAGAATTTCTTTTGAAATTATCTACTCCTTTGTAGACTTGCATCTGCAAAAATACAGACGTCTCCAGAAGAAGTTGCATTGTGTATAGCTTCATTACCTTTTCATATCCATTCGTAAAAACGTTTATGAAAATTAAATGTTTAAAATATATTGTTTCAGAATCTTTTTTTCAAAAGTAACAGTACAAACGCAATTCAGTTTACAATCTATATACATAGGTTTTGTTTTCCCCTCAGTTTTAGATAACTTATTCTCTTTAGGTCTTCTCATTACCATTTGGTGGCTAAGAAGGTGGATAGCAAACCGATTCTCAAGTGTTTGCCAACGCTTCTCTTGAGACCATTTTTAGGAAGCAACTTGCACAAGTTTTTTTTCTTCTGACTAGAAAGTGGTTGGCATCAGTTGGGAACTCCTTTTGACAGATTATTCACCAGTCACCCTGTGTAATGGGGAAACTCAGTTCATTTAAGACTAAATAAATCCATCTCATGCTGGACAATATATAGAATGGCACTTAACACAGACAAAAAGATACTGTGATCTAATCTGTGGTGATTTCTAATGGCCAATTAATTAAGGAAATCAGAAGGACTTTATTCCAGTTTGTGGGAACTCTGCTCTGACACACAATCTGTTTTGGAGCAGAGTCCTGAGAACCAATTTGACATGCTTGAGACACCTGCAAGCGTGACAAGTTGAAGAAATAAGATTGGTTATGAGGTATGCCAGTGTCACTATTCAATACGTTTCCTCTTTCCCTCTCTCACTCACTCTCCTAACTTCATAGTTTAACATGGGTAATCACTATGGAGTCCGGTAGCTTAGTGGTTAGAGCACTCGCCTCGCAAGCGAGAGGAACTGGGTTTGATTCCCGGGCAGGGTGAAATGTTAGGCAAGTTTACTTAGTAGTAAGTAGTAGCCCGGTTGTTAGTTGATCGGCGGATCGCTTTGCCGGGGATAATAATCCCTTCAATAAAAAAAACTAATTTGGTCACTCAATCAACAACTATTTGTGGGACACTGTTGTGTGCAATTGGCTGCCGCATTTCGCCCACACAATATACAGTCAATTCACTTTAGAGTATATTCTGTGAAGCGCTTTGAGACATCCCAAAAACATGATAAGGCGCTATATCAAATGCAAGTATTATTACTGAACCTGTAATATGAATGGTGGATAGTCCAACTTCTAGATTGAAATATTTTATTTCATCTCACTGGAAACTGAGAAAAAGATAAAAGTATCTTCCTCTTGGACCTGAAAATGACCATCAGGCAATCTTAGCAAGAATTTCTTGAAGGGGAAATTCCCAGCACTTTGGATCTAGGTCAACCTAATCTTACGGTGTGTGGAGGATGTGAGAATGAAACACAATTGCCAATGCAGACAGTCTAAGCAGGATTAATATTTTATTAACACTTAAACTGAGTTCCAGATAATCCAGATCACTTTAAACACATCTTGGTTTGGTTGCATAAATCCAAATCAAATTGTGCTTTTATGGCAATATAAGGAATCTACTTCCAGGAATATGACTTGAATTACCTTTCAGTTTTGATTCAATTTTTTGTTTGGAGGAAATCTACATAATTCTGGAATTTAGTGATACCATCCTCAAATTAATCTCCAAATCATTATCATCTTCGTGTTCATTAAATAGTATTGGGTAACCATATTTACAGAGCGGCACAGTTGCAAATCAAAGTGAGATATGGAGGAGATGGGGTTGTAGAGAGCAGGGAAAAATGGCTAAAAGTTCCCCCATCGATACTGAGACAGATTGAGCAGTGGACATTAAGCTGTATGCTGAGTGGAGAGAGCAGGTGAATCAGTAGACTCAGAGGTAGGGTGGGGCAAGGCCAAGGAGGAATTTCAATGTGAGAATGATGATCGGATCTTGAATTTGATCTGGTGGGTGATGGGATGCCAGTGAAGGCAAGTGAGGATGTGGGTGATGAGCTTGCAAAGGCCGGGGTGGAAGAGGACAAGGACTATAGAGTTCTGAGTTCTGCAAGGTCTGCAGTTTGTGAAGGAAAGAGCTGGGGAGTCCAGCAAGCAGTTGGAATAATTCAACCTTCAGCAGCCTGGGGTAGAGGTACTGATGGAAATGGAGAGAGACCTGACAGGAAATAGGATTTGAAAGACAGGGGCAGAGGTTTAAGCAGATAAGAGCTCAATTTTATACCCAAGGAAGTCCATCACCTCTTCCTATTTGGAGAAAAGAAGGATCATGGGCAGTTGGGTGGAGACAGTGGGTTGTGTCTGTTCAAATAGAAAGACTGATACAATTATGATCCTGCCCAGGAAGTATAACCAGCAGTCTTCATAGACTCCCGACAAAGATGCAGGGCAGACACTGAATCGAGTTTGAGAAGGCAATGGAGTTCAATCTAAACAGCTGGTGAGGAGGTCAGAGCGAGAATCTGGCCACTGTAAACAGCTAATTTTATCTAGTCCGTCTGCTGGAACGTTTCTGATGCATGAACCCACCTCCTGACACCCAGACGCTTTTTCACTGCACAAGTCTATGGGCCGATGCACATGCAAAGTGTGAGTTTGGCCCAAAGCACTGCTTCCTACTCTTTGTGCAGTTGACTGGCTAGCTGGTGAGTGACAGGAAGATTACTTTGGAGACGGCCAGCAGAAAACAAAGCGGAGAAGCACTCACCTAAAGGATGAGGATACAATCCTAATTAAACAGCTCTTGACAAACTATTTTTGTTTATTCTATTGCAGTATGTATTAGTCATCAATAAAAAGGACGATAGCAAAAACAATCCTGAGTTTGACACAAGTCTATTAGTAATTGCTGAGCGAATAAATACCTGAATGACTGATTCAATCTATCTGCAATCTTACATTTTTTTAAAAAAACTGAATTACTCTTGCATTAATGAGCTGCTTTAGTTATTCTATCTTCACAGACTGACTCATTTTAAACAGCAACTATCAACGATGGGCTCTTCTGTTTCAGGGAGCATTAAGGAGGATAAGAGGATTCTTGCTGCAGTCTTTTCTACCATTAAACTGCAGAGTCTGGTACAATGGCACTTATAGCATTTTTATTTCTCTCTTTGTTAGATAGACTCATGAGCTTTCCTTCATTGCATCAAACTCTATTCTGGCCTTCATTTGTTTTCTGAGTTATCTGTTTCAGAGAAACAAACTGAATCAGGCAAACAATAAAATCCTTCAGCTGTGATTTTCTCCCAGGCAGATTGTACCCTAAGGACAACACATTAAAGAAATGACAATTTTCATATACAGCACAGAACTTTTGCTAATGTGAGCCAATGGGTTTTTGAAAAATATTTATACTGTTGGCAAATAACCTTGCTTTTTTTTAAAATCCTACAGGGAAAATTGTTTCAGTTGAGTATGTGTCAGATACATTTTTTGAAATTGATTCAATGTTATTTGAATGCCTTTCAAGAATCACATTTGAGCCTTTTAAAGACAGCTACAGATCATGGAATGAATGATAAATTAGCCAGTTGGATTGAAAACTGTCAGCAATTGAAAGCAGTAGACGTTGGTTTAATTGAAAAAAAATTCTTTCATTGGGGCAGTGACAAGGAGGGCTCGAATACTCCATTCATGATAGTTGCTAAATTATATGAAGCCATGTCAGGTGAATATAAGAAGTAAGAATAGTGTCCAGCAAGATCTAGACTAAATTGACAGATAGCCAAAGAAGGGGCAGGTGGATATTGCAGACACATACAAGAGCACACTTCGGCACAATAATCAGTAAGTATGTGTAAAATGAAGAGTTGTTCATTAGCTTATGGAGAATTAAAAGGGAATATGCACTACTATTAATCATACACTGAAGGTTTCCAGTCAACATGAACATTCGTACATATTAGGTTACATCTTAAAGTCATTCTTGATCATCGTAAAAACGTAAAGAAAATTAATAAATCAATAAATTTGTAAAAGTAAATATAAAATAAATCAATTATTTAGGCTTGCATAACTAATTGGTGAGTGCAAAGTGGCTCACAATTTCTTGAAAAATACATTGTAGCAATGGAAAGAGTTCAAAGACAAACAGCAGGATGGTTCAAAGTCCCAAGATAGTGGTTGAACCCACAATCATCTGACTCAAAGAAAGAATACTACCAACAGAACCAGGCTGACATCTCTGCATTAAAATTATTATCTCTGTATTATAAAGTCAGCTAGTGGAACTCAGGTCAGGATCTCGCCAGAAATGATCCCTTAAAAGTCCTCAGGTGGACCAACAAATGGCCAAAAAACTATCAAAGAACAATATCTTTAATGCTTTGAAGGGTCAATTGCCTGGTGACTCCTTCATAATATTGAAAAACTAACAGCGATTATTGCATGCGTAAGTCCAGACTTCTCCTGGTCAATTCAATGTATAAATTAGGTTTCTCGCTTCTAATTGCTTCACTGCTGGAAGCAATATTGCTTCACTTCTAGGAGTATAATCAGGGCATAAAGCAAAGCAATAATATGCATAGATATTGAACCTAAAATCCATAATACAAAAAGGAGCTGCTAAAGCAAAGCATGTTGAGTAATTGCAAAGAGCAACCAATGTGAATAAATCTGTAATAGCATAGATCTTAATGTGGAAACATCCCAAAGAACCACTATAATCCCTCCATTAAAGAATCTGATCCACTTATGACTTCAATAAATGGGCACCAGAGGGCCATTATATTTCAACTTTGATCTTCCATATGGCATATGATCTTTTCATAGGAAGTTATTGGTTTCTTTTAATCCAACAAGAGCCCCAAAATAGCGCATCATTGATCGTTGCAGCGACACAGAATTACTTTCTGAGCTATAAGATGACCCAGTATGATCAAGTAAACCTTGAGCACTGGGAGTTTCCAAGACACACATTGAGCAGAATGCCATGTGCATTTGTAAAATTCTCTATATAACTAAATACTTTTTGCTAGAATTCATTTACTCGAGGAGAACATTCCAACAAAAGGTTCAAGTCAGTACCTACAAGTAACCAGTCTCACTGTAGCAAGAGCATAGATGCTTGCCTAAGCCATATTAGAATAATTAAGTTCCATACCCTATTTTTAAGACTAATACTATTTATAATGCTAGAAATTATTGGAAATTATGTTGGTATTTTGCCAATATGATCACAAGACCAATCTGAGGTACTTTTTACAAGATAAAGTCACTACCCCAAAGAGTGAACACGGGTTTGTTCAACAGTATCAAACACCTACTTATAGAAGCTAATGGATCATGAGAAGCAATACAAAACAACTTTCAATCTTAAGAGTGTAATTAGCTTACCGAATCAGGCCTGCCATCAGAAGCTGTTACAATAAGTATGTATCGATCCGTACTTTCCTTGTCCAAAGGTTTTCCTAAGACAAGTAGCCCACCGCTGGATGGGAAAAAAGCAAGTGCAGGAAAAGAATAAAATGAACATTTATGACCCAGTAAACAGACTGCAGAATATTTTCATAAAACAGTTTTATTAAGAAATGAAAACAAATGACTTCATACAGTCAAAATGAGCCTCTTTTATGCATATCTGCAATTCTAAGCAATTTTCTTGCACATTCAATTGCATAATGCACTCAGGTAATTTCTGCACAGAATATATAAAAAGCAATATGTCAGTGGTCTCCATTAGTCTTCATGACAGACATGCACCTAAACTGTATTTCCAAATATAGGTTGACTCGATCTCTATTGCTAGATTTGCACATAATGTGCCAATATTTGTTTTTGTTAATATCTAATTCCCATTACAAAGATATGCACAAATATCAGGTGTAATTGGTTCCAATGTGCTTCTCTGAGAAAGCTGGAAACTGTCCTTCTGGGAATTAGCAAAAAAAAGATTGCATGAACATTTGTTCGGTAGGCATTTCTTCACCTATGTGGGATGAATTCAAGTATCCAATTTCTCTTTAAACTCTTTCTGTGACGTTTTGGTTCATTCAATTATCTTAAAGAAAAGGCACTTTTGCTAAGCTGCAGTTGGGAAAACACTCTGGGACGCTACCCCATGTTAAGGGCGCTCTATAAATCCAAGATATTGATGTTGAATCTGTTGCCTTTTTTCCCCTTGCATTTACTAAAGAAGACACTGCAATGAGTCTTATGTGGATAACTAATCCAGAAGTCAGTTTGCACTTCAAAAAGTGCTTTGAGCAGTTTTAAGGCAAACACCTATTTAATAATCGCAATCATGTATTACCCATAAACGTAATATGTTTCGGGAATTCTTCACATCACAAAATGCAAAGAGATTACAATGTGCGCTAATACTTGCCATCGCCTTTAGCAGCGCAACCAAATTTTCATCATAATGGATTTTGGGGACCCTTTTCTAAACAAAAACATGCAATAAAACTATCTGCATACTTTGTATATTTATATCAATATGTCTATATGTCTATACTTTTGCTCTCAAGTACAGGGAATCAATGATCCATGAACCCTGCTGATTTTGCCAGCGTCAATTAAGGAGAACTTAACTATTACAGATTATTCAGTTACTGCAATCGCACGGTTATAGCATATTGTGCAGTTAACATGAAAGTACAGAATTGGTTATTAAAAAAAAATCATTCTAAACATGAAAATGAATCAATTGATGTTGATTATCGGAAGTCAGTCACATGTGTAATATTTTAAAAGTTCCTTACTTTTGAGTGATGTTAAAGACTTGATGTGGATCTCCATTCTGAATGCGATAGGTGATTGGATCTCCCTCACGATCGGTGGCCTAAGAATAAATAGGACATGAAGCTACATTACATTATAATACCACACAAATGTGGTCAAAGAAACTGATTTATAACTGGGGCTCCTGTGGAAGATCCACAAAAAATACACCATAGGAGTAGGCCATTCAGCCCACTATTGCTGATGATAGTTCCTCTGTTGGAGCTATGTATCTGAATCTTAATACTCTGCTTTTTTCCATACTCTTTCTTTATTGCCCTCCTTCAAATCTCCCTTAAATGTATATTTTCAACCTGGTCAGAAAGGGTTTTAAAAATTCTAAGGAAGGGAATCAGTTCGGGGAATGTGTGAAGCAGCAAACTCTTAAGAGTGGAAGCAGACTGGTTGAACTGTGACAACTCACACTGGTGCATTGCATATTGACATGGCCATTTGATACAGATGAATACTGACTTCAGCATTCTAAATGTGCACAGCAGCAACAGATTTCTGTAGGGCATTTCTGTTTCCACGTCAATTTTCACCATTCTCCCCCAAAGAAGTTTGATTAATTTTTCCTTCTGCTGGGGTACAGCTTCTCCAATGCCTTTGATACCTCACCCAAGAGGCTATTTTTTATGTGTACACCTCGATAGTAGGTCTGTGGTAGTGAGTTTGAGAGCATTTTATCCGACCCGAATCCTTTTCTTATCCAACGGCCATCCACTTATATCTTCCAGCAAGTAGAAGATGGGGGGGAAAGTTGCTGTGGAAGTTTAACTGAAATCCATGTTAAATCCAAGATGTAAGATGTAGTGTGTTGAGGGTGCATTTTTGCAGTTAAGGAAATGTGCCAATTATAAATTCTTGACAAAGGCCATGATTGTCACAATATATTTTTCTCACTGATGCATTGAAAAGTAAAATATATGTCACAGTCTTACAAATGGATTAAATGGCTGGAGGAGAGAATGTTGATTTTATTATATTAATTTCCATGACAGTGGCAAACAGAGAACTAAAGTAGTCATCTTCTGTGTGAAATGTTAAATCCAAACAGTTGAATCGCTTGGTTAATAAAAGGTAATAAAGTAATAACATGCATTTTATAACACATTATTGAATCAAAAAATCTTGAAAGGTAATTACTATGGTGGATTGTGTTGGCCAGAGTACCAATATGTAGTTTGAACTTGCAGGAAAGTGTGCGCTGCTAACTGAGAGCTAAAGTTACATAATCCTTAGTTTTCATTAGCAGAGCAGTTCTGAAGGTATACAATGCAGAAAAAAACATAAAAGAGAAATCCACTTTGGATGAAACATCCTTTTCACAGAGTTTAAATAATTCAGTGAGCAATGCAGCACTGTCCCTGAATCACCTTGCTTTGTAGTTCTCATTCGCCAATAAATATTTGAAACTAACAGTGTCACCAGCGTCAATAAAAGGCTTTGCTGTTTAATACAATGTTGCTATCTCTTCACAGTTGTATTATGATTTCATTCTGCAGAAACATTATACAATATTTACTAGTTCACTATTGATGCCCATTTTCTTTTGCAAAAAAATCATAACTTTTAACATTTTATGTACTTGTGACTTTTGATTCTTGTAGGATATTTGTCTTTAAACAGTGAATAATGATAACGCAGATACAGATCTTGCCTGGAGGAGTTGGTGAACTTGAAAGGTGAACTAATTGAATTGACATGCACAGCTGAATCGGAAGCAACACAAATTAATGACTGGAACATCACTTGTATAGTGACTCATGTCATAATCCAGGCTCAGCATTCAAATCCGCTTGGGTTGATTTAGTGGAGTTTGCCCATTTATACTAACTGGCAAGTATACTAAATACATCTATTAACTTGTTCCAAAAAGTATCTGACGATTTCAGCTATAACACATTTTATTAAAGAAAATACTGAAGGGGGAGTCTTATGGAAGTGATAACTGGAGAGTAGAAGAACAAGGAGCAGGAATGCACCACTAACTCAGGCCCAAGCACCAATGTGGCGGGAAGGGAATAATTTCTCATTTTATCAATTAAACATAATATTGGGAACTTCAAGAGTCCAGTAGCTCAGTGGTTAGAGCACTCGCCTCACAAGAGAGAGACCTGGGTTTTATTCCTGCTAGGGCGAAATGTTGGGCAAGTTTCCTTACTCCATATACTTCTGTTTACCTAGCAGTAAGTAGGAACCCTGTTGTTTGTCGATTGGGGGATCGCTTCTCTGGGGATAGTAATCCATCAAAAAATAACAAAAAACAATAATAATTTGGTCACTCAATCCAAGACTGTTTGTGGGACACTGCTGTGTGCAATTAGCTGCCACGTTTCGCCACAGACGTACAGTCAATTCACTTTATAGTATGTTCTGTGAAGTGCTTTGAGACTCCAGAAGACATGAAAAGCACTATATCAAATACAAGGATTATTATTATTAGTTATAAGTGAGATCTTAACTTTGCATAGCTGAAAGCTAAACTGTTGACACTGTTAAATGTAAAATATATCCTTCCATGCTTGTATGGTAATCTAACAAAATGTATGTCAGCTTGTTTTAGTTCTATAGCTTGCAAATATTTTCCAAAGATGATCAACCTAATGCACACTTTATGATCTGTGCTTGCCTCATTCATTCAGACATTTCCATTTACTTATCACAAGCATTTTATACGGTGACTGCTTCAATTCAGTGCAAAAGTGCTAATTAAAATTATTGCCTTGACTTTCTGACCAACTTTATGCTTCATTTCTGCTGTCAACAGTGATTTCTGAGATTATAAAAATAGATGAGCCCATAGATTGAATATTTTGACAGTTCATAAGAGTCATGGGGCAGGATCAAGAAAATGTTACAGCTGGGTACAAACCATTAAATAAAGTTGTCCAAATTAGCTTATCTACTGTAATCTAAGCAATTTTAATGAATAAGATTTTATTTCTAAAAAATCTGGGATATTGGAACATTAAAATTACTGCTCTCCTATTAGCCACAATCTATACTGAGAATACATTGAGGAATACAAAGGTGCAAAGTCAGGCTTGGTGCAATTACTGATCTTCACAGTGTAGAGGCAGCTAAATTATTCAAAAGATAGTTATTAAGTCAGCAAGTTCAATTTCAACTGTGCATATTAGTCTTTCACATTGCAGCAGCCAGTAATTTCTGCAATCTAGTACCATTAAGGAGACCATCTGAAAACAAAACTATTATAAGAAAAAAATTATGGAAACAAAAATGTTATAAAAACAGCTCTTAGCAACTTTTTTAAAACAACATTACATTGTATCAAACTGTGGATTTTTCCAGTAATTCTGCTAACCGGGAAATCTACTATTGAGTTGCATTAGCCTTAAGTGTTATAACTGTGGGGCTTTTATTGATTTATATTTTATAGCAGGTTTAATTATATGTTTTAAGTGTGCTTTAATACTCTCAATTTAAGATTAATGTAAAATTAAGATTAAATTCTTTCAAGATGGGTTTCGGTTAGGAAATTAGAAGCGAGTAAAATCCCCGAATTGTACATTCCATTGCAAATTGTTAAGGAGGTCCAATTTTCATGACTGGCCACTGTATAAAAATGGAATATGAAAATGTCAATACTGTGGTCTTAAGTGCACAATTAAAATGTGATGTGTATGAATAATGCTTCAAAATGCACTTAAGTTTGGACAAAAAATTGAAGGTAATTACTGTCAAGTACAATCACTGTATTTGTAGAAATACAGCAGCAATTTGCGCCAACAAGATTCCACAAATAGTCATGATGTGAATGACCAAATAATCTGGAGCACTGCTGGCCAGACAACATTCTTCTTTTGAACAGTGTCTTTAAAATCCACCTTTACAGGCACACAAGACCTCGATCCCACTGGAGTCTCAGCCGAGATTAGGCGCTCAAATTCCTAATTGGGCTTCAATCCACAATCGTCTGGCCCAGCGGTCAGAATGCTTTGAACATCTCATCTGATATAAAGAGCAAAGTGAACAATTTGACCATGTATATTTACCTGCAAACTCAGCAAAGTTGCCCCTATTCTCATAGCTTCACTCACTTCAAGGTTATATAGCATCTGTGGATACCTTGGTGGACTCTGGTTGTTTGGAGGAAGGACTTCAATATAAACAGTGGTGATAGAGTTTCTGCAAGAAATAGTGTGTGATCAAGCATCAAATGCTTCAAGCAAATTTTCAATAATTCTACAGAATGTCACAACACATTCAAAGCAAAAGAAAGGGGTTTTATTTGTTAATATGCTTTTGTACAACAAAATAAAATGTTCTTGTAAGATTACAGAACAATTTCAGCTTGGGAACAATCATTTTGTTTGAGGAAGGAACAGAAAATTTCCAAAGTATAAAAATTATTATTAATATTCAAGGCTGCTCTCTCCGGAATAAAGAATAGAATCACATCAAAGAACGTGTTTAGCAATCCTTCGAAGAGCATTATTGCTGTGGGCGGTGTTTTAAGATGAAGACGCAGCAATTATGTTTTATCAAAGGTTAAAAATTGTGGTATATTTGAGTAGACATCATCATATAAAAGGCCCTACATGCTATATGTAGATGCCCGACAAATCCTTTGATTTTTTACTATTTTTGTTTCATCTTCTGGGAATTTCATATTATTCTGTTTTATCCATTTAACATGTTTTATTTATTTTTATTACTTTTATATGAACAAAATACCTCAAATATCCATATAAATACCCATCTTCAATTTAAAAAAAATCATACACAGGATGACTAAAAAGGCATGATACCATTACAATTGTCTAATAAGTCTTAAAGGAACGATATATATACATTTAAAGATAATAGGGTAGTTATCACAACTCTTTGGTCACCCTGGATATATCTCTTGCTTCTATTTTACTTACTTCAGCATCCTCCTCCTTGAGCAAGTCTTCAAGGAGACCTTGGCTCGAGTGTAAACCTTTGAGGACCACAACCAGTCCTTCGAGCAGTTCCAACCCACAAACTACCCTCTTACCCTCATCCCAACTTTTCAATAACACCCACCTACTTACAGTCCCGACGCCTGCTTGCCAACAAGTCACCAAGAATCCTTGCCTCTGATTAGCTGACGGACCCTTACATTACACCTGTTTTGCTGTGTTTGTTTTATAATGTTTTTTTCTCATTTTTTTGCCATTGGATACATTTTATTGTACATTTGATTTTGCACAGATGCACTACAGTGATGTAAGGTTCCATCATATTTTGATGCTTTGAAAATCAATCAGAATAAGGATAATGATTGTTTTGTATTATTTTGTATTTGTGAAAAATAAGCGGTTGTACATATGAGGACCTAGGTTGTTCATGAAATGCTTACCTTCTTTGAGCAGGCATGGCATTGTCTATTGCTTTGACAGTTAGAGCATAGGATCGCCCAATTGTTAAAGCAACTCCAGGCGCCATAGTGATAAGTCCAGTGTTGTTATCTATTACAAAGTCACCATGACCTCCAGCCAGAATTTCATAGGTGATCTTTCCATTTTGGCCTTCGTCAGCATCAGATGCAATGAGCTAAAGTAAACAGACATAATGATGGTCAGTGAAGACATTGATCAAAATAATACTGATGCAAACAGAATTTTCAGCACACAGCCAAGAACTATAACGAATCAAAGGTCTCGTCAGCAGCTGTAAAGATTGAAAATAATCATTGTCCATATTGTGATGGATTTTCAAAGATCTAAAATATGGTAGAACTTTACATCACTATAGTACTTTTCTACAAAAACAAATAATAACAATAATAATATAATATGTACACAAATGTACACAACTGAGAAGGGCAACCCCAGGCGCCTGTTCTCCACCACTAACCGGCTCCTCCGCTGTCCCCGACACGCCTCGCAGATACTTTCCTCTAACTCTCACTGTGAGAAAATGCTGGACTTCCTCGAGTCCAAAATTGAGGGAATCCCCTCAGCTGCCACTGCCCCCCCAACTTCCAAACCCTCCCTACCCCCACCCCACACAATTACCCATCCGACAATTACCCATCCCTCCTTCCACACCTTTGAACCTGTCATTCCCTCCTTTGTCTTCAACACGGTAACTTACATGAAGCCCACCACCTGCTCCCTCGACCCCATCCCCACCTCTCTCCTTAAATCCCAGCACCACCTCCTTGCCCCACTACTCGCCGACATCATTAACCTCTCCCTGTCATCTGGCACTGTTCCTTCCCCCCTTAAAACAGCCACTATCACCCTCACCTTGAAGAAAGCTTCCCTTGACCTATCAGAGCTATCTAGCTACCAGCCCATCTCAAATCTCCCTTTCCTATCTAAGGTTCATGAGAGAGCCGTTGCCTCCCAGCTTCACTCTTTCCTCTCACTCCCTCCATGAACTGCCCCAATTGGGTTTCTGTGCTGCCCATAGCACGGAAACTGCTCTGGTCAAGGTCACAAATGACATCCTGATCGTGTGTGACCAGGGCTCCCTCTGCCTCCTCATCCTCCTCGACCTCTCCGCCCCCTTTGACACAGTGGACCACTCAATCCTCCTCCACCGCCTCTCCTCCCACCTTAACCTTCAAGGTTCTGTCCTTGACTGGTTCAGGTCCTACCTTTCACACCGCCTCCACTTTGTCGTGGCAAACGGCTTCTCCTCCAGCCCCCGCACTGTCTCGTGCAGTGTTCCTCAGGGCTCTGTCCTCGGTGCCCTTCTCTTCACCCTCTACATGCTCCCCCTTGGTGACATCATCTGCAGACATGGGGTAAATTTCCACATGTATGCGGATGACACCCAACTCTACCCCTCTGCCTCCACCCTGAACTGCAGGACTACTGGCATCCTGACCGACTGCCTGTCTGACATCAAGTCCTGGATGAGGGCCAACCTTCTCCAACTCAACGGCAGCAAGACCGAGGCCCCCCTGATTGGCTCGCGCCAGCACCTCCGCACCTCAGGCGCTGGCAGCATCAGCCTCACTAAGCCAGTCAGGAACTGGGTATCTTGTTTGACCCTGAACTATCCTTTCTCCCCCACATCCATGCCATGACTGGCACTGCCTACCACCACGTCCGCAATACTGCCAGACTCCGCCACTGCCTCACTCCTCAGGCTGCCGAAACCCTCACCCACGCATTCATCACATCAAGGCTCGATTACGGGAACTCACTCCTCATCGGCCTTCCCAACTCTTCCCTTCACAAGCTGCAGATCATCCAAAACTCTGCAGCTCGTGTATTCTCACGTATCAGGCTCCATGACCCCAACACTCCCACCCTCGCCCGACTCCACTGGCTCCCCATCCCCCAGAGGATCGAGTTCAAGATCCTCGTCCTCACCTTTAAGGCCATCTATGGCCTTGCCCCCTCATACCTCTCTGACCTGCTGACTCCCTACCAACCTGTCCGCTCCCTCCGTTCATCGGGCTCCGGGCTGCTCCATGACTCCCGCCCAATCTGCCCTACCATCGGTGGCCGGGCTTTCAGCCTCTCTGCCCCCACAGTCTGGAACTCCATTCCATGGTCCCTTCACCTCGCTTCCTCCCTTGCCTCCTTCAAGGCCGGTCTTCTCTTCGACCGTGCCTTTGGTCTCCCTCTCACTTCTCTGCCTTCCCTCACCCCTACACCACTCCTCCCCCATTCTCAGGCCCTGACACCTGACTGTTCAGCGCTTTGGGACGTCCAAATGTCTCCCGATGTGAAAGGCGCTCTATAAATGTAATTTTGTTGTTGCTGTTGAATCGGAACTTTTTTTTTGGTACTGATCAACAAAGAAAACAGTGCTTTTTAAACTGCAACTGTCTTAAATCAATTTACATCAAACATTAAAAATACAAAGAACAAAGCTCATATGTTCAACTGCGTATTTTTTTTTAAAAAAGGAAAAACTATATTCATACAAAGTACATGTGCCGCTAAGTGATCTAGAAATGGATCATTTCAGGTTTAATATGAATAATTCAGTCCCTGAATCAACATGGTCTCAGCACTACTGCTCTAAGTGGCTCATACTGTATTTGCTAAGACTAAGCTCTGATTATGATGTACGTAACAATTGCAAAGAAGCATCAGTAATAAATGGTGTAAAGTTCTAAAGAAAGTAGAACAATAAATAGCACAGATTTGTTCTGTGGATCAATTGCTCCAAACAGTTCCATCCACTTGCTCAACTGATAAAATCAAATTTTCATCAATTTCACAAGATTTAATCACACACACTCTGTGAAAAATGTTAGAAAAATCAACCAACATTCAAATTTATATCTCAAATTTACAATCAGAAGAAGATGAGGTTCTAAATATAGAAAAGAGCAGACAATCTCTGTGTGCTGATTATAAATCTAAAGCAAAGCAGTTGGATTTACGGTAACTATTGAAAATGTACTTACCACAAATTACATTTCAATTATTATTACAGAGGGAAAAAGCAGGAAAAAATGAGGATTCTGGAGCTCCCAGACTCTATTAATAGAACTGCTGTGACACAAATTGGGACCAAGATGATAATCACAGAGTTACTGTAGGGATGGCTGTGTGGCTGGACAGGGAAATGGAACAAAAGATCACAATAGTACAGGGTGCTTTCTGAGGTTGGAGTAAAAGCAAATGGGTGAGATAAAATAAAGAAATGCTTCACTTTTCATTTTGCCATTTTATAACTGACCTGAGAGTGAGTGCCTGATACCTGCACTGGGTGGCAAAATGAGGAAAGTGTTTTATTTTTAAGCACTAAAATTCCTAAATTTAAATGAGGTCAAAGTCACCAATGAAGATAGGACAGTCATATTAGAGGGGAAGTCACCCCAAAACACATGCTGTAGTTAAGAGGCTTGTAAAACGTTTTGTGCAAACAGGTTGAAGCAAATGCATGTTACTCCATCTTGAAGACCTTCTGACATGTAATATACTACCCTTAATAAAATATTGTAAGATTATAATAAGGTTTCTCAATTTCCTACATTGGTGAAGTTACTTCATTCGCGAAGACTGACCTATAAGCCTTTGCTATGATAATACCAGCATATGTTATCATTAAATATGGTTCCAGATACATTCTGCAAAAATCAATCAACGAAGTAAGTCATAAAAAGTCTACTTCACTATTCAATTGCATGAATAACTCAAACTGAATTCAGGTCGACATGATGTTAATATCCAGACACTGTTGACACTATCGACCTGCTTTCCAGTTCATTTCCTTGATTAAGACATGCAGATTTATGATACTTGGCCGTTTCATCAATTGTTTACGCATCCATACATCTTAAAATGCTATCTTGTTGAATTGGTTCTCCAGGTATCAAACACTAGAGCAAAGTGCAGCCACTTGGTTTTAATTCAGGTCAACATGACAAATAACAAGCAGACGTGTGGGGAAATGATGAGAGGGGAAGCATTTTGGCATCTGCAGGTGGAAGATTAAATAAAAATTATTAATTCAGAAATTATTTTACTCAACAGTTTGAGCTGATGCAATATGAAACCTGGAAACATCAGTTAGTGCAATAATAATTCTAATAATAATTATTGCATTTGACATAGCAAAGGTATCACAGAATTTCCTATAATGTGTAGTGACTGAGTATTTTGTAGGTGAATGCATCATCCGAGTTTGCACACAGCAATGTCCCACAAACAGCCAATGACCAATTTTCTTTGGGAGTTTGTTGGCCAACATACTAGGAGAAACTCCCTTCTCTTTTCAAATAGTGCCTAGGGATCTTTAACATCCACCCAAACAGACAAAGTGGGTCCTTGGTTTAATATCTCATTTGAAAGATGACACCTCCAGCAATGCTCCCCCCAGCACAGTACCGGGGTTCCAGCCTGGACTTGTGAGTTCTAAGTGACAATATGAGCTTGAATCCGCAACCTTCTGATTCAGAGGCAAGAGTGCCTCAAACTGGGCCGAGCTGGCACCTAAACGTTGTGATAATAAACAATGAAGCTCTATTATATTGGTAAGGCCACTCGCAAATTCTAACAAATCTACCATACTAAAAAAAAGTGTAGTCTTATTGCTCCTTCTAATCACCAAATTCAACATATTAGCATTTCCTGGGTTAAATAGTACACTGGAGGCTATTATTCTCGCTACAAAATTCTCTTTAATTACATTTAGGTCCATAGTGACTTTCATCTTTTGTTAGCAGATGCAAAAAGTGCTTGCTGAATAATTAGTATGATTAATGCGGTACAAGATTAATATGCCTTTGGTTATATATATGTGCTTGCATATGAATCATTCAAGAAATAACATAACACCAAGTATTATTTGACAAAGCCTCCGAGGTTTGACATAAAGTACAATGAGTTCATCTTTATTCCTGATAGACATATTCCTGTACATCTATATCAGGGATGTATATAACATGTTTAAAAACTCAATTGTTTAGTTCTGCCATATTTTTAGTTATTAGATTGCATATTGTATCTGTGTTTGAGACTCGGTATATCTTTCCAACATGTGGTACTCATTGCTTGGGTTCACGAACAGCAATTCCAGCTGGTAAAGTGTTTTATATCAACCAATATGAATTTTGCTACAATGTGACCAGTCGCACATTGTGAAGTTCTCGATTTGCGACTCCCAATTGCTATTTGTGATTCTAAGTAGCATTTTCAACCTGAGTGAAAGCATTTTTTCGGAACTAAGTCTCGAAAAACAATTGATGGTTAGAGATTGATGTATGGATTTGGGCTCTACAGAGCCTAGATTACATAACCAACCTAGGTTTCATCTTAGAAAACAAGGCTAATAGGAAACAAGGTGCCAATTTGCTGTGTAAGTCAGACCATTTACAGATGTGACTTATTCTTACTCAGTAACCGGCCAGCTGATTCACAGAGGACACAGTCTGACTGTAGCCCTGAATACTTCATTGTCAGTAGAGAAAGGAGAACCTTGAAAATGTGAAAATTGTTCACTACAACATTTTACTTACCATTAAGGATATAACAGAAATAACCAGAAGAGCTTTTTTTTTCAAAAAACAAAATTACATTGGCTTCGTTATTATGCACGTAGACAATATGACATTTTGCCTTTCTAATATCCTGAAGAACGGTAAAAAGAATACACAACAGCTATGATGTTAAAAATGATCTCTAAATTGATTTGAACAATGGTTGTATTCATACAAAATGTAAATCTCTTTATGATTCTGCAGTTTTAGATGGCTTACCTGTATGACAGTTTCTCCAGGCCTCATGTCATTATAGATATCCACACTGTAGGAGATGTTCTGAAAAGTTGGTGTGTTGTCATTTGCATCGATCACAAAGACATGGACAATAACAGAAGTACTCTCTTGAACGCCATCAGAGGCAGTCATCTTGCAGAAACAAATAATGAAATCCATTAGCTGAGCATTTTAACAGCTTGCGACAAAAATACACTAAATGTGATTTTGTGCAAATAACTACCACTTCTACAATATAAATGCAGTAGAACTGCAGTAAGGTAACAGTAAATATTTTCAACATCAAAATCAATTCAGATTTCAAAGTAAGTACAGTAAAAACATCGATACAAGATGTGTAGAAACTGTCTGGTTCAATGTTATAGACTATGATTATTTTTGGTCAATACATGACAGTAATAACATTTTTGTCCTGCAAAAAAGCAATACAATATCTCTTACTGTAAAAGTATAATTCTGCTGGCGCTCCCTGTCAACAGGCTTGAGCAACGTCAGGTAACGAGTTATTCCAGTGGGAGTTACACCAAATACTGTGCTGAAATCATTCACTGAAATTCGCAGATGTGGATCTTTTGTCTTTAGAGACAAAAAAGGGATAAGAATAGTGAAACTGAACATGCATCACAATGTTAATTATTGCTGGAATACCTTATTCGTAGTACTGGCAATCTGATGAAAAACCTTACAGATACATTTCTGGCAATTCTACTTCACAATGTTAGAAAGATCCAGGTGTACAAGTAATTCAGCAATGTACTAGAGTCCTAGATATCAAGGAATTTCAAATCACACATCAATTTTCCCTCAAAATATTTTTTATCTGGTTTTCTTTTATCTGTCTGATTTGGATACTCTTATGCATGGTTATGGGTTTCTGCCAGTGTCAGACACCCAGCTGACCACAAAAATGTCAAATCACTTAATGTTCTTTCTATTTACAACAAAAAAGCTTTTTTGTGGAGTCCTGTAGCTCAGTGGATAGAGCACTCGCTTTGCAAGCGAGAGACCTGAGTTCAATTCCAGGCAGGTCAGGGCGAAACCTTGGGCAAGTTTCCTTACTCCACACTCCTAATAATAATCCCTCCAAAAAACAAAAATAAATTGGTCATTTTCAATCCATGACTGTTTGTGGGACATTGCTGTGCGCAATTGGCTGCCACGTTCGCCCATAAATATACAGTCAATTCACTTTACAGTGTGTTCTGTGAAGCGCTTTGGGATGTCCTCCCGACGTGAAAAGCGCTATATCAAATGCAAGGATTATTATTATTATTTATAATGCAAGCACCATTGTTGTAAGGAACCACCATTAATAAGGATGTTATTGGTGCCAAATGGGAAATTAGGTAAACTTTAAATGATTTTGATTTCAATAGCCCAGCATTTAGTATCAGACCAGCATTTGACTTTTGTCTTGTGAATTGAGGCTTTCAGGAGCCACAACATTTAACATTTATATCCATTTATATTTATATATTTGCATTGATTTAAACAACACATTACAAAAATTATAAGATCACCATTTCCTTAAAATCAGCATAAGTGAAGGAATTTTAAAACACATGCGTTCATCTTAAATTATTTTTAAGAGTCCTGATTCATGTTAATAGGATAAATAAAACCAGGAAAAATATCAATCAAATGCACAAAATCTATCTGTTCATAAAAGTGTTTAGCGAATGTGGTAAAAACTAACATGGTTCTGTGCATTTATGACCATTATCCCTTTTATTGAGCTCCATCAAAACACTATTAAGACTTGGTCTTTAATTTCATAGATTACTGACGGAGATCAAGTCATTTGATTTTACTACCTAACAATTATACCACCCGTCATTTACTCCCTACAAATAGTTAACTTTGCAACATTTAAACTGCGCATTTAAAAAGGATTTTCAATAAAATAAAAGCTCTTTATTTTGAGAAAGGATGACTGTAGCCAAAAGATTTTTCCCCATTATGAAGGTAAAGAGTATTCTTGTATAAAGCACCTACATAAGAGATTTTAAACTTGATATATGGTCAATTTCATCAATAAGAATAAAAGAGAACAATACTGGAGTAAGTGTTTAATGACATGCTGAAGTGGGTACAGAAATTGGTTGCCAGTCTATCATGCGTTGTTAGTATTCAACAGGGGTATCTTATCTGCACTTGGGCCCGATGATCAATTTTATTAATAATAATAATTCTTGTATTTGACATAGCCCTTTTTACATCAGAATGACTTCTCAAAGTGCTTTACAACGTAGCATTTAACCCATTGGAAAGCTGGATTTTGCAAAATGTGTCTGAATTTTTTTGGGGTAACCCATCCCCGTGCTTAAGAGTATCCAAACCAAATTGAGATGTCTATGCATCCCACCTATATTTGAAAATGCTATCCATTGACATAAGGTTGGATGTGCTGTCACCAACAGTCCCTGGAATACTGTGGACCCACCTGGATCAGGACCTGGACTATTGAGACCACCAAGCATTCCCATTGCTTATCTAGCGAGTACTAACCTGCCCGTTAGGACATACTATGAAATTGGTTTGCAGGGTTGAATGGGAAGAATCCCTGCCCCCATTGACTAGTCTGCCCTTCCAAGTTCTGCCAATGAGCCAAACTGACTGTGCTGTCATCAACAGTACCCTGGAGTACTGTGGACCTGCCTGGATCTGGAACTGGACTATCAAGACCACCACAGAGGAGTGGAACGATTCTGACATTCCTTTGTCAAACATATCACCTTGGAGCCAGTTCAGCTCCAATGAGACTCCACTTTCCTCCTGGCCCCCCAACCCCCGCACCCCCTGTAGTCTCAAATTTGTAATTAATCTGCTTGTCCTCATTTTTCTGCTGCAGGGGAGCTGGATGTCCATTATTCCTTATTTTAATAAAAGGAGTTTTATAACATCAATGACTCACTCCCCAGAGGTAGATATTACTATATGCTGTATTAATAAAAATATATAATTATAAGATTAAAACAAAACTACAGATAAACACAATTATTTAGTTTGAAAGCAAAGATAACATATTCCATTTGATGACAAAAAACATGCTGCACATAAAACAAAACCACTTCACCATGCACACAGATGAAACACCCCAAATACCTACAGGAGTAGCACCTGATGCAACCTACAAATGAACAGATAAAAGAAAATTCATACAAAAAGAAAAAGTTAAACAACTGAAATCATATCAAATGTGCACTACAATAAAGAAACATAGCAATGAAAGTTTTATAGATGAAAAACATTCCACATTTTTTATAAAACAAAAAAATGTACCAATTCAGGTGTGACTAAAAGGGTTTAAGTAAACTCAAGTAAACATTATGGCCACATTGCATTTGTAAATAATGTACACAACAAGTTGCATTTATATCGCCCCTTTCATGTCAGGAGGATATCCCAAGGTGCTGGACAATTGAGGTTTGCATAACTATATTTTGCTAACTATATATGTGTATATATATATATTCAAAACCAGGAACAGCAGGTCTTACCTCTTCCACATCATTATCCAGGGCTACAATTTTTAATGCCATTGTCAGATTTTTACTGTCTGAAAGGGATGTTCCTACTGGAGCAGACTCAACAATAAATCCCTGATAGGTGGTTCTTGCAAAATATGGGCCTTGATTGTTTTCATCCAGGACCTCTATGTGAAGATTGGCAAAAACTGGCAGTGGATGCCTGTTGTCTTGTTCTGCCTATGTGAAAGACAAGAGGATCACAATCTATCATTCACGTTTAAAGAACTAGCTGACAGTAAATCAGAGATAGGAGACTACATATACCCGAAGTGCCTGAGCTTTGAGTAAGATATTCGTACAACAACAACAACTCGGATTTATATAGCGCCCTCCATGCCGGACGGCGTCTCAGAGCGCTTCACAGTAACGGATCCCGGGGCTGAGCCGGGGTGGGGGGAAGGTGACCAAAGGCGCAGTCGAAAAGAAAGGTCTTCAGCCGAGACCTGAAAATAGGAAGAGAGGGGGCGAGGCGAAGGGAGTGAGGAAGGAAGTTCCAGAGCCTCGGGGCGTAGTGGCTGAAGGCACGGCCGCTGATGGTGGAGCGGAGGATTCAGAGGACAAAGAGGAGGCCAGACTGGTGGAGCAAAGGCAACGGGCAATGTTGTGAGGAGAGAGGTCAGAGAGGTAGGGGGGTGCAGAGGAGTGGAGGGATTTGAAGACAAGGGTGTGGATCCTATAGTACTTAACAGGCAGGGTTGTAATAAGAATTGCTATTTCATTTTTATAATACCTATATTAAAGTATGATGATAATAATAGTTTCATATAATACCAATAATATAATAGTGAAGTATGAAAATATATGCATTTGATGTTCAAATTTAAAAATTATGAAGATGATAAATATTAATGAAAAGAAATCCTGGAGCTTATTCTGCAATATTTAATTGATGCCAATAAGCAAATCAATTAGACTGAAGCACTTTAGGTTTCTTAAAGAAAATCAAAGCACCAGAGCTGTCCATTGTCATCAGAGACCACAACAGATGTCAGATCATGTTTCTGAAACCTATTTTAAAAAGTGTTAATATGGCTTTTAACAAATTATGTGAATGATATCCTGTTTCTTCTTGTGCCACATTTTAGCAACTATTCACTTGTGGAAAGATCATACTTTACAATAGCATAAGGTAAAATTCATTGTGGAGTATCTGCCCCGATCTCGACTGAGAGTTTTAAAAAGTAAAATTTACCATAATCGGATCACTACTTGCATAAACCACAATTCCTAAATATAATGAAAAAAGCTGGATAGCTGGAATATTCGAAAGAAAGCAATCATGTTTGTAACAATATGTCCTTGGTAATGGTTCCTATTTTTTAACATTTGCATTCACCTCACACCAAGCATTACAATTCCTATTTCCATGCTTGCTCCACAGAGGATTTCTCTGTTGGAGATGTGCTATGGAGCTTTGACATGCAAGCATTCACCAATATTCACTTAGACTGATATAGTTCTGTGTGTCAAATGTCCCAACAGCTTCAACACGAGAGCCCTCTACTCCTGGGGAGAAATTTCACTTGGATTTAGACTTGCGCTGACAGATTCTTAAATTCAGATTCAATTTTGAAACAAGTTCTTTTAGGACCTACAGTAATTCAAATTCAAAATAAAGGGACAACAAGAACAATCTTGTGGTACGGAAACAAGATATTTGTTATCTGTGAAGAAGCTCACAGCACAGACTGCTATGCTTTCCTTTGCAGCACGGATGGTGGTCGAAATGTAATAGAGAGATATAATATAATATCTCCAAAGTAATTTTCTAAAATTGAGAATGTCACGAAAATCAAAGAAATATGAAAGCATGCAGAACTACATAAGCGGGTAGAAATACATTAACCAAAGAGAACACAGAATATTGACCAAAGTGACGAATACAATTTTTCTTTAGACAGCAGATGCTTAACAATTGAGACTATGCTTAGATCTAAGATTATGTATTTTATCACTTTTATTTCATGTTCAACTTCTTTTGTCCAATTAGTGTGTCAAGATAAAATGAGATTTCAACTAATATGTTAATGAATGAATTCAAAGCAAACACCAAATGCACTGTGCTCAGGACTGAACCTCTATTGATCACAGAAGGCACGCCTTAGGGGCAGAATGCACATATCCATAGCATTTATTCAATACAACTGTCACCTCTATCTTTTACATAGAATTACACATACTTCGGATTGCATGTGTGGAGTGAAACAAACACTAGTTACAGAAATCACTCATAATAGATCTAAGAATATAATTTAATGCAAAACCATGTGGCAAATTATTCATCTTGTATCATAGCGATAACTGAATGATTAAAAAAAATTCATCCTGGTAAAATTAACCAAAGTCCATGAATAAAGACAAATTTAAAGGACTACATTAGATAGAGATGATTGAAGAGGAAATGAGCAAAAGATTATTGATTAGTCAGAAGAGCTAACAGACCTGACCACAAGCTGAAAAAAAATGACTGATGAGGTGGACAGTGAAACTTGCATTTGTTGTTTAGTCTTGCATTAAAACAGCAGCTGGCTAAAAGTTAATTGAATACATTGCTTCTGATTGCTGCAACATTAGCTAAGTAATAGCTCCATGTATAGTTTTCACTAAAATGAATGCTCAGCTTTTCTATCTATATTTTCATCTTAGCTGCTGTGCAACAACTATGTTGGGCACATGGAATACCAAACAGTGTTGTTTCAAATGATAAGAGAAAAAATCTAAAACACTTTAGACTTCGCAATGTCCTGTATGTTTGTGTGACAGCATGAATTCAAGGAATACTGGTGATGATCACAGTATAAAATGATTGAATTAACTAATGTGTAATGCATTCAATGCATTTACAAAGAATTTGCAGAATGTCGATTTGCATTTTTATAGGCATTTTATTCATCACTGAGTTAGGTGCATGTTCAAAGAAAACTACAACAACAACTTAGATTTATATACTGCCTTTCACATAAAACAATGCTTAAAATGCTTGATGGCTATAGTGGAAGATCCTGAGCAGAAACATAAGAGATTTAAAACATGTTGATCAAACGCATGATTCAACAGGCAATGAGGCAAAGTGATTTTGGAAGAGAATTCCAGAAGACATGGATATAGTGAAGTAAAGATAATCTGCTAAAATGATTTGTTTGTTTTGTTAGAAATATATTGCAAAAGCTTATAGAACTTGGCTCTGTATACAGTCAATTTTGAATAATTTCGAGAAATTAACATATGCTTGACAGTTAAGTCACAACTTAAGCTCGTGAAAACATTTAGCATTTGATATATTCAGTCAGTCTTTTACATTTCTATGTCTAAATATTAATACTACTAATGTACCATTGTTAACAATGTACCATTGGGTGTAATGTTGCAAAGCTGCATGCCATATATTGTCATGGTTTCTTTATCAGCACCAATTTTTGAAAAGATACGCACAGTAAAATGTTTAAAACTTAATTTATTATTTCTACTTTCAGCAAATGTTTCCTTCAGGCATTATTTTAATGTTCAGTCATGTCTTCATCGGCATTCCATGCACCGTTGGTTCCTTGCCCATATCACTGTGCCTCCATTCTTCAAAGGAGGATAATAGCTTTGTAAGTGTTCCCACTGTGGGGATGCTGTGATGCTGATCTCCAGCAGACAATGGTTATTTTGAAATAAAACTGATGGCCAATTCTCAAATAAGAGGCTTCCAAAGTTTTGCTCCAAGTACCAAGACTACCAAAGACCCAAGAAGATTGGTTCGACTCAGTGAATATTTGTAGTTAGCTCCTGTGTGAAACTCTCTCCTAAGATACGCACATTAATGTCCATGTAAACATTCTTTACTCCATGCCTCAGTATAACACTACTGACAAGGATATGGCAAATTTGCTTCTAGCTTTAAACTCCCTCAGTGTCTTTGTCTTCTTATAGTCTTGACAACTGCTCCTTGAGCTTTCAAAGTTCAAGAAACAGCTTTGCCTCTTAAAAAAAAGATTTACACCTTTTTAAGCTCAGTATGACAAAGAGAGACAATGGGGGGACTAAAAAAATAAGGATTCCATTGAAAAAATTGCTTTACTAAATTTTTTTTCACATTCCAACAAAAAGAGAAGAGCAAATATATCAATTTAACATGGTTAACCCTCAATATTATGGTGCAACCGCTTTCTATAGAACAGACAATTCATTTTCCTTGAGCTTTCAATCTTTACATGCCATGTAATCGACAAATGTGTAGCACATTATTACAGTTCCCTTTCTTGGATATAATTGTAATAAATAGCAAACATCCCCGCCACCACAAAAAATGTTCATGTGGACTTACCTTAATAACTAAATCAAATTTCTGATGCAAATCCCTGTTTATTGGCTGAAGGAGATGTAGTTCTGCTGTGGTATTATTCAGAAAGAAGTAGTTGGCATAATCCTCAGGATTCCCTGTAACAAAATGACATGGTTTGGAACGACTATTTCTTTTTCAAAATGATTGGTATAGCATTCCCTACCATCAGCAAAGGGAAGTCATTTAGTTAGGTAGCTTTACTTAGGTTCAGTCTGCCTGGTCTGTGCTGAATTAGTTGATCTCAGCTATGGCAGCAATAGGAGTGGGACACTAGGTTCAGTGTGCCGGAGCTCGAGAGGAAAAGATGACCAGCATAATTAATTCACTACTTAAAACTTATGGTCCAGTGTGTCCTTACATATAAATTCTAGTCCAATTGGCTAAATACAAACTGGAGAGTATTTAGCAGTTACCAACCAATGAGAATGGAGAACAGAATCCCTGGTCGATCATCCGCTGGCTGAATGTTTCTATCCTGGTCCACAGCTAAAATTGGAGGAGTCACATTCACTGGATTTATCCTCGCCTGTAAAAACAGAGAAGTAAATTCATCTCAAATGTTCGTAGAACAAAACAAGCAGTGCAATTTGCAACCGTGTGCAGTGAAACAAATTCTGCTGAATGTTACTTCCGAAAATGTTTTTTTTTGTTTTCGTGTGTAGAATATATGAGAAACAGGATATGATTTTTGTGTCACTTTGGATGCGTATTGGGATTCTTTGCAGAATATACAGTTGACATTTGTATTGATAAGTATACAAAAAGAGGAGTTAATTTGAAGCTATAGATTAAAGCTCCTGGAGATCAATTACATTTCTGCTAGCATTTTTTCTTCTGGCAAAGCAGGTTCACTAATCTTATGTTTGCTCTTTTTATAGTTTAAGGATTTTGTAATAGATTTGAACATGCTCAAAGTTATTTTTCGCTCGTATCAATAGCTTGTGGGTGTTTGCTAACCGACTGGATCTTAGCTTTGGAAAGGTTTTTGCAATAGATTAATTAGGTTTTGATTTCCAAAGAGGATCCTGTGAAACATATCAATTAGGCCAAACATGTGTCTTTTGGGATAGTTTGGTCTGAAATTACATTGGTAGTGCCAGTTAGCTAAACTTAGTTAACTTACAATGTATAGCTACTGATGTATAAGCAAAGTTCATATCAAAGTTCAAAGCTCATACTCTTTCCTTCCAACAGAACATTAGAATTCGCATATTCTCTCTAATTTAATTAATCAACTGAAAGAGGTGAATAACTAGCAGTGATATTGCCAAGGGGATAAAACTTTATGAAATATCTATGTAAGCCCCAGAGGTAATCAAACTCTATGATATTGATCTGTATTTTTCAACCTTGACCAACTGCATCCCACAGATGACATTTCGATAGTGCCAGCAAAATGAAAATTGGTGTGTTCAATATAGTATTTAATCATTTCCGTCTGTTCTTATCCTTATCCCCATCTATCTTAACGTATTTAAGATTTGGAAAATATTAAAATAGGGTCAATCCTGTTTACATTCAATATTTTGTTAATAAAGATGCTACATGCTGGACATGAAACATTGTACAGATTGAACCATATCAAAGGTAGGGGTTCTTAAAAAAAAACATGGAATATGTAGCAGCAGGATACGTTGAAGAAATTCCAAAATTTTGTTCAGAAAACTCTAATTGAAAACTCACAGTTCCTACATAAAATATCATGGCCAAGATCATTGTATTCCATTAAAGAAGAATGTAATTTAAAAAAATCTCAATAGCACTGTTCACAAAGGCAATTCCCAGTGTGGAATTGAGCTCACCAGACCAGAACATCCCAGTTCAATCCCAGTTCAATTAGTTGATCTCAGCTGTGGCAGCAATAAGAATAATACAATTCAGATCGTGTGGTGTCTCGGCTTGGGAGAAAAATAGTAATCAGCAGTCCCTTGATCTTGGTCTCATATGACGCTGTGAAATTAATTTGCAATGAACTGATGACTGTTATTCTGTGCAAACAAAAATGGTCTTTTATTGATCTTGTCCAGTATGGCACTTAATGTGGGCTGAGAACGGGGTCATTGGTTCTAAATGTAATATGTGATGGAACCGTTCTCTAAATCTTTAATCTTTTGATACAACTTTCAGATAAACTGGAAACTATACCATTGGAAAGTTTAGGTTGCTTGAAAAACTTTTACAAATACGAAGAGAGATTACATTCAATATTCTTACGAAGCAGTGTGTGTTTACAAACCCATGCCCTAGTTTGTCAAAACATAGGTTAACATAGGTAGATACATTCCAGATTAAAACAACAAATTCTTTAGTTTTGAAACTCACACCTGTTCATGCATAAACCTCATGATCAACAATATTTTAATAAAAAGATTTGCAAGATAATGTATTCAACTGTTGCATGTTCAGGTTTTCTCCACCTTAACTGTAAATGTTCCATTGTTATCGGAAACTAGCCACATTCACGGTGAACAATATATTTTCTTCCAAAAAATACATGGCATTCCTGAACAATTTAGGTTGCAATTGCAGAAAACAAGTAAGTCAGTATGTGAATGTATATGAGATAAGGATGCAAAACTGAATAACAAAAAGCAGGGGTGGAATAATTGAGTGGATATCATCAAAACCACAAGAAATGCAAACAAAATCTGGGAATTTTGCACATCTTTATTAAAAAGGCTTGAATGACTGCTTTTTTTATTGCAAAACTGTGCTACAGCATTATAATTGTTATTAGGAGAAAGTAATATAAAATACAATGTTAACATTTTAAGAAAGAAATTAAAATACTTCTGTTACTGATAAGTGATAGCGATGTCTTCTTCACTTTCATCAGAGAAGCAGCAATTATTTATTTTTAATTCCAGCAATGTGAACAAATAACTTATTTATTTCTCACATTAAACTTTTAATTAATGTTTGACTGTTCTCAACACGGACTGCAAGGATAAATATTTGAAAACAAATACAAAATCAGATTGTTCTGACAGGTTTCTAGATCTTTTAATTGCATTTCTACACCTTTCCTTTACAACCCTGAATACTGCAATTTTCTGCCACCCTCTTCATAATTAGTATTGCCCCCCAGCTTTGTGTCATCTGCAAACTTAGAAATACTCCCTTCTATTCCTATATTCAGGTTATTTATATATTGGGTGAAAAACTAGCATTGCTTCTTGGGAGACATCACTTCACTGCCTGCCAATAAAAGAACTTTCTTTTTATCCCAACTCTCTGCCTCTTACCTTCCAATCAATTTCTTGTCCGTGTCACAATATAGCCTTCAATTTCACAGACTTTAATTGTAGTTTGTAATCTCTCATGTGGCACCTTCTAGCTCCATATTGCATTGGGGCCAAAATAAATAAAGCTCTTTAAACCACACGAATAAAACGTATTTATATTTTGCGCTCAAAATTTGTACTTCCTTGGGCAGAGGAGATTGCTGAACATGTACAACCAAGTACATTTGCAGAGCTCTTCAAGCTCCTCATATGTTTTTGAGCAATTCATTAGAAGCTCCAAGAGCAGTTAAAGGACCATTTTCTGAAGGGGAGTGAAGCGATTTGCACCATTTACATTACACTGTAACAGTGTGAATTGATTTCTCAGCAAGGCCACCTGCTCTAGGTGATCTCTGAAGAAATTGCTGTACCTAAAATCTAGTTTGTACTGTATTTTGTGAGTTATTTGGTATGGAAAGCACAGTGTAAACAAAGCAGAAGAAAACAAACTGTGACAGAATGTAGCTGTGGACACCAAATTAAATGATAGCCCTGAACTGAAGCAGTCAAAATGTTGTTGTTAAATCAGTTCTTGCTATTCAATGGTTTCTCTTGTTTTGTTCAATGTGCAACCTTTAAAATGCAAACCTAAGTGAATTCAAAATAGCAAGTTTACAACTAGGACTAGTAGTATCTACTGGTTTGATTTTATCAATGATTAATTTCAAGCTACTCTTAACTGCTCATCATGTTTGTTGTACATCTTTCTAAACTGACGTATTTCCATTTTCAATGGTCAAAGTTCCCATTAATCAAAGTCAGTACTTGCACCACCACATTTGCTGTTGTGGAACTAATAACCTATAAAGTCAAGCCTACATGATTTTCATATTTCCGTGCTTGGAATATATACACTATGATGCAATTTGCATTTACTTTTTTCACAGGTAGCAGACAATTGCACGTCAGGGGCAGTGCCTTCATCTAATGAAACAATTATCCAAACGGACAAATATAAAAGACACCTTTTATTGATTCAGAATGGCAGGCTCACTTATACTTGGAGTATATATTGGATGTTTAAGCTACCTGGGAACAACTGATATAACTGTGCAGCTAATTATTCCTCCAGGTTTTTAACATCCCAACTGTGATCAACTCTAAAAAGCTTGTCACATAGAGGGGTAAATTACATAACTAAATGTTCACACTATCATTCATTTAGTTAAAATTATATGTTAACAATCGAATAAGTGGAATAAGTGTTTCTGCACCCACATCCTGTCAGCAAGAGGAAATCTTCACCATGTAAGGCAAGACTGTGGAAAGTTGTGATGTTTCTTAACAGTTTTGATGTATTAATCAAAAACATCAGAACTGCTAACCATCACAGAGCTCACCCCATATTCATAAGTTAATGTTCCACTAAGTGCATTTAAATTGCTTTAGCTGTAATACCGATGACAGATCCAAACACAAATTACAAGACAGAAAGGGGGCAGTGAAGGATACAAGTATAAATAGCAAAACTCGACTCTTGTGTAAGATAAAAAAAACTAATTTAAATCTCAAAGCAGAAGCTTGCAAATCATAAATGGACACCACAGTGGCAGGACACTGTTAGGTTGAAACACAATTGCTTGATTCAGATGACTTATAAATCACTCCAACATTGCTTTCAGGGCTTGTGACATCATTGGCAGCTCCTGATTGTGTTTCAGCCTTGTAAATTGTCATTTGAAAATATCCTTGTAATACCCTTCTACCTTATAGATCATGGTATAATCCTCCAGTGTTTAATGTTGCTATATCACTTTCTCCATTCCCTTAGCGTGATGCCTGAACTAAACCAATGAATCACACAATAGTTTTTTTTTTTAAATCCATGCCTGCTAGCCACAGCAATTTAATATATGCTCCATTTTAATTTTAAAGTAGAAAGTTGCAGTTTTGATGAGAAGCTGAGTGGACTGGGGTTATATTCCTTAAAGCAGATAACAGTAAGGGGAGATTGAGGTATTCCAAATAATGAAAGGAATTGATAAGTTAGGTAGTGGATAGATAGAGATGGATTCCATAGAACAAAGTGTCATCTCTCAGGAGGCAAATAAAACCCACCTGTCATCTGATATAGATCTCCTCACCATTACGTTACAGCTTTCCTACAAATCGCCAATTTTAGTATTAAAATTATTGACATTTGTGTACAACATTTCTAGATATTCCTTATTTCTGAACCTTATCCTGACCGGTTCCTTTGATACCATCATTTTAGAAGATATAATAGAATAGGAGGGAGTAAGGAGTGATTGGAGACTCATGTGGAGTACAAACACGTGCATGGAATAGTTGGACCTGAATGGCCTGTTGGGAGTGTTGTTCAGTCTATGTAAATCTATGTAAATTTATCACAATATTATTGAGGGAATACCAAGTTGGGGCTAATGGAGGGTGCAGCAGGGAAACCAGCGAAGATTGTATTAAAAAAGTTTACACAATCATCCTTGTTATTAAACGACTTACTGGATCACAAGTCTCCTGTGGAAGCACGATGCACAAAACATGTTAAGAATAATTGCAACACATTGAATATTAATTTTATTAGCACCAGAAGCGCAAAGCAAAGCTGTTCTAAACCTAATGATTCTGGCAGTAATCACACACATAATAGCAGATTATAGCAGACAGCATAAAGAACTGTAGATAATTATACATTATTCATGCAAAGCCAAAAAGAAAATCAGTGGCATAAGGAGAGAGTAATCAATAATAATTTAATCTCATTTGCATTCCTGCCTTGAAGTTGTGCAGTATAACTACTTTCCACGACAGACATACTGATGCAACGAGTACAAAGGTAGAAAATAGGGTTACATCTTTAAAGTAAAATTATGGTATCAAAAGAATAGGTCAGGATAAGGTTCGAGAAAGGAATATCAAAACATATTGTACACAAATGTCAAGAATTTAATATTAAAATTGGCAATTTGTGGAAAGTTATAACATAATGGTGAGAAGATCTACATCAGACACCAAAGGGTGAATCATGGAGTCCTGTAGCTCAGTGGTTAGAGCACTCGCCTCACAAGCAAGAGACCCGGGTTCGATTCCTGGCAGGGTGAAACCTTGGGCAAGTTTCCTTACTCCATACGCCTGATAATAATCCCTCAAGNAAAAAATCAATAATAAATTGGTCACTTCAATCCACGACTTTTTGTGGGAGACTGCTGTGCGCAATTGGCTGCTGCGTTTCGCCCACAAATATTCAGTCAATTCACTTTACAGTATACTCTGTGAAGCGCTTTGAGACATCTAGAAGACGTGAAAAGCGCTATATCAAATGCAAGGATTATTATTATTACAAAAAATACACAGACATCAAAGGATGATGAAAATAAAGTAGAAAAAGTGTCAGGTGGAACTTCCACCTTTACCACGATGCACCATTCAATGCGTGGCAAACTGAATTCCAGGTATAATGAAGTTATGGAAGTGTTTGCTTTCTGGGGTGTTAATGGGATAGTTCAAAATATTGTGTCTGTTCTTTAAGAGTATTTGAACTAATGGCTGGAAAGTGAGAACTGGCAAAAGAGCAGCCCACAAAGTACATTACTTATTTCTTGTGAGCTCTTCTAAATATTCACCTACAAAATACACAGTCATTACACTTTGCAGTAACTCCCATGAAAGACTTTGAGATGTCCTCCCAAAGTGGCTATGTTATGTGCAAGGATGTAAAACTATCTTAATTTTTGGAATTCTATTGAAGTAAAAAAAACTTCTATGAAATCGAACAATGCTCCGTCCTTTCTGCTCATTTGTCTTTCCAGAAGAGAAACAGAGATTTTTAATCACAAGATCAAACCAGCGGTTATGCTGTTATCTCTGCTGTCGGGTCACACAAACAGAGATAAGTATCCAAAAGCAACCAGAGATCCACATTTGTGATAACTGGCGTCACAGAGACTTCGCTGAACAATCATACAGCATATGCGGGGATACATTTACAGGGATATAGAAAGCTCCACAGGTATGGAAAGGATAAAATAAAAGGGCTGACTTTTTTATGTGAAGGAAGACATAATAATACAGGAAGTAGGCAATCGACTACCCAGGGAGGCAATTCAGGTAGATTTTATCAGCAAATCTGAAAGGAAACTGGATAGCTATTTGGCAAAGCAATTTGGCAAAGCAAAAGCCCTTCGTGATCTTGCTCCCCCTACCTCTACGACCTCCTAACCCCCTACCATCCTGCTTGCTCGCTCCGCTCAGCGTGCTCCAGCCTGCATCACGTCCCCCGTCTCGCTCGCCCCACTATTGGCATTCTATCATTCTGCCCCCACCCTCTGGAACTCCATCCCGCAGTCCCTCCTCCTCGTCCCCTCCCTTGCCTCCTTCATGACCCATCTCAAGACTCTCCTCTTTGACCGTGCTTTCAATCTCCCTGCTTCACCCCCACTCCCTCGCCCTCCACCCTCCCCGACCCCAACCCCCAGCTCAGTCCAAAACTCTGTCTGTCCAGCGCCTTGGGACGTCCTCCCGACATGAAAGACGCTCAACAAATGTAATTCTGTTGTTGTTGATTGAGAAGGATGCAAAAAAAAAAGCATATAATTCTTTTTTCCTTTACTTTGGTACAAACCTCTTTTTTGACACCAAAATATTTTCAGTTTCACATATCTCAAATGCCCAACATTGATTCTGGTGAAGATTTTCTTTTAAGAAATTGAACTCATAATATAACATGGACTGTGAATTTTTTAAAGCACATCAGCAGAGGGCATTTTGTTGGGCGTATTTAATCATTTCACCCTTGTGTATCATGGGGAGTATTTCACTCTTTAACACATTGTGATTTGGTGTGAAATTATTTCAAACCTCTGGAACCAAACTGTGCAGAACAAGAGAACAGTGAAGCAATCATACAGCAATATATTAATTGTCTGAGGACATTTGAACTCTGAATATTGTGACTACATAGGATTCCAGGCAGAGGTAAGAAATTTATGCTCAAAACTAATTCAATTGTCTTTTTAATAATACCAAATCAACTAGTAATCTGGTGGAAAATTATCAAATTCTGCCCAGGAAACAAACAGAATTAGTAGCAGATGGCAAGCTGTAGACAATAGGCATTTTTCGCTTGATACATACATCTGACTAAAGGTCTTCACAGATACTTGCTTCCAAATCTTCCCTAAGCAACAATGCTAACCCACATGTAATGTTCAGAACAACAGTAGCATCACCTGTGCCATTGTCTTATAGAAAATCATCCAAGCTTTAGATCTGAGTTCACCCACAACTCCACAGCAGACCAGATGCTGAAATATTGTCCTTTGAGAAACTCTGCAGTATTCAAGTCTTCTAACAACATGGCCTTCTGCTTACTTTGGGATTTGCACACGGTTACTTAAACATTTTCTTAGAGATAAAACATACATAAATTGTGGAATTTTTTTAACAAAATGAAATCTTAAAATTAGCTTAAAATTTATAGTATGAGGATAGGAAATGGCTCAGATGTAATAGAAATGATTAATTAAAGTAATGTTAGGCAACCAAGCAGAACCACAGCAATTCATCAATCTTAACATTCTTAAACCAGTTTGCTAGGATGTAATACAATGCTCTCATGCAGCAAACAATAATTCTACATACCTAAGTGATGCAAGCAGATACGATGCACGCTTACCGGATCAGTGAGCTCAGGCACGCTGGCCTTGTATGTGAGGGGACGGCAATCCCGAGTATTATTGACCAATTTACACGGAAGGAACATTGGGCCAAGGTCGTCTCCATCGAGTACATCGACTGTCAAGGTGGTTGTGCTGGTTCGTCTATCATTTGGATTTGGAGCTCGGTCCTGTGAACAATGCAAAAACTCTGATTCCCCCAAACCCTCTCCACATTAAATATTTTGCTTCGTAATTATTTAAAAAAGCTGCCGTACATATTGTAACAAAGGTCCTTACACAACTTTAATGCTGTGGTTTTGGTCTGAAGCCAACCACAGGTGCCATTGGAGTTACTGGCCTGTTTACGAGTGCTGTTTTGCAGGATATTGGCATTAACACTTATATGTCTGCATCAAACCAGCATTCAAATGCATTGTTCAACAATATTAACAATAGTGAGAAGATAATGATCACATGAAGGGATTTATAGATGAGGTTGGGTGGCGGTGAGGATGTGGCCACAGAGTTTGGGAATTATTATGGACGGTGGAGCTCGGGATTTCATTGAGCAGTGCATTTGAATCATCACGTGAAAATCTTGAAAAGTACATACTTAACATAAATATACTAATTTAGCAATGTGCACATCATTCTAAAAACAAAATCATTAACTAATATTTACAATGAAATGACTTGAGGTTTTATCAACTATAGACTTTGGACTCAATTTTCACCAGTCACATTTTTTGCAACTAAACTAGAAAATCAGAAATATCTTGGTTGGATTGACACAAAAATTGTGTTAAGAATGTTATACTTGAAATTTACAAAACGTGAAAAGTAAATAAATAAACTAAATATCACAGTGCAATTACTTCCATCCAAATGTGTCAACTACAGTGCTTTCAGGAAACCCACATCAACTTTGCTTCTGGAATTATACTTACCAATGTGTGTGTATTCTTGTAACAGAAAGTGCATTGTTTTGTAAGAGGAGACAACTATCAACACATAGCAATTACATGTCAAAGCATGTATATTTAAAAGCTGGTAGTGCTAGCAGTACTTTCAGCTAATAATTTGATGGCAGTTATTGACAACATCAACTAAGCTAAGCAAGAAGATTAGGGAGCATTTTTGAATGTCTTCTCCGATCAAATGTCTGCATTCAATGGACAGCACATAATTACTAAAGTGCACTGAAATATGGAAAATCCTAGAAATAAATGGCTTACATTGGCTTGAACAAGGACGTAATAACGTGTCTTTTCTTCATAATTTAGCCTCTCTCTTAAAATCACAGCTCCTGATAATGTGAGTGGGATGTCAAATGTCTTACTAGATTCCTATGAACACAAAGAATTCAGATTAAGTTTCAATTTTGCTTCCGGTTACATTTTATAACAACAACTTGCACTTATGTTGCGCCTTCACAAAGGGTAGGGTCTCAGATCGCTAAATTATAATAATACATTTAGTTCAAAACTTCACAGCTAGAAATGTCGCAAAATATCTTTTCAGTATTCCATTATGTTAAGCAATTCAAAGTAATTCTCTTTATTACTAGCACTTTATTACTGAATTAATTGACTGCAAAGAGTTCTACAAATGCCATAGGTACAGAATCCCTATTGTTCGATACTTAACAATACTTGACCCGAGACTTCACTGTAGAAAAAAAATTACATTTCTCACATTTAACAAATCACTTATTTAGAAATACAGATTATTGTTTAAAGCAGCTATGTTGTGGTAGAATAAATATCTTTTTTGTTATTCTAATTTTAAAAATGGATGATTGATCACAGTATAAAAGCACAACTAATTTGGACACAAAATTATTGTTTTCAGACAAGGCTGTAATTTAAAATAAATTGGGTATGAAAACATATTCTTTGACTTCAGATAAGGGATACATCATGGCACTGTGTAACCATCTTGCGCTGATGCTCATTCAGATGAACAAAATACTGAAAAATGTATTTGTATAAAATATCAGCAGCCAGATTATAATTCTGTGCAATGCTTTCTGTCAGCCATTTCCTTTCCTGGAGTTATATTTGAATCTTTCTTTTCAATTTACCCACTGATATCTGTGTAAATTAAAGTATTCATATCAAAACAATATCCGGCAAGTTTCTTCAGAGGTGATCATAAAATTATGTATACAAATTTCCAGTTAAACTGTATATTTTAGCTCAGTGGCAAGACTAGATTATTACCAGCCCACAATCCTGCCATTTGGTATATTCCATTACTGACACTAACCAACTGATTTAAATGTCCAACTGAATACCTAGAAGTGTTCTGGCAATCAAGATTCCATACAGGTTCCTTTGCACTATTATAACATATGCTCCACTTGATGCTTAAAGTCGCTTAAAGATATTTAAAATCACTTAATTCTGTCCACTGTTGAATTATCAATAGGGAAAATATAGTTAGGAAATACTTACTGGATCATCTGGATTCTGTCGAATAACATATTCTATCTGTCTGTTAGGGCCATCGTCTATGTCAATTGCTCCATTATTTCTAGAGAAGCCAGTGAAAATGGTTGTGCCAATTGGTGTCAACTGTAAAAAAAATAGAAGCAAAACCAAAAACATATTAGTATCTGTTAATGTGGAATATCAATCCTTATTACCAACAGACATTGATAATAGTTGTAGAATACTAGTATACCTTATATAGAATTATTCAGTCTGAGAGTGTCACAAAAATAATCGAGAGGAAATTAACTGCAAAGGTGAACATTAAATACTTAACTCCAAGATCTGCTGCTACCTTTAATGTAATCTGGCAATGTGTAGAAACTGATTTCTTACTTTTCCCTCATGTTTAGTTCACTATTTTCTCGATTTCATTTGCTGCTGGTAGTGTCATGACATCAGTCCTACTTTGTGCATCATATGATCAACCCAGAAGTGGATTAGGCATTCACTTCAATAGCAAAAGCAAGAAAATACAATAGGTTCTCTACCTGACAATGGAAGACTTGAAGAAAGTTAAAAGCCAAAGGTTTCATTTGGTGCACTGCTACAAAAATAGTTAGTTTGTTGGAAGAATGCTCCAGGCATGGAATTTATCTTAGTCATTCCATTGCCACTTCAGCATAATTTCTCCAAGTCTTCACATTCTCCCAGCAAGAACCCAAATTAATGTTATGAGATAGCACTCCTTGTTGCAATTGTTTCTGGTTGCATCCCTTTACATCAAATTTATACCAGTTATTTTTTTAAATAAAGCTATTTGCCCCACATCAAATGGATTATGACCACTTACCCGTCACCCACTGGAACAGCACATTGATGTGCCTATGGTCTATCTTACAATGTTCCATTGTGGTGTATTGCATCTATGCAGATATGGTCTAGTTAACCGTAGAATGTGGTTGTGACTGTCTCGTGTTCCGCACTTCAAATTTAAAAAGTTACTTGATTTAAAAAAAAGTAATCATGTCCCCATGAGGAATTCAATCAAACGTTTTACTAAAATTTATTTTCTTTACAGTGTCATTGGTCTTTACAAAAAAATCTAAACAAAGGCCATTACTGTGTCCTCTATTGCCATACTGTCTCCAATAAATTTCAACCTGAAAAGCAAAAGCATTGCCTCTGTGATGTATCCAAATTAAAACATGAAACTAGCACCGTGCTTGAATTATAACTTCCAAATGAAAATGTGCAGGTCACTGACAAAGTGGAAACAGCTTTAAACTGCATTATATGAAACATGAAAATATTGTATATGTAGTACTAATGCCCAGGAAAAAACCCCAAAGTGAAGGTTGCACAGAAAATATCTAAAACCTTGAATCCTAACTCTAGAATCTTTTTAAAATTCACTTGAGCCAGCAAAAATGACCTTGGTTTAAAATCTCATTGAAAGGGTGACACCACTGATAATGCAATTCTCTGGCAGCTTTAGATATGAGTTTAACCCATGGCAAGGTTTTGAACCTACAGCCCTCTCACCCAGAGGTAAAACGAACACTTTAAACTGAACCTAACTGACAACCACATTTGGTTGCGCTCTCGTAAAGAAATACCTTTGGACACTTTTTATTGCCAATAGCAAAATATCTGGTGACTTGGACCAATCATTCTGACCCCCAAGGAGACAACGGAAAAATAAGGTTGGCAATGAGGAGCTAGGGTGAATCATATCACGTGGGAAGTACAATTGTCTGAAAGGGACCCCATCCCTTTGATTGTCCTACTTAAAAACAATTCCTTGCTATATGAGGAATAAGCAAGCACCTTAAATTTACCTATATTTCATGTTACCTAAAATTTAGACCTCTTTGCCGAGATGACCTTGAGGAGCTGGTTGCAACAACAAACTGACTACAGCATAAATGCAGAGAGCGGAAATTGATTCAGTTTATGCTTAGGAATTACCCCTCTAAGTTTCGGGGTGATCCGTTGGACTGCTCAAGAACTTTTTGAGAACTCTCTTGAGGCGTTATTAAAGAGCCAGATAATGACAAGAAAACTAGCAGTGCTATAAATAACGTGTGTCACTGAGTAGCACACAGGGTCCCTGGTAGGAGTGATAAATATAAATCTGCTCCAAAAATAATCTCTTATCATTTCCAATCATATAAACCTACCATATGCAGTAAAATGCAACTTTTAAGAATTTTCGTGCAAGTCTCAAATTGAGAGAAAAATAAAACTTTTTGTCAATAAAACGCAATAGCTGAACAAATGCAGGAGCTGGGCGTCTTTTTTACAGTGTAGATAATATGCCATCAAAACATTTCCTTTTAACAGTCGAATTTTCTGGAAGCTTTAAAAAAAAGCTGCAACATGCAAAAGTTCAGCATGAAGTTAACACTAGACTAAGCTTGACTAAACAGAGTTTGGAGCAGAATGGAGAATTTACCTCTGAGTGTTGGTTATCTCCTTTAGACTGAATAAATTGGGGACTTGGGTCCAGTGTTGTGGAAAGCTTTGGCTCCTACTCCTTAACTATTGTTGCATTTAATCTGTGTTTTGTTAATGAGCTTTTAAAAACCTACCACGGATCTTCACTGCATGACTGGCTGAATGTAACATTTGGGATCAGCCTCTGAGATAAGATAAAGGCACTACACTACTTATTTACTGATAAGCCAGGCACATATTTCATTTTGTGGTACTACTGGGATGTAACTTGGTGACATGTTACATTAGCTAGAATATACTATTAGCTGCATCTCCATACTTACAGATGATACCCAAGGCTCCTTAAATAGATTGTATAGATCTTCTCATGAAATGCTATCATCCTTGCATTTGATATAGAGCCTTATCATGCCTTTGAGATGTCTCAAAGCGCTTCAAAGACTATATTGTAAAGTGAATGGACTGAATAATTTGTGGGCGAAACCCCGTAGCCAATTGGGCACAGCAGTGTCCCACAAACAGTCATGGATTGAGCTACCAAATTCTTTTTTAACGGATTATTCAAAATGCTACACCTTCTAGGGAGTAAAATAAGCCTGACAGCTAAATTTCATATTCAATCTCGACTTTGTCCTGGGTTCACTAATCCCAGATAAAATGCCAGCAAAGGCCTCAGTGTTCAGACATGGGAAGGGGGAAATAGTTGGGGTTCCATGTACCTGTGTCTTTAGCTGGAAGGGTGTAAGTTACATGTATAGAGACATTTTTAGATATAATATGAAACAATATACATATATAGTATTTATATTTATACGTATGTATGTCTATAAATATACAGAGAGAGAGAGAGAGAATGTAAACAAATGGCAAAATGCTGCACCTACTGGAAATCTGGTATAAACACAGAAGTCACTGGGAATATGCAGCAGGTCAGGCAGCATCCATGGAGAGAGGAAAATTAGTTAATGTTTCAGGTCTATGACTTTTCAAAAGACCTGAGGAATGTTGGAAGGGAGCAGATTATAAGGAATTGGAACAGAGATTGTTCAATGTATCCTACAAACAGGTAGACATAGCTAGGGGCCATGCGGGTTCCCATAGGAACCCTTATAATCTGCTCCCTTCCAACATCCCCCAGTTTTGACGAAAGGTCGTAGACGTGAAACGTTAACTAATTTTCCACTCTCCATGGATGCTGCCTGACCTGCTACGTGTTCCCAGCGACTTCTGTGTTTATTTATATATATATACACACACACGTGTGTATATATATATATATATATATTATATATAGAACGTGCCTGTTAAGGTCCAATATCTCACAAGTCATATTATAAAGAAATATGAAAGAACGGTCGACTTTTGAGTTGTCCTGTTGCCGTTGATGCCACTTCCTGTGCATTGCGTGCATGCACAATATGCCCAGGATGTGCTCCTGACGTTGCCTCCTGTGTGCGGTGTATGTGCACTATTTGCAGGAAGTGTTGCTGCTGAAAGTGAGATAGAATCCCATTTTCTTGGGAGGCCTACTGTTTCTTGATCTCCATCTCTCCGAGTCTCCCAAACCTTCTCTCTCTTTCTCTATCTCTGTTGCATATCTACACTGTAAAAAAGACACCCAGGATAGCTAATTGAAACAGAGTGGGGGAGAATTATCCTCCTATGATGATCAGCACTGGTTCCTAAGGGTTGGTGCAATGTATTTTCAAATTCTTTATTAAGGAATCCAGGTATAAATTGCCACACATTAGATATCAGGCAGTCATTAAATATCTCTCATTCTACAGTGCAATGTTTAGACTGCAATTTGAGTCGATGTAACATGAATATCATGCTGAATCTGTGTGAAAACAGCATAAATCACACACAATTCCAAAGCAATTTGTAATTGAGACCAACTGCTAAAAACACCTTAAGGAAATAATTCCATTGGGTGATCAAAAGCTACAATATTAAAGGATCATTTCTAGTGTTACTAAAGAGCTTCTTGTGTGACTGGTTCTTTAATGACATTACAAATTAACTGGCATTCAGCAAAACTCCATGCCTTTGGAAAACTCACCTCAGCCCCAGCAAGCGCAAGTTAAGAGCAAGAAATCTAAATGCAGTTTCCCGCTCCAAGGAATTTTACTGCTGGAAGCAATTTCAAATAATATTCATAAATGGGGCTTTATCTAAATCTATCTAAGATAAAATTATAGGGGTCCATACAAATATGGACAGTTGCACCTTACTAAAACAACTTTTAATATAATACAAATTTATGGCTCCTTACTAATAATAGGCAATATATACTGCATAAAGCACTTTTAATGAAGAGATCATTTAATTGACTTTCAAAGCCGACAGAGGGCAGAAACTAGGTTTTAAAAAAACGAAATTGATAGAATTGAAATGAAACGCAACTCAAAAGAAATACAATGGTTAAAGGAAATGGGAAAAATAGTGGGGATATTTTTTTTTAAAAAGGGCAAGAGAAAAAAATGAATAAATTCATCAATGTTTCTATGTTCTGCTCTAGACCGTTATTCCCCATGGGAATAACGGTGCATGTTTCCTATTGATTGTAACATATTATCTCTGATAGCATTTCAGCATTTACCATGATCACAGAGGCTCGGTCACACCTAAGTAAGATTAAACATGAATCTAATTGAACAGCAGCAGTTGACTGAAATGTTAAT